CCTGAAGCTCCAGTGGCTCCTTAGTGGTTGCCCTGGGCCACCCTCTGCGGTTTTACCAGCAACTTCCGAAGCCTTCCCCAGGTCTGATCTGCTCACACGTGGCACGTGCACACGCATGGGCTTGTTGCCAATTCCTGTGCAATGTCAAGCCGATGATGTGTGAGGTGAGCATCAACTCTACTCAGCGGCAAACAAGGTGATGACCCAGACAGCTCAGGCCTTCCATTCTCATTGCACTGCCTTTACCTGGCCTGCAGCTGCCAAGTCCTCCCAGGAGCTCTGGAGGTAGAGGTTCCCTGGAAAGGTGTCGCCAAGCCTTGTGTGACAGGTAGGGATCCAGAGACCAGGCCAGGACTGGCCCAGGCTTTGGATCCACAGCCAAAAGGTGAAAGAATTAGCCAGAGGAGCTGTGGGTCAGGGCTCTGACCTGTTTAGTGCTGTATGCTTGCTGTGGTACGTCCATTTTGCAGGTAGCTAAATCAAGGCAAAGGGGCTTGCAGGGAAAAAGCACAGGCGCTGTTGGTGAGGATGCCAGCCATGTCAGCTGAGGCAATGCCAAGCCTTGGTCAATTTAGAGCACTCCCCCATACAGCTCACACACATACACACACTCACCCACACCCACATACACCGCCAACACATACCCCCCCACATGTCACACACTCATCAGACTCACGCCATACACACGTGCATACCACATGCAGCATACACACACACCACACATGCCACACACACACACACTCACCTATAACACATACTCACCTATACCACACTCACATTCACCCACATACACCACCCACACATACTCCGCCACATATCACACACCACACACGCGTACCATACAACACAGCACACATACCCCACACACACTTACACCCCCACATACAGACACACACACATATGACTCCCACTAAAGGTCATGTTCTGAGGCTTTAGGGCTCAGGACTTCAGCAGGAATAAGGGGGCAACATGCTTCCCTGCCCAGGTAGCTGCCCCAGTGTATAGGGGGGACCAAGGAGGGCTCCCTGCACACATGACAGGAATGATGGCTGAAGGGCCACCTGCACCCCAACTCTGCCCACAGGAACCCCCAGAGCCAGGGATGAGTCTTTGTACCTGTCCACTTCTTGTAGATAACATGTCTTAGGTGTTCCGAGGGAGTTCAAGGCCACCATTCTGAGCCTTTAGGGTGTGTGGCTGGAATTGATTAGTAGGGGGACTGGGGCTTAGGTGCTAGTGCACAGGGCTGGGAGTATCTGCAGGGGAGCCACCTGCATGCTGGAAGAAGCCAGGTCCCAAGGCTGAGGATCCAAACTTGTTCTGCAGTGAGGAGGCCTGCACATTTGGAAGTGGGTTCTGTTTGCTTAGCAGAATTTTCCGCACCCCCCCCCCTCCAGCCGAGAAGCTGGGGGAGCTGGCTCAGTGCTGATTGCATGTTCCTGTTGCAGCCGCTTGGCAAGGCTTGGCTCTGTGAGCTGCGGTGTTTGGATCCTGAGCCCCAGCTCCCCAAGCCAAAGAAAGAAAGCTGTGACTCAACAGTCACTGCTGGTTTCTGGCCACGGGGACCGGAAATACATGCACAGAAGGCTCCAGCGTTCTCTCTGAGCTGAGCGACTTCTGCCTGGTGGAGAGACACTCGGGTGCAAGGCTGGATGACAGAGAGGCTGCTCCCAGGGTGCCTCAGGCCAGACAGCACTGGCCCATTTTGTCACCTTTGAAGAATGAGGCTGGGGGCTGGTGTTGTGGCCTAGCCAGCATCTCATATGAGCGCCAGTCTGTGTCCCAGCTGTTGTACTTCCGAGCCAGCTCTCTGCTAATGCATCTGGGAGAGCAGCAGAGGACAGCCCGAGTGCTTGGGTCCCAGCACTCATGTGGAAGACTCATGAGAAACTCCTGGCTTTGGCTGAGCCAGCACTGCAGCTGGGGAGTGAACCAGTGATGGATGACCTCTTACTTGATCTCTCCCTCTCTCTAACTTTGCCTTTCTAATTATTAAACAAATCTTAACAATAGTGAGGCCGCCTCAGGCAAGGATGGCTGCTGGTGTGGGGAGCTGGAGCCTGGGCCTTGGCGTGCCACCATCAGGAGGGATAGGGATACCAAAGAGAAAGGAAGGGCCCTGAGGTGGGCATCTAACTTTGCTGGGTGTGGCCCGGGTGCTCTTTTCTGAGTCCTGTGCCTTCCGATGGCAACAGTGTGTGAAGGCATTGAGCTGAACTCCAAGATGGGCAGAGCCCTCACCCTCACCCTGCCTCCTCTGTCTGGAACCCCTTTCTGCTGCCCACCCTCCTGGTCTGCTTCCCCCTCACCCCCCACAGATCTTTCTTCAGAGCCCAGGCATTCAGACCCTACCCTTTTTTCAGGTCACTTCAGTGATCCTCACAATCAGGTCCTGGGCTTCCATGGTGCTGCACCACACCCCTCCCCACCTCTCCAGCACCTGCCCTCATATTTGTGGATGCCATGTGGGACCCATGCATGTCTCTCCCACCAAGCTGTGTGCCCCATGGAGGCAAGGCCCAAGCCCAGGACTAGATCCTGCTGAGTGTACAGTAGTGATGTGAGGGGTGGGTGAATGCCGTTGCATGACCAGGATTTCTTTATGGGTGTCCAGCCACAGGGGTCAGGATATAGTTTGAACTGCCAAGCCATGGGTTGCAGGTGACCTGAGTGAAGGCAGCCAGTGAGGCAAACAGGTGCCAAGTCTTCCTGTCTTGCCTATCCATTCACCCACCCACTCACCCAACCACTAATCCACCCATGTACCTACCCACTCATCCATTCACCCACACATACACTCATCTATCCACCCACTCTCCCAACCACTCATTCACGCATTCGCCCATCCACTGATCCATCCACCCACCCACTCATTCATGCACCCATTCACCAACCTGTCCATTCTCCTACCTGTCCACCCACCCACTCATCCATCCCCTGACTCACCCACCCATCCACCTACTCACCCATGTACCCACTCACCCACCTGTCTATTCTCTTACCCATTCATCTACCCACTCACCCAACCATCCTTCCAGGTATGCATTTCTTCACCCGTCTTCCTGTTCCTTTGTTGATCCATCCATCTGTGCATCTGTCCTGATTCTTTCTAAAACCAACATTGTTCACAGCACGCCTCTGCTTCCAGTGCCTTCCATGCTTCCCTGCTTCCTTGAACAGGCACCCTTGACTCAGGGTGCATTTAAACAAATAATTTATTTTTTTTTAAGATTTATTTTTATTATTTTTTTTATTGGAAAGGCGGATATACAGAGAGGAGAGACAGAGAGGAAGATCTTCCGTCCGATAATTCACTCCCCAAGTGAGCGCAATGGCTGATGCTATGCCGATCCAAAGCCAGGAACCTCTTCCGGGTCTCCCACGCGGGTGCAGGTTCCCAAAGCTTTGGGCCATCCTCGACTGCTTTCCCGGGCCACAGGCAGGGAGCTGGATGGGAAGCAGGGCTGCCGGGATACAACCGGCGCCCATATGGGATCCCGGGCGTGCAAGGCGAGGACCTTAACCACTTTGCGCCACCGCGCCGGGCCTTAAACAAAGAATTTAAACCCTAGCCTTGGGGCTTCTAACTGGTCAGGTGGGGCCTGGATAATGATGGTTTTTTTCACTCTTCAGGGAAAGCTAAAGACCATGAGATCTGGAAGATAAGTTCCCAGTTCCGTGTCCCAGTCTTCAATGCCTGGACACTTCACCCTCTTACTTGGCCTCATGCCCTCAGTCCTCCACTAATATACTCAGAATTCCAGCTTCCCTGGTCCTGCCTCTCCCTTTCCTCTGCCTCTACTTCCACTCTCCCTTGGTTTGGAAAACTCCCCCCCATCTTCTGAGACCCATCACAACTATGGCCTTTTGTCGTAGTGTCTCTTGTGTAGCACTTGTAGTTGTCAGGTGGAGGCAGAGTGGGGTGGGATGGGGTGGGGCCCTGGTGTGAACATGTGTGCCAACACACTGGAAGACTTACTGGGCCACAGATGCTGGGACCACTCCCTGGCATGACCCTGCAAACCAGATGGGCTTTTCCAGAAAGTTTCTCAGTGATGCCAGCACTGCTGGCCCAGGGGCAGGGCTTGGAGGGGTGTGGGATTGCAGGAAGGGAAGGAAGGAGGCTGTGAGTCCAGGGAGAACAGGGCAGAGGGACCCCAGGGCGGGGATCCTTGTGGCCAGAGCCTGGCACACAGGATGTGAGAGGAGCGCCGAGCCTGGGCTGCTGTTCCCACCAGCCAGCGTGGTGTTCAGCCAGCGTGGTGTTCAGCGTGGTTTGCCTCTACCTACCCTGCCTCCCCAGGGCTTTCTAGTGCAGGTGATTGAATCTTTCCTAGCACTGCAGGGAGTGGGATGAAGAGTTGCAAGGAGATGTCTGGTCAAGAGGTCGTGGTAGGTAAAGGGCTCAGAATCAGAGGCCCAGGTTCCTCCAGGGCCATTCTGTGACTTTGGGGGACCCTTCCACCTCTCACAGCCTTTGTCCCACCCGTCAGATGTGTGACAACCAAATCCAACTTGGGGAGGTACTACAAGGGTCTCAATAGCTGAAGTGAGGAGTGGGTGTTTGGCAGAGTGCTTAGGCTGCTGCCAGAGATGCTTGCGTCACTTATCTCTGCTTTGTTCAAATCACAGCTCTGCTCTCAGTTCTGACTTCCCACTAGGAAGGCAGCTGGGTAATCCTCCCTGGGAGGCAGCAGAGGAAGGCTTCAGCGTGTGGGGTCCCCACCAGCCACCAGCCACCACCCATGGGCTGGCCCAGCTTGAAGTCTGGACTTCTGGCTTTAGCTTGGCCCAGCCTTGGCTACTGAGGGCATTAGGGAGTCAACCAACAGATTGGCAATCTCTCCTTCCCTACTCCCTCTCTCCCTATCCCTGCTTTTCCCTTTCTCTGGCTTTCAAACAAATAAAAAACTTGAACATGGGATGGCACTGGTGGGTGACGACATGGTGCATTGTGGTGGACATGCCGATGAAGTTACCTGATGGGTCTTGTTCTGCAGGAAGGACCAGTACCTCCTGTCGCCTGTGAACTGCTGGTACCTGGTCCTGCACCAGACCCGGCGGGAGAGCCGAGACCACGCCACCCTCAACGACATCTTCATGAACAATGTCATTGTCCGCCTCTCCCAGATCAGCGAGGATGTCATCAGGCTGTTCAAGAAGGTGGGTGAGCCAGTCGTGCCCTGTCCCAGGGCTCCCAGTGGCAGGAAGGCAGGCAGGTTGAGGGGTTTAAGGAGCGCAAGGGGCTGAGGGCCAGCTGGGTGCTGCAGTCCTGGGCATGCCCTGAAAGACGCCCCTCTTGGCTGCCTCAGTACCTACCACTGCAAGGGTAGAGTCCTCCTCAGGGTCAGGTAGGAGGTGCCCAGACCCTGTAGGAGATCACATGCAAAAAATGTCATCACCGGAATCAACCTGTGGTCATGCATCATCACTTTATTGCTCTAGAAACTTCTTCCTGTGTGCAAATGCAAATATGGCTCCTATGTGTGCTTGTGTTACATGTTTTTCCCCACTGCATGCATGAAATTATTCCCTGCTGATGTCACCTCACACACTGTCACGTGATGGCGACATGTTCCACGTTGGTGGCTATGTCTGTGTGCCACATTCAGTGCTTACAGAGCCTCTGCCCTGTTGATGCACCCTGACTGACTGAATTCCACTCCCAGGGGACTCCTGTGACTCTCTCGAGCACATGCATTGCCCTGCCGTAGATTCAGCTCCAGGGCAGTGACTGGGGCTCATTTTTTGGCTTCTGAGGGGTACCTTTCTGTGGCTGCAAAGGTTAGCCCACCTGGGGGTCAGAGGTCACAGGTAAAGGGGATGCCCCTTGTTACGCCCCTAAGGTCTCTCTGTCTCCAGCTCCTTGCACTGTGCCTGGTGCATGTGAGGTGTCTCAGCAAACATAACCAGGTAGACAGACGCAGGCAACAAAAGGGTCCCTGAGTGCTGCCACGCAGGCCCCCCCAGAGCTGGATCAGGGCTGTCGGTGTGCCCTCTGTGCTTTGTCCTGAGCCTTCCCTGCCTGCTGTGCCTGTGGCTCTCTGAGTGAGCATGACTCTGAGAGATGCTCATCTCCTGGTTGACTGAGCCTGGGATGAACAAGATCCATCTTTCCCATGCACATCTCAGCTGCCAGTAGCCCGTTCTGTGATGGAACTTAACAGGGTGGGAAATAATGAAACAAACTGCAGCTGAGCTCCCTGCAGCCTTCTTCCAGGCTAGCACACAAAGGATCTGACTAGCCCCGTGGAGCTCCAGGAGAGCTGGCCAGAGCCTGGCTGGCCAGTACACTACAGCAGCCGCTTCCTGTGGCACCAGTGAGACGAGGTCAGCCTGGGAGTACAACCTGTCCTTGTTACCTGATGGCCTGCTGGGAACCTCAGCCCAACTGTGAGGGGTGGTCTCAGGTCCTCAGTCACCCTGTGTAGCTGCAGGGAGAGCCTAGACAGCTAGGACTCCTCTGGACCTCTGCGTTCTTGCCTGGCAAACAGAGAAGATAATGCTGGAGGTTGAGTGGCCAGAGCAGGTGCAGGTGATAGTGCTGCTTGAATGGTAGCTTGCCATTGATCCCTAGGAAGAGGACTGTGATGTCAGGAGAGCCTGTAGCAAGTGGAAGGGGTTTCCAGGCTGGTTGGGGTCATCCCTGCACCTGTCCTCTGATTCAGAAGTGGGGCGTCCGCTTGGCTTGCCTAATCTGCACTGAGGGAGGTGCTGAGGCCCTGCGGTTTGGTCTTCCCTGGGGGCCGAAGGCAGCACCCCATGTTCTGGAAGCTGTGCTGGTGGCCTTTGGTGGCCAGCTGGCACTCAGGGTCCCCTGGAGCAAACAGGTGACTGCAGGTGGCAGTAATGCAGTTGCACCTGCTGTGAGGCCGGGACCTCAACCTGCCAGCTCTTCAGACAGGAGCCTGGCTTTGGGTGCGGGGACTTCAGGGGTGCAAGGAATGTGACCAGAACTTCGTTTCTCTGCGTTCTGCCCCAATTTCCTCTTTTAGTGACTCCTGTGAGCCAGTGTCTCCTTGTGTGGTGACCTAGTGGCCCCAGCAGTCTAGGCTGCTTGCCCTGCCTCTGTGACCTCCTTTCCTGAGAATGGGGTCTTTGAGCTCTGACAGGCCTAGCACAGTTGCCATGAGGGCCACTGAGGTGCCCCTGTGGTCCAGGAGCTGCAGTCCCTCTGTGACCAGGCCTGACTTCTACAGCCCCACACTGCCCCCCAACCGGATTTCTAAGATATGGTGAGGGATAATTGCTTGAGAAAAAAAAAAATCCATGCAAAGGAGGGAGAAATCGAACCTTAAACTGCACTGGGCTCTCTGGGCTCTTTCTGCAGCTCTGTCCTCCACCCTGCCCCTTGCCCTGTCCCACATGTCCCTCAGAGCAGGACACTGTTACTGCTCCGGAGAGCCCATTCAGTGCACACAGGGACAGCTGTGAGCAGCACAGTGCTCTCCGTACTGAGCTCACAGGCCCAGCGGCATCACGTGGTCCACATAGAAACCAGATCCATTGCTGGAGATGCACGTTGTAGCTGTTCACTGAGGTCCTTCCTGCTGCTGCTGGGGAGGGCCCATGGTCCCTCTGGTCGCCTATGGCTTGGCTTTGCCTCTGTGCCCCATGATGGCAGCTCTGCCCGGGCCCTGCCCCAGGCCTTCTCTGGTAGGATACAGGATTCAGGAGCAAGCAGAGCCCTCGAGCAAGGTCTGACCAGCCACAGGGGAGCAGGACTATCTAGCCACGTTCCTTCTGTGGAAAAAAGATGCTTCTTTGAAAAGCTGTTGGTCACTCTCCAAATGCCTGCACCAGCCAGGGCTGGATTAGACTAAAGACAGGACCCAGAGCCGTTTTTGCGTCTCCCACATGACAGGGACCCAAGGACTGAGCTGTTACTACTGCCCCCCAGGGAGTGTGAGGGATTGGGGGGTGGGAAGCTGGGTAGACAGCAGAAGTGGAACTTGGGCCCCAACACTCAGTGGAACTGCCATGCCAACATGTCTGCCTCTGGCGTTTTATTTAGAATAACAAGAACCAGGAGGACATTGGCCTTTCTGAAGGGTGTCTTGCTCTGACATTGCCGAGAGTCTTTGCTGAACTATTTCTGAATCAGCCTGAGAATTGTGCATTGGTGTTTTGTCTTACTCTGTCTCCTTAAAACTTGCTTTGCCAGATTCTAGTCAGATGGGGTTAGGAGCCTTGCTTAAGGGACTTTTCCGGCATCTAGAAAGTTTGTTTTACAAGAAGCCCCACTTCTGCCTGTGTGTAAAGCGCCTGCTTGACCCCCTTCCCGTGTCATCCTTGTTCCTTTCTTCTTGGGTCATGTCTTCTCTGCAACCTGGGTGAGGGTGCCAGGCGAGGCAGAGGAGGAGCCTGAGGTGCAGGTAACCATGGTACGGGGTGGTGAAGGGCCATTGGGGCCTTGTGTTTCGCTTGTAAGATCAGAAGTTCTGACAGTGCTAGGCACCACCACTTTGGTTTATGCTTGGCGGGGTTTATCTGCAATATATTCTCCCCTGCTACACATCCCTGTTGTTGGCCAGTGTGTATGTGTGTATACACACAAAAAGTCCATCAGACAGTGGAATCAAAAGGTGAGTTATCAGGTGCAAAAGTTTGAAATCATTGCAGATTTTTCATTATATGCTTTCTGATGACCTCCAAACAAACAAAACAAACTTCTCTTTCACTTGTGTGAACTTTGAAGTACTTGTGTTGCGTCTGCTTGGCCCCTTGGTTTCCCTGATGCTGTCTGCGCCTGAATTTGTGTCCTGTGTTTCGGCACTGCCTCCTCTGCCTCCCCCTACCATCTCCATCAAGCTTTATATTAGAGTCCCCTAAAGGACGGGTTAAGCCCAGCTGGCCAGCCCCACCCGCATGGTTTCTGACTGGTTCAGTGTGTAGGGCAATATAGAGTCTGCATTGCTTACACATCCCCAGGAGCTGCTCAAGCTGCCCCCTACCCCTACCCTGCGGACAAGGGAGGCGGTACAGGCAGTAGTTGGTCCATCCTCCTTGGGGTACAGATGAGCAACTGAGACCTGCTGAGTCAGACATGGGAGTGGAACTGGGTCCATTTACCCACTGAGCCCAGCAGCTGGGTGCAGTGGGATCTGTGTACAGCCTCTTGCCCGATCCTCCCACTCCCTGAGACTGGACGACGAAACCCCTTCCATTTGTAGCCTTGCTCTGTCTTCCCTGTGCTGGACAATAGCGCCCAGCAGTCTGTGCTCTGATGCCTGCAGAATATAATTACTCGCCGGGCCGTGATGTGAATTTGATTGTGGGAAACCATGGTGTTGCAGGAGGAAGTGTTTTGGGGGAAGGGCTCTCAGCCGAGGACAGAGGGTGTGTGGTAGAGGGCTGACTTGTTTTTGAAAGCGGCCATTCACTGTGTGGTAACAAGGACTGGGTCTTGAGCGAGCTGCTTCGTCCCCGCCTCGAAGATGTTCATTGCATTTCATAAATAAATCAGGGCTTTTGTGTCCAATAATGGCTTTGCTTTGCAACAGAGATCAAAAGCACCCTCAGCCTTGGATTCAAAGCTCGGTTCATTCTTTTTGGTTGCAGGAGAGGGTGAGGGTGTGCCTGCTGGAGTGTCCAGCTTGGAGGCCTGTGTGGAGACACAGAGCGAGCAGAGTGGGCAGGCTGCCAAGGAGTGAGGCGTCTGCAGCCCAGACCCGACTGTGTCCCTGGGAGATGCCACCAGGAGGGACGCCTCCCCTGCACATTGGCAGGCCAGTCCAGCTCAGCCAACACACACACATAAGAGAGTTCAGAATATGAATGAAGAGTGGAATTGGAGGATAAGCTTATTGTGGAGCAAAGAACTATGAAATCCATGCATACGCAGGGTATTTTAAAAGTTCATGGAAAATGCTGTTATAAAAAAAAAAAAACTAAGGATAGACTTTACATATTTTTGGCACCAAAGTACGTTTTCTCTTAGTTCCATTTTCTGTAAGTCTTCTTTTTAAAGGATTTATCTATTGTTTTATCTAAAGAGTTAGAGAGAGGGAAAGTTAGAGAGAGCAAGGTTTATTCCCTAAATGATCACCACTTCCCCCAGGATCAGGCCAAAGTCAGGAGCCAAGAACCTGCTACTCTATCTGGGTCTCTCAATCACTTGGCCCATCCTCTCCTGCTTTCCCAGGCATCTTAGCAGAGAGCTGGGTCGGGAGTGGAGCAGCCAGGACTTGAACTGTCACTCACATAGGATGGCAGCATCACAGGCAGTGACTTAACCCTTTGTAACCACAATCCAGATCTGTCTGCAAGCTTTTTGGAGCTTCCTTGTGTGTTAATGTTGTGATGACACTACAAACAACTGCTGTCGACATGTGCCAGGTCCTGGGCCAGATGTTGTGTATACATCTCATTCTTCATTGTCCCATTTTATAGGTGAGAAGCCTGGGTGTGAGCTGAGACGGGCACTACTCTAGAACCCTTGCACATGTGGGACACAGGCAGGTGCCATGTCGAGAATCCAGCAGCGGGTCAGTTGCAGTGCCCCCTCTCTGGGGCCTCCCAGGGCAGCGGAAGCCACAGCAAGCACAGTTCTGAATTTCAGAAGGCTTCCAACTTCTGACCATTTCAGGACAAAAACTCTCAGCAATTTGGAGCAGATGGGAACTCACTCAATCTGACAAAGAGGACTGACCATGTGTCCTGCTGAGCAGGAGCCAGCAAGATGGCTGCTTACCGGGTTACTGGACCACAGTGAGGGAGGCCCTGTGAGCCAGCCTCATCCAATTAGAGAACGGCACCTAGGTGTGTGTCTGAGAAGGAGCGAAGACTCACGCTGCCATAGTCGCACAGTAGCTGCAGCCCAGAAGCTTGGAGAAGTGATGCTGTCATTGTCATTGAGATATAAATATTTCATACTTTCCATTGCTATGTATTTGTGGCTCATGAATTATTCAAGATCAGGTTTTCTCAGTTGTGAAGGTTTCTAAAGAGCTCTCAGCTTATTTTTCAATTTCCTACTCTGTTGCATGGCGAGCATAAGAGAATTTGGCCTGCCTAAAGGATGTGTTTTATATTTGTTAGAACATTGCCTCATCAGGTTTCTCAGCTTTCTCTGAAGTGATGCTCGTTAAACCAGGTAGTGCTAGGGGCTGGCACTATTGTGTGGCAGGTGAAGACACTGCCTGTGCTGTCACCGAGAGTCCCCCTAGGCAACTGTTTGAGTCCTACCCGCTCCACATCAGATCTGGCTCCCTGCTAATGCACCTGAAAAGGCAGTTTTTGGGCTCATGCACTCATATGGGATACCTGGACGAAGCTCTTGGCTCCTGGCTTCACCTGGCACAGCCCCAACCATTGCAGCCATTTGGGTAGTGAACTAGTGGATGGAAGACCTCTCTGTTGCTCCTTCCCTCTCCATAACTCTTGGAAATAAATAAGTAAACACCTTAAAAACAATAAAATAGAACAAAACAGCAGGTAGGGCTAGAGGTAGGCTAGACAGTCTTCTCTGTGGGACAGGGTGGGGTCCAGCAGCAATACCTTGTACATATACGTTGGCACCAGTACATGGCATTGTTACTGTCCAACTTGGGAGCAAAGGTGTAACCATTCATCTTTTTCTTATTACTTGTTAGAGCTGATTTGTATATGTATAACACACACACACACACACTCCTCCACAAAGAAGGAGTTTCAGCAAAGAAGTTTTCTGCAGTTGTGTTTAAAGGAGAAATAAAGAAAAATAGCCTGAGCATCCATTATAAAGTGAATGGTTTGATAATTATGGTTAAGAGTTAAGGTGAAGAAACCGGATCTACAGCTATCCCTGTCGATAACACTTGGAAGCAAAAATGCTGGCTGAGAAGAATACAAGTTGTGGTGTGATGTTGCCCTAAGATTCATAGTATTGTTCCTTGTTCATATTATTGGACAGGTGGTCGAGGTGAGGTTATGCAAATACAGGCCATGTAAAATGTACTGTCCAGCTTCGGAATAATAATTTAGGGGGAGGGAGGAAGGAGACCGAGAGCACCTCAGCTGTGTCTGTGCAAAGTAGATTTGATCTGGCGGGGTCAAGGTCGCAGGTCGCATCTGGTGAAGGTGCTGTTAATAGCATCATTGTGGAGTCCCGAGTCTGTGCAGGGTGTCACATGCTTGGGGAGCAGCGCCCACCCCGGGGTCCCCTCTGGGCCCCATCCCCTCCAGACATCCTCAGTGCGTGGCTTTGGAGATTACAGTTCAGTGGGCTTTGAGAACACAGATGCAAGGACCCTGTAGCAGACACAAAAGACGATGCTGGAATGACCTCTTCCTGACAGGTGAAAGGGGCTGGAGACACACCCTTTGCGAAAGTAGAACTTGTTCAATAAGCTTCCCAAAGCCCCCAAACCTCCAGCGAGGGTTCTCAGGGTTTTTCTTCCCAAGTGTGACTAGCTCTGTATTGACATCTAAATTGAGCCATACTTGGTGAGATGTTCATGGTCCAAGAATTGATTTCTCTCGGGAACTGTGTCAAGTCAGCAAAACTAAAACAATATTGCCAAATTATTTCTGGCAAATAAGTGTCCAAGGCATGGCTTCTCAGACTAGCTTCTCTCACTGCAGCTGCACTCCATGGGGTGCGGCCTCAGTGTGCTTGGAGCCCCTGCTGTGTGCAGGTCTTCCAGGGTGGCTTTGGTCCAGGGAACACTCTCAACAGTGGAGCTTGGCTGCTTGTTTGAAAATCAGACCTCAGGCAGCAACTGCTTCCCTCAGTGGCCCTTCTAACATCTTCACTCTAGCTTAAGCGCAAAGATTACAGTAGTGCTCATTGATTGGCTAAAAAGAACATGGTGCTGTGAACCAGAAAGTCCAGTGGTACATCTCATCCCAGCCACACTGGGACAACTGTGTGCTTCCCCTGTCATGGGCATGATGGCAACAGGCAGTGTGTGACCCCAGTGACCTCCCCTAGCAGCCCCAGGAGAAACCTGAGGGTGCAGTCAGTTCCCAGGCAAGGCCTGGGCTGCTGCCAGGCCAGGCCTGTGGCTGCTGGATGAGTTTATGCGACCAGGCTGGTCAGCACTGGTGCTCCCCCATGTCTTCTTCTGATAGAAGAGGGATGATGATAGTTCTCTGTTAATGAACCTGGGTCGAACAGCAAAAGATGGCCCAAATGCTTGGGGCCCCAAACCCATGTGGGAGACCCAAAAGATGCTCCTGGCTTCAGCTGGATGCCAAGTGGAGCAACTGGGACTTGAACCAACCCCCATGTGGGATGCCACTTCTGCAGGTGGTAGCTTAACCTGTTATGCTGTAACATCACCCTCCCTTTGTCCATTTTGTAATCAATTGTCTTGTTGCTGTTGAGTTTCCCAAGCTCCTTACAGCTCCTGGGTATTAATCTGTAATCAGATGCACAGGTTGCAAATATATTCTCCCATTCTGTCAGTTGCATCTTTGTTCTGTAATTTTCCTTTGTAGCCCAGAAGCCTCTTAGCGTGATGCCATCCCATTTGTCTTTGCTTGCTTTTATTGCCTATGCTTCTGTTTTTTTTTTCCAAGATGTCTGAGCCTATGCCGGTGTCTTACAGAGTTTCCTTGATGTTTTCCTCAAGTTGTTTGGTGTTTTCAACCCTTGGGTTTAGGTCTTTAATCCTCTGTGAGGTGGTTTTTACATGGAGGGACAAGGTCTTGTTTCACATGTCTGCAAGTTCATCCAGCTTTCATACCCAGGCTTCTGTGGTCCCAGAAGTCCTTGTGGGTGCCATGCTGTACCATGCCATGCCATGAGAAACGTTCTCACAGTTTCCATTTTTATTTTATAATACATTGGCTAAGGCTCAAAGGGGAAGTGACTCTCCCAGATCACATGACCAGTGGGTGACAGAGCAGAGGTGGGGACCCCAAGCTGTTCCATCTGTCTGTATGCACCTGCCACATGTCAGGACCAGGCAGGGGTAGGACCAGCCTGGGAGGGCAGACCACACTTTGAGTCCAAAGCGCTGCAGAAGGGCTCTGTGTCATAGGCTCTCAGGCCTGGACCAGGCTGCTGGACCCCAACCTGGATGAAGGTGAACCAATGTGAGGTGGGGTGGTAGGGAGGGGACTGACCCCAGGCTGTGGCTGTGTCCTTGGTGACCCAAGCACTACCATGGTCATTTTGCAGCCTGAGTTCTGAGGAGACCCCACTCTCCTGTGAAGTCAGTGAGTGCTGAACAGAGGGCTCACAGCCTCCTGGGATACACAGAGTTAGGCATCCAGGGTAAGCATCTGGCTCAGTGGTCAAGATGCTGCTTGGAACATGTGCATCCTCTGTCAGCTCAGCCCTAGGTTCTGTGAGCGTTTGAGGAGTGAGCTAGTGCATGGAATATTCACACACAGAGACGTAAAATGAACTTAAAAATGGAGAGGAAGACTGAGGGTGGCTTCTTTGGCTCTGACGCGTGAAGGCTGCTGTGAAGAGTCAGGGAAGCAGGCGTGGGCTTTGGGATCCCAGGGCAGATGCTTCTCTCTGCAGGCTTGTTTCACCAGCTTGGGTCTGAGTCATGGGTCGGCATGGTCAGTGTCAATGCCTGCCTCTCTCCTACCCAGACCCCAGCTCCTGCCCAACCAGTTCCCTGCCTGACACTTGTTCTTCTGTCTTCTAGAGCAAAGAGATTGGCCTGCAGATGCACGAGGAGCTCTTGAAGGTCACCAATGAACTCTACACGGTACGTCCTGCTTGGTGCTGGGCCTAGAGCCTCGGCCTGGGCTGACCCAGGGCCTTCATGCTGCATCTTCCACCAGAGCCACTGAGGGTCAGCCCCATGGGACAGAGCAGCTCACGTGCCAGCTGCCAGGTCTGTCCCTCTGGGCTGGGGCTGGGCACGAATGATTGACCCTGCAATGTTAGGTGTTACCCAGGACAGCTGCCAGTGCACGCAGCTATGGGATGGGAGGGCAGACATGGGCTTTTGCTGCTCACTTATTATGAACCATGGGTAGGCCCGAGGCTGTAGCTCTGAGGAGACCATTTGCATTGGGGGCCAGGGGTGTAGGTGTTGGGGAAGAAGGGCCAAACACTGCTAGCACCCCCTCTTCAATGTTACTGTTTTTTCTCAGTGTACAGCCTAGGGGACTGCAGCCTCTGCTTAGGGCTTTGCCCAAGGATCTGAGCCTTAGTCTGCCGCTCAAGAAAATTGGGGCAAGCATTCCCACACATTCTGTGATCACACTCAATGGCAGAACTTGACTTCGGACTCCAGTCTGCAACAGGGCCAACCTCTGCCTGGGCTGGGGTGTTGCTTCACGCAGACAGCAAGAGAGCCTGGCAGCCTCAAACCCCCGCCCTGATGTGCCATGTTCGGGTCCAAATCCTGTCGCTGTAGCCAGTAGTGTGATCACCCCTCAGGATGCCTGGGGACTGGGCCCAGCACCTACCAGGATACCAAACTCCACAGGTGCCCACACCTCATGTGGCTCTTCTCTCAGGCTCTCTCCCCAGCCCTGGGTGGCTTCCGACACCCAGCATGAAACAAGTGCTGGGTCAGGGGCTGATGACAGGCACACATCTGTCCGTGTCCTGCATGCAGGCGGGTTTCATTTGCTGGCTGTTTTCTCCCGTGGTTGGCTAGTCATGTGGATACGCAAGGCCTGGGGTGCACTGGCTGATTGCGGCACAAACAGGAGGTGCTGGCGTCCCCTCGGTTGTCTGTCACATTTACGGTTGGGCTGAAGTCAGCAGCTTCACCATGGTCTCTCAAATGGGTGGTGGGGCCAAGAACTTGGGCTGTCTTCTGTTGCTTTTCCCAGGCCATAAACAGGGAGCTGGATATTCCTATGGAGCAGTCTGGGTATAAAGCTGCTCCCCAGGGTGCATGCATCCTCTATCAGGGTGCTTGGTTCTTAAGCCTCAGCCATGTTAGCCATGATAATGATGGTGATGGTAGTGGGGGTCATGATAATGGCGGTGTTGGTGATAATGATGGTAGTGGAACTGATGCTCCTGCTGATGATATTACTGGTGATGATGACAATGATGGGGGTCATGATAGTGTAGTGGTGATGATGGTTTTGGTGGTGTTGGTGGTGACGGTGGTGGTGATATTGTTGGTATTGGTAATGGTGGTGGTAGTAGCAGTAGCATGTAGTGGTTACATGGATTTCCTATGGTCAAGGCAGTCTTCTTAGCTCTCCATGAACATTAGCACCTTTGGTATACACACCAAACCTGGGGTACTGGTGCTGTTATTCATCCTTCCATGTGGATGAGGAAGCAGAGGTCAGAGAGGTTGAGTACTTGCCTGAAGTCACACTGCTGTGAGCCAGAGGACCTGCACTGAGCCAGACACTGGGGCCCAAGTAGCGATTCTAAACCTGCTGTGCTTGGCAGGAGATGCCACACCAGTGCCTCCAGGCAGAGGGAACTTTCCGTGTAGCAGGTTGGTGATGCAATCAATACAAACAGCCTCAAGAGATTTCTTTGTCCTGGTAAGCTCACTCCACAGGGTCAGCATTTCTCTGAGTCCATCAAAGATGGGTTCTAGGACCCTCCCTTCTTCCACCCCACACCTGGCCCTAGGAAACCAAAACCCATGAAAATACTAAGAGAATGCTAAGAAAACACCAAGAGAAAAATTGTTACACTGCTTTCCGCAGGGACAAATGACCCCCAAAGTCTTCACATATTCAATGCTGATGTTGTATTTTGTTCCAAATAGTTTTACTTCAAGATTGGTTGTGTCTGAGGATGTAGAATTCCTGTGAATAGAGGGCTGCCTTCCTCCAGAAAAGGAAGAGGAAGGAGGTGGGGCTGGCTGGCCCTACCCTGTGACTTAAAGGCAGGTGGATGTCCCCTGGTGGGTGAATCTGCCCCCTCTGCAGCTGCCTGATAGCCCCAAACAAAGGCAACTCTTTTTTTTTTAAGATTTATTTTTATTATTTTTTCATTGGAAAGGCGGATATACAGAGAGGAGGAGAGACAGAGAGGAAGATCTTCCATCTGATGATTCACTCCCCAAGTGAGCGCAACGGGCCGATACTATGCCGATCCAAAGCCAGGAGCCTCTTCCGGGTCTCCCACGCGGGTGCAGGGTCCCAAAGCCTTGGGCCATCCTCGACTGCTTTCCCGGGCCACAGGCAGGGAGCTGGAAGGGAAGCGGGGCTGCCGGGATTAGAATCGGCGCCCATATGGGATCCCGGGCGTGCAAGGCGAGGACCTTTAACCACTTGCGCCACTGCGCCGGGCCCCAAAGGCAACTCTTGATCCAGCCCTGGCTCTGTGCTCTTGTGAGTGTCTGGGGAAGTGAACCATCAGATGGAAGACCTCTCCTGACTGCCTTCCAAATAAACAAATATTTTTTAAGTATTAAAAATAAAAGAACCTCTGACACATAAAACATCATGACTGAATCTCTCTCTCTCTCTCTCTCTCTCTCTCTCTCTCTCTCTCGGCCAAGTGGTAAAAGGAGACACAGAAGAGTTTGTGCTGGGCAATTCCATGTACTTGGGATTCTAGAACATGGACAATCCAAAGTACATCCTGATTGCTTGGGGCTGGAGTAGGGGTGGGCACAGGCTGCCAAGGGGCAGGACGAGAGACATGCTGTACCTCACTGGTTACAGGTGCATGGGAACTGGAGATCCTGAACTTATGTGTTGCCCTCTGGGCTTCCATGTCCCTTTTTATAGAGGTTGCTGAATTAGATGATGTCTAGGATTCTTTTTTTGTGGTTCAAAAAATCTCTCCTGTTATGATAATATCCATTTTAAAAATATTTAGTCACTTGTTTGAAAGTCACAATTACAAAGAGAGGGGAGAGAGAGAAGAAAAAGATTATCCATGTTGTGATTCACTCCCCATATGGCCACAACAGCCAGCATGGGCCAGGCCAAAGCCAGGAACCTTGCTTCATCCTGGTTTCCGATGTGGGCATAGAGGCCCAAGCAAGTAGGTGACCCTCCCCTGCTTTCCCAGACCATCAGTAGGATCTGAAGTGGAGCAGCCAGGACTCAAACCTGCTGGCTTTGCAGATTGTGGCGTCATCCGCTATACTACAAGGCCAGGCCCAGTGTCAAACTTTTTACATAGGAAGTAGAGTATTAGAAATCTGTTTTATAGGCAGGGATGAGTTTATTCTAGGAGTATAAAAACAGTTTTGTGGTTATTTCTTTTGGGGACAGAGGCAGAGGCACATTTTAGCTGAGAAAATGGTTCAAAAAGAACATTTTCCACAGAGGTGCTGTAACTGCGTAAGGAGGGACTTCCCAGTTATCCTGGGCATGGGAACAGGGCCTCGGGGCCACAGCTCATTCACTTAGCAAAATGTTTTCAGATTAGCCAAGAGGTTGCATGTCTTAGACTCTCTGTTTCAGTTTTCTGTATGTACTTGTTTACATTTAATTGAAACAGGTAGAAAGAAAGAACTCTTCTGTTCATTGGTTAATTCCCATATGACCATAATGGCCTGGGACTGAGCTGAGCCAAAGCCAGGAGCTATGAACTCAGTCCAGGTCCCCCATGTGGCAGTCAGGGACCCAAGTACCTGGGCCATCCCCTCCTGCCTCCCAGATGCACATTAGCAAGAATCTGGGTTCATAAGTGGAGCTGGGACTGAAACCTAGGCTCTATGTTAGAAGGTATAGCCAGCTCCAGGGGTACCTGAACCCCCATGCCAGTCACCAGCCAGCATTCCTCCTCATGGCACAGTAGTGGTCCCTTGTGGAGCTGTCTCATGCCGGCTGGTGTGTTCACGTGTTGCTAGTTGTTTGAGTTGCTTTCTAGTTGCTCCCCCTCTGAAAGCCTGGCTGGGTTCTGGGGTGGGAGCCCTCCCTGACCCCTGAGAGGCTGTTGACACATACCGTGCTGTGTCCCCAGGTCATGAAAACCTACCACATGTACCACGCGGAGAGCATCAGCGCCGAGAGCAAACTGAAGGAGGCAGAAAAGCAGGAGGAGAAGCAGTTCAACAAGTCGGGAGAGCTCAGCATGAACCTGCTGCGGCATGAGGACCGGCCCCAGCGCCGCAGCTCTGTGAAGAAGATCGAGAAGATGAAGGAGAAGGCAAGTGGGGGCCCTAGGCTGCCAGAGACTGGGAATGGTGGGCCCAGGAAGTAGGACCACACGCTCCACTGCAGCCTTGGCCTTCCCAGTGCTAGCCCCCCAACCCTGAGCCCAAGCATGGGTGAAGGCTGCACTTGGGGGCTGGCGAAGGGTGCAGTTCAAAACTACCACTGGGAAGCTTTATCTTCTAGCTGGGCTGGGGGACAGCTTCCAGCACTGGAGTCAGAAGAGCTGCAACAGCAGCTCAGTCCGCAGCCTCACAGGAGATCTAACAGGAGTTGTAAATAAGTCTCATGTTTCCTGCCAGCTGCTCCAAGTAAAGCGCTATCTGAGCTTAGTGATTCGTGATGCTCGGATCCTTTTGTGATGTCTGCCCTGGGCAGGGTACTTCCAGGGACAGGACATGTGCTGCCTTTGTGTCATCCTCAACTAAATGACCTTCCAAGTTTTCTTTTTTGAAGAGGCTATGATTTGTTGTTGTGGAATTCTCTGTGCATCCTCTTCACACAATCATGAATCGTTTGTTGGGTTTTCTTTGCCAACCATGGCCTCACAGGCTCACTAAGATTCCCCCTACAGGTCCTTTCTCTCCAAAAGCTAGAGGAGTTTGAGTGGGAACAAAACCCTAGATCTAGACAAGCTGGGAAAGTCACTGGAGGCAAGCACTATGGAACTCCAGTGTACACAGGCCAAGAAAAACACTCAGTTAAGAACTAGGCAAAGGAGGCATTTCCCCAGAGAAATGTGGCCAACGATGACATGAAAAGATGCCCAGCCTCATTAGTGAGGAAGGAAGAACAAACGAGAGCCAGGCTGAGATTCTGCTTTACACCCACAGTTGAAAAAGGCAGACAGCAGCGTGCATTGAAAGGGTGTGGGGCAGCTGCTGGGAGAGTGAGGCGTGGGTCTGTTGCTTCAGAATGCCTTGGTTCAGAAAGCCGTGGTGTTTGGCATTTCGTGTCTAGGGTACGTGCCTGGAGACAGTGGAACACAGGACCCTGCAAAGACCCACCCAGCTGAATATTCGTGGCAGCCCCCAGATGGAGCCAGCGGTCTGCTGGGGTGGATAGAGTCAGGGATGGGGAGTGAGGGTGGTGAAGAGGGGATGGCGGAAGCGTGGTCCCTATCCCTGGTGCTGAATCAAGATTTGGAGGTAGAGGAAAGGAAGAGCTCCACCTGTGGGGGGAGGAGGCCCCGGGGCGACTGCAGTTGCTGGAGGAAGGTGGTCTGGCGTCTGGGAGAGGCTGCAAAGGGGGTTGGGCTGTTGAGCCCAGTGCTGGGCTGGCTGTGGTCTGCTAGCAGCATCTTGGATGCCAGTGAGGTTTGTTGGGAAACCGGCCGGATGGCCTGGCTTTGTTTTAAGTGGGGTGTAGCAGGAACTTCTGTGCAACCAAGTGGACACAGAGCAATATTAGGCCGAGCTCTGAGAGGCCCAGTGTGCCATTTCTCAGGACGCAGCCCACTCAGCCTGGAACCCATGCCCTTGATACCTGTGGCTACTCACTCCCCTTCACCTCTTGTCCCAACAAAATTCTAGCTTGCAATTGGGTTGGCCTGGCCAGAGAAAGCCAGATGGCTTTGCCTCTGCAGCCAGACTGCTGAAGGCCCATTTCTATGATTCACAAGTGAGTCCTATTTAACTTTGTGAACACACACTTCAGTCCATTGCTTGGGCAAAGGAGAAGAGATACAGACCTAATCCAGCTGCATATCCAGACAGCTGAGTGTTGATCAGCTATAAAAAGGAATGCGGCTCTAACAGGGACTACAACAAGGATGAGACTTCAGCCCCAGGTAAAGGAAGATAGTCCCAAAGGATGGGGCAGCATGCCATGGCAGGTGGATGAAGGCTCCATGGTGGACCTGTTCACTGAGAGAGGAAGAGCTCAGAGCGGCCAAGGCAGGGAAGGGAATGGCCACTCATGGGTGTGGGGGCCGCTCATGGGTATGGGGGCTACTCACAGGAGTGGTGGCTGCTCGCGAATGTGGTGGCCGCTCATAGACTTGGTGGCCATTCATGGATATGGTGACTGCTCACAGGAGTGATGGCCACTCCCAGACATGATGTTTTATCCTGGGCTGATGATGTTCTAACCTTTGGCGACAGTGATGGCTGTACAATTCACAGGGTTCCCACGGCAGGGGCGGAAGGGTCAGAACTCTCTGTGAGGTAGGTGCACAGCCAGAGAGGAGGTCACTGCCATGGAACATGTACTCCTGGTAGTTCCCAGAGTGCAAGGACTTAGGAGGAAGTCAGGGGAGCCTCAGGAGGGTCCGGGGGACCCCAACAGGAAGTTGGAGCTCTACATGCTGGAAGACAGGTTTAGGGGGGCACTCTGAGGAAAGCTGACCTCTTGACCCCCTCTCCACACAGGACTCATTGGTCAGGGCTCTCCTGCCCTCTTCCACTTCTCTCCTCCCAGCCTGCCCAGGGAAGTTGAAATCAGGTTCAGGCTTGGGGCTGAGGTGCCTCTGGCTGGCCCCACTGCTGGCCCCACCCCCTCTGACAGCTGTCCTGCACATCCCTTCTGACCTCCCATCAGCAGCAGCTGCCCACACCTCCCATTCCCACCCTACGTGGGGCCTTGCAGGCTGCTGCAGTCCCACAGGGAGCAGGGCCCGCTGCAGCTGACTTCATGGAGTCTCCTCTCTGGTGGGGGCACTGGTGACCAGCAGTGGACTGGGAAGGGAAAGGCAGGTAATCCCAACAGGTGGAGGAGAGAGAGTAGAGCAGCTGCAAGACAAGACCTGGGCCTCCCCAGGGCATGGAGAAGGAACAGGTTATTTGGACAAAGCTGGCATGGCCATATAACTTCAGCTAAGTCCCTAAGTGGAAGGAAGGAGTGGACCATGGGGAAGGATGGACTGCCAGGCAGCAAAGAACTTGACCTCTTAAAGGATACATGAGGAGGCTGGGCAGTGGTCAGGGCGCCAGAGTGGTTAGACCCTGGCCTGTCCATGGGGGACTTCATGGGCCATGGCAGGCAGAGGAAGGGTGCTGAGTAGGGGTCTTGGTGATATCCCCCCTGGAGTGGGGGTGGGGAGGCTGTCCAAAGGCTGCTGCTGGTCTGTGTATTCCCTGAGGGGTGAGCCTTTGTTACTAGGTACCTACCTGGCAGCTTGCTTGCCTGCCTCAGGCCTGGGAGTGAATAGCATTCGGGAGGAGGGTGGCTAGTCCCCACTCCAGAGCTGGCTGGCACTGAGTCCACGTCCTTTTGCCCTCTAGAGGCAGGCAAAGTACTCGGAGAACAAGCTCAAGTGCACCAAAGCCCGCAACGACTACCTGCTGAACCTGGCAGCCGCCAATGCAGCCATCAGCAAGTACTACATCCATGACGTCTCGGACCTGATCGATGTGAGCCCCGGGGCAGAGGGGGGCTGCGTGCACAGGCATGTGGGGTGGCCAGAGCTCTTTGGAGCCCGTAAGCATGTGGCATGCTGAGTCCCGCGTGGGCCCCTGTGGTAAGGTGGGGGTTAATAGACTCAGCTGTCCATGTGATAGCAGGTAGGGAGCTGTACAAGGACACACATCAGCTCCCATGGAGGCAGTTGGGCCAGCTGGGAGGAGTCAGGCAGTATAAGCCAGGAAGGAGAAGCTGTTCTGGCTGTGCAGGACACGCTGGGGACAGCAGGGCCTGGAGAAGGAGTGCCGGGCTCTTGGCCAGGAGGGCGTCTCCGTCTCTCCTGCTTGCAGTCCCCCACCCCGAGTGCTTTGTCTGGGCTCTAGGCTGGCTGTGATGGCTCTGTGTCCACCAGCCCTGCGGTATGCTGTTGGAATGTCAGTCTCTGCCTTCCCCCTTCAGGAGACACACCTGACCCAAGAAGAGGGGCCGCAGCCTCCCAAGCTGCCTGAGGCCACTCCCCACCTCCTTCTGGATTTCTGCCTTTACACTTTCTACCCCACCCGAATGTTTGCTGAGTCATTGCCATGGGCAGGAGCTGGTGGCTCGGTCCTTAGGGGACTCATCCCTGTGGAGCACACTTTCACAGGCCACTGCAGTGCCAGGGGCCACAGAGTGGACAGTGGAGGACACCTGGCGCTCAGTGGTCACTCTTAGTGAGGAGGACATCAAAGAAAGCCTCCTGGAGAAAGTGGCCTCCAAACTGAATCCTGAAGGAGGAATATTCCAGGCATCCAGGCCGAGGGGACGCGTGTGGAACCCAGAAATCAGAAAGGCAATGAGGAATTTGGTGCTTCAGGCCACCTCACAGCCTCAGAGCTTTGGCAGGGTCTGGGGGAGCAGAGTTCAGCATGCATCGGGCCCGCAGGATGGTCAGCTCCGTGGCTGGGGCCCTCACGGGCATCCTCCTGTTGTCTCCTCTTCCCAAGTGCTGTGACCTGGGCTTCCATGCCAGCCTGGCCCGCACCTTCCGCACCTACCTCTCGGCGGAATATAACCTGGAGACGTCGCGCCATGAGGGCCTGGACACCATTGAGAGCGCCGTGGACAGCCTGGACTCCCGGAGCGACAAGCACACAGTGATGGACATGTGCAACCAGGTCTTCTGCCCACCACTCAAGTTCGAGTTCCAGCCCCACATGGGGGATGAGGTCGGTCTTGCAGGTGCAGTGCTTGAGGCCATGTCTTTGCTGTCCTCAGTCAAAACTAAATATCTGTAAGGGAAGGAGGGAGAGAGAGAGTGAGAGGAAGAGAGAGCATGAGTAAATGAGAAATTGAGTTAGTGCCTATCCATTGGTTCACTCCCCCAAAAATCCACACCAAGAACTGGAAGCTGGGAACTCAGTGTGGGTCTCCCTCACAGGTGGCAGGAACTGGGGATTTGAGGCCTCACCCTTGTCCCCCAGTTGTGCATCCACAGGAAGCTGGGCTTAGGGACTAGAGCCAGAAATCAAACCCATGTGCTGGGATGCGGCTGGCTTACACACTTGCATCCTTAAGCACCTGGGTCTTGCTTAGCCCTGACTGGAAGATTTACAAAGAGCAGCATTCCATTGGCTGCTGGTTCTGCAGTCTGCAGGCATGGTATTGCCTCCTCATCCCTACCCAACCCTCACTGAGGACCGAGGTACCTGTGGGCTCCTGCTCAGAACCTTGCTCCTTTCTGAAAATTGAAAAAGAGAGGCAGAGAGGACCCTTGCCCTTGGCCCTGATGCAGCTGCTGGCCACCACAGAGTCACCCAGAAGTGTCCCATAGGCTGCTCCTCCCATTGGGAGCAGGTGACCCAGGCCTGCCTCAGGGCTCCAGAGGGCTCAGCTTCCACCCTGGCCCTGGGCTTTGTCGACAGAGACCTCCTGTCCCTCAGCTTATTGCCCTGTTCCTGCTGGGGCATGGCTGGCAGCCCAGCCCTCCAGGGGTGATGGTACAGGCAGACCATCCGCTATCTCCCAGTGCCTGCAGGGTGCTGGCTTAGAACCCCCAAAGTCCACAGGAGCTCAAGCCCTTACCATCCCCATCCACACATCTTCTCAGTCCTCCAGGTTGCATCTGGTTGGCCTGTGACAGCTTGCATTGTGTATATACTGCGTGAGCAGACTTTACAGCCTATGGTTCAGGGAGTTGAGATAGCAAGTGCACAGACTGCCTGTCTGCACGTGTTTGGGCCTTATGCAATGGCTTGCCCTGCAGGAGTCTCGTCCACGTACCACTGGCCTTGTGGGTGTAGACTCTGTGGGTAAGGAGGGTCACGAGCCACCAGCTGCATCACCAACTAGGCTCGGGAGTGCCTGGCTGGGGTCCCTTTTGCCTCCTCTCCCCTGGGTTTCTTAGAACATTTAGCCCCTGATCAGAGCTACTTGCTTACAAGCCTAGGACTTAGTTCTGTCCCATGAGATGGCATCTGGACTCTCCATCAATCCCCGGGTGCCATCCATATGTGAAATGAGGCTGCTGGGAGACACGATCATGGGCACTGGGGTTCCCATGCGGCTGCATGGGCAATGTGCATGAGCCATGTGCTTAGCGCTGGTGGCTCTGCCTGTGCAATAGGTGTCAGCCCAAGCTGGGCTCCACATAGGTAAGGAGGCCCCGGCAAGCACAGGTGGTGGCTGTGTCTCTGCAGGTGTGCCAGGTCAGTGCCCAACAGCCCGTGCAGACAGAATTGCTCATGCGGCACCACCAGCTGCAGTCCAGACTGGCCACACTCAGGATTGAGAACGAGGAGGTGAGTGGATCCCACAGTGTCCACCTGGGCCTGTCCTGATTGTCACACACCCCAAGAGTCCTCAACAGCCTGGGGCAGCACTCAGGGGACACTAAGAGAAGGGAAAGTGCCCACCAAGGAAGAGGCAGGGCCTGTGACTTGTGCAAGTGCGTCCCAAGCCCAGAGGTAGCCTGGGGTCGCTGTCCCCAGTGCTAATCTGAACTCCCGGCTTAGAGGTGCTTTTCTGGATGCTTTGGTGCTTTTTTCTGTGGCAGTACATTTCTGTTCTTTTCCTCAGCAGTAATAGTGCTGGTGTTTTAAGTCACACCACAGAATAGAGAACCCGGGATTTAGCACTCTGGAAAGGGGGGTGAGTCTTCCTCAGCCCAACAGCCTCCCACCCAGCGGGGGGCCACAGAGGGCAATGACAGCCAAAGTAGTGGATGTTGCATTTTGGTATGCCCTGAAGAGGCCACCCAGGAGACCCCTGACTGCAGCCTGGGCATGGGGCTCTGGGGGATGCTGGCTCAGGCTGTGGGTAGCAAGGTGGTGCTGGGAAGTGAAGCCGTGTGGGAGGGCCCTGTCTTTGGCTCTCAGGAGGGGGCCTGGGCAATGAGGGCAAGCAACTGTGGCCCAGCCCAGGAATGGCCATAGGACACATATCACACATGTGCTTCAAGCCAGGCCAGAGACAGGAGATAACAGAGCCCTCTGCTGGTCCATGCACGCCTCTTCCAGAGGCTTTCAGGTTGCTTACATAGATACCAATGTGAATGGAGTTTCAAGTGGGAACCAGGATTGAACAAAAGAGAGTAGAGTCCATTTTCTCCATGTGGGCCCCTCATGGGACGGGAATACCCCTGACTGAACCCAGGTCAATCCGTGTTCAAAAGAACCAGTGTCCCCACCAGGTGTTGTGTCAGGTCGTATCCACCCGGGCATTTACAGAGTCCGTGTTACGGTCTCAGCCCTGGTCTGGATGGAGAGTAAATTGGGCAAACTTGGCAGTGCAGCACCTACTGCCGTGGAGTTGGTGTCCCAGGCATCAAGACAAGCCAGCCAATGGGTGACTGAGTGTGGGGGATGGGAGAGCTGCAGAAGGTTCACGAAAAGGAATTTGAAGATGAGTTGATCTGGGTGTGAAAAAGAAGAGGCCGATGTCGTCCATCCACCGCGTCACTCCCCAGTCCCTCAGGAGGCAGGAGCTCCATTCAGATCTCCCACATGGGGAACTAAGTGTTCTGGGAGAAAAATGTACGTGGTTTTCAAAAAATATTTTTCACCAAGATCAGTTTATCTTTTAATTTCATTTTTTTTTCCCCTGCAAAACGTTCTAGGCACTCTCCTATTAGACAGGGATAGACGCCAAGCTAAGATGTCAGCAGAGGCTGATGCCACCAAGAGGGGACGTTGAGGCTGAGGTTGGAGGGACTGAGAAAGAAACTTTGGGACCCAGTGTTTGCACAAACCTAGGTGCTGGAGCGACCCCAGCATGCAGGTTGCTGTGGAGAGGCAGCCCTGTGTGGGAGGGCAGTCAGGTTGCTGTGGCCTGCTCGTGTGATCACGGGGGTCCCACCTGGCTGCAGGAGAACTGGGTCCTGCTAGGGCAGTTGGTGCCCTCCTCTGCCACCACCACCTTCTCTGAGCTTCCCAGGGAAGGTTCCTGCACTTGTCAGCAGAAATCCCCCTATAGTGAGGACGCCACCTGCCCCAAGCTCTGCCCTTCTCTCTCCTGAAGTCTAGACCCAGGGTCTTGGGTCTAGGGCAAGGGGGAGGAGCCAGCATGGGCCAATGGAACCAGACCAAGGTAGCAAACTGAGAAACCTGCTTGCCTAGTTCAACACCTCCTTCTCTAAGGTTCTCTCTGGTAGATGCAAGACCCTAAAGTGACTGGTAGTTCAGGCCAGCTGGCTTCACTCTGGGCATCCTGGTGATCTGTGAGCCTCACAATGGTGAGGTGGGACCAGCCATACGTGCCCTGCCCATGCCCAGGCACATTGTGAAGGGGGTACATCCCAAGTGCTAGCAGAGTAAGGGCGGTGTCTCACCAGGTGAGGAAGACCCTGGACGCCACCATGCAGACCCTGCAGGACATGCTGACTGTGGAGGACTTCGACGTCTCTGACGCTTTCCAGCACAGCCGCTCCACCGAGTCCGTCAAGTCGGCCGCCTCCGAGACATACATGAGCAAGATCAACATCGCCAAGAGACGAGCCAACCAGCAGGAGACGGAGATGTTCTACTTCACGGTGAGGGATGGCCTGCCCAGCACCCACCAGCCACAGAGTCCCTGCCCCAGCCTGTGAGAGGGTGCTTGACCCCATGGTATTTCTCCAAAGTGCAGAAAGCAAGCTACCAGCAAGTGGCAATGGGCATTGAGCTTGGGTGGCACTTAAGGAGATTTTCCTGCTAGAGAAGAGAGAGAAAGAGAGAGAAAAAGAGAGAGCTTGCACTCAGCTGGGTGAGCAAACATGGCCACAGAGATTCAGGTGCAAGCCCCAAATAGCAATCCTAGGAGTATATTTTGGCTTTGAGCTTGAATTCCCTTAAATTTGGGTGTGGGCTTTAGAGACGATGCCTTTGGCAAACCAAGAAAATTCTCCCAACCCAGGGATGCACCCCTAAACACGCTCCAGGCACACAGGTGTTCTCTTTATCTCATGCTCTTACTGAAAAGGAGGAGAGATTGGTTTCCTATGATGGTCTGATCAGCTCAGAAAAGAACAGAATTATCACCGTTCTCCTGCTAAACACTTAACATCCAAAGCTCTCTCTCTCACACACACGCAAACACACCACAAGTGCATGTAAATGTATCAATTCAAAAGCTCCTGGAAAGTATGGATCATTAGAAAATTGTGTGCAGATTCCTGCACCAAAGTGAATGTATCTTTTGCTTAACCTTCCAGATGTTTTGGGACAGGCAGAGAAATGCCACAGAGCGCTCTCTCATCCACTGATCTGGCCCAGGCCCTGGCACCGGCTCCTCAACCTGCTGGCCATTGTGAAGCTGAGAGCTGGCCAGCTTCAGCCCAACCCTCCTAAACCTGCGGGGCTAGGGCCCATTTTCTGGCCCCAGCCCTCCCACCTCCCCAGAAGCTGTGAAGTTGGGAGAGGCCATGAGCAAATGCCCTGGCAGGGAACAGGGCTGGCGTGGTAGTGGGGAGAGCAGAGGTCTTTGATTCCATTTCCCCACACCCCTGCAGTGCCTCAATAGATGTGTTCCTTTGAAGGTTCATGAGCATCCATCAAGTTCTCTTCTCTGGGTGCAGCTGGAGAACACAGGTGCTGGGGAGGTCCCACATTCCTCATCAGGCAGGTTCTCTCACGTTGGAGGCCCCTAGTGGCTGCAAACCCTCAGAACCCAGCTTCACCTGCCTATGGGCACTGGGGCCTCAGCAGATTCAGGGGGCGTGACTTCCAGACTGAGTTCAATGAAGAAAACTAGCTATTGAGGCTGAGGCTGAAGACAGAGTTAGTAAAAATATGCAGCTGGACCAACGCTGATCGAGCTGTGGTCATTTAACTCACACACACACACACACACACACACACGTCCTGGTGTGTGTTAGCTTGTGACAGGGCTTGCCAGATCTCCCTGGGTCATCCTCTACTGCTTTCCCAGGTCACAGGCAGGGAGGTGGATGGAAAGTGGAGCAGCTGGGATACAAACTGGTTCTCATGTGAGATCCCGGTGTATGCAAGGTGAGAATTTTAACTACTGAGCCATCATGCCAGGCTCTGCTCTGGGACTTGGAGCGCTGCTGGATGTCTGTAGTCCTCCCTGGGGTGGGAGATAGATGGTAGTGCGGTGATTTGCATTCGGACAGCTCTCTCTGCTGGCTATGGGCCCCAGGTCCTCTGCCTTGCAGACACCCTGTGGGCTCAGCCTCAGCTGACAGAAATATCCAGTTATCCCTGGCACCCCAGAGTAGGTGCTGCAGCCCTGGGTTCATATCCATCAGGGCAGAGGCAGTGAGACACTGCTTCCTCATCTGCCAACCAAGACTGGGCCAGCCCGAGCCCTTATGTTTGTGAAGTGTGGAGTCCTCTGCCAATACAAAGTGGACAGGTAGGGATGGAGGAAGGTGCCTCAGCCTTTCTCCATCCTGGTCACGGCACCCATATCCTGCAGGTGGGCATGCACGAGGCCACCAGGTGTGACCTGTGCATGTGTCAGAGCCCCCTCACCACCGGACCTTTCCTGTGCTGCTGTCCCCAGCAGAGGTCCTTGTCACAGAGGGAATTGGGGTACCAGAGCCTCTAGGGCTGTCTCTCCTGCCCCTTCAGAGAGTGCTGGCCAGGCAGCCAGAAGACCCGTCTGAGACAGCAGCAGAGGCAGATGGGCAGCTGTGGCATGACTGTCTTCTTGGCCCATTCTCCTCGGCTTGCGATGTCCCTGCCCTCTGGGCCTCCACTCTGCAACCAGGCCTCCTTGGGCTCTCTGTCCCCTGGCCACGTTTAATCTTTGTCCATGGCATCCACTGGGTTTGGTTCTTGTTTCTCTCCCCATCTTGCCCCTAGAGAGTAGGAATCCTAGGAAATGTGCAGCTCCTGGGCCAGGCAGGAGGTGGGTGCAGATCCTGCTGCCCCTAGGCTCAGGACCCAAAGGGGTCATGCCCTGAGTGCCAGGTAACGAGGAAGGCTAGGACATACCCATGTGTAGGTGTGGTGGAGGCCTGGGGGCTGTATCTCTGTTCTGGATGTTTCTGTCCCAGGGTGCCCCGAGCTTGGTAAGGCTTGGCCAGGGTGTGTCGTGGCCTGCCAAGGCTGACTTCCCTGAGACTATGGGTTCACCATGACCCTGTGCCATCTTTCTCACTGGCACCAGGCAGGACCTCCTGTACTTGTCGCAGCCTGAGCTCTTCCAGTCCCACCCAGCTCCTCCCCTGCAGCGGGGCTGGGTGTAGCTCCTGACACACTGTGTCTCACAAGTGTCCCCTCTCTGTCCTCACAGCCCAGAGGCACAGGGAAAGCTGTGATGATGGAAGCAGCCCTTGCCTTTTCTCACCTGACAACATTCACGGCCCCCATTCTCTGGGCACCCTCAATGGTGAACTGCCCGCCTCTCCCCCGTGGGACTCCCTGACCCAGAGATTGATTACAGCTGCAGAGGTTCCAGCCTGTGGCCCCTGCGGTCCGTGACTTTGCTGCGCATTGTGTCTTACAGAAATTCAAGGAGTATGTGAATGGCAGTAATCTCATCACCAAGCTCCAAGCCAAGCATGACTTGCTCAAGCAGACGCTGGGTGAGGGTGAGTGTACGCAGCTACCGCACGCTGCTGCTCCAAACGGGCCGCTCAGGAGGGAAGCAAATGCTTGAGGAGGTTCCCGGTCTGGGACTGGGCAGCCTCTTTAGCCTGGTGTCTGATGAGAGCTGAGGGTGTGGGGGAGCTGCATGCAGAGGAGAGTGAGGCCTAATGCTGGAGGACTGCCCTTGTGAGGGGGCGGCTACTTGCACCTGTGCATTCCCGTACCCTGAATTGAGGAAACCAGATGTGTTTTATTTTTAAAAAATGATTTATTTTTATTTGATGACAGATTTTAATAGAGAGAGAGAGATCTTCCATTGGCTTGTTCACTCCCCAAATAGCTGCAATGGCCAGAGCTGGGCTGATTTAAAGCCAGGATCCAAGAGCCTTCTTCGGGTCCCAAGGAACCAGGCCATCCTCCATTGCCTCACTAGTCCACGAGCAGGGAGCTGGATTGGAAGTGGAGCAGCCAGGATACATATGGAATCCAGGCACCTGCAGGTGGAGGATTAGCCTGCAGGTTAAGCCATTGTTCTGGTTCCTAGAGAATTTTTAAAGTGAATTTTTAATTTTGTTATTTCCAGAGAAAATGGGAAAATAGGATCCCCAGATACTGGAGTCCCATGGTGCTCTGTTTGTAACGTGTCACACCGTTGTCCCAATGATTGCCCCAGTGATGACAATCAATGTTCTCTGTGAACTAGAGTGACAGGAAAATGGAAGCTGTGGAGACCTGGTACGGCCAGCCCCTGCCGTGTACCGCCTGCATTGGGGGCATCCTTGGGTGACTGTCCTTGTGTTAACATCACAGCTACTGGGCAGTGTGAAGGCTGGAGTGTGTGTGTGTGTGTGTGACTGAGCAGCCTGCTGTTCTTAGGCATGAGCGCTGTGGCACGGTGGTGATGCCACCACTGTGTGCCGCCACTGGAATGCCGCTTCTAGGGCCAGCTGTTCTGCTTCTGCTCCAGCTCCCTGCTAAGGCATCCTGGGAGGTCATGAAAGATGGCTCAAGGGCTTGGGCCCCTGCCACTCGTGGGGGAGACTGGAGCTTAGTCCTGGGCTTCTGGCTTTGGCCTGGCCTAGCTGTGGCTGCTGTGGGCATTTAGGGGTTTAACCAGTGGGTGGAAGCTCTCTGTTTCTTTTCTTTTAAAAAAAAATGTTTTATTTTATTTGAAAGCCAGAGTTACACAGAAAGAGAGAGATCTTCCATTGACTGGTGCACTCCCCAAATGGTGGCAACGGGCAGAGTTAGGCTGGTCCAAAGCTGAGATCCAGGAACTTCTGGATCTGCAACATGGGGGCAGAGGCCCATGCACTGGAGTCATCTTCTGCTGTCTTCCAATGGGAATGTGAACTGGCTGCTATATGAGATGCCAGCATTGCATGTGGAGGATTATCCTGATATGCCACTGCGCTGGTCCCCCACCCCTTACTCTTTCTGTCTCTAGCTCTGACTGATGCGTGTGACTGTCCTGGGCATAAGACTGTGGCTTAGATGGGCAAGAACATGGCTAGGGTAGGGAAGGGCAGGAAGAGCTACTGTGTGCTGGGTGGCCACAGAGGCCTGCTGGGAGGCTGAGCTGTGAGAAGGAGAACCTGGGTGTGGGTGGGGCAGGGAAGCGGCTCCGGCACAGGCTGGAGAGGTAGGGGCAGAGCCTGTGGGAGTGGACTCAACAGGAGACGGAGCAGGAAGTGATCCTGGACAGCACATCCCTCAAGCCCAGCAAATCGGCCATCCTGCCCAGCTTTCTCCCTTGGCTGCAGCCTAGCCCGCTGCATGACATGACCTCTGGCTGCCACCTGTGCCTTTGGTTCAGATGGACCCCAGGCGGCTGGCTCTCTGCCTCCCCTTGTTTCCCTCTTGCACCTCATTCTGCACAGAGCAACACATGTGTGCTCAGGTCTTTGTTTGAGAAGTTTGCTGGTGCCACTGCTGGGTGGGGCTGGGGTGCAGTGCTGAGCTGGGTGGGATGGAGGCCTTGGAACCCTGAAGCACGCAACAAGAGGTACAGAACAAACATCAGACCTCCCAGTTAAACTCAGACTATGTTGGGATGCACGTCCACAGGCTTGGCTGTCACATTTGAGTGTCACGCGTCTACCCCCTCACCAGGGTATGGCATCCCAAAGTCCAGACAGAGGGCAGCCATTCGAGGCCAAGCAGCACCAGTAGGGAGCCATTGAGTTGGAGGCAAGTCTGCCTGGGAATGGCCATCGCTCTTTAGTTCCTGTTTGTGTTGTTGGAATGGGCATCTCCCAGCCAAGGCCAGAGTGGAGTCAGCCTGTCTGGGATGGACTCTGCCCACTGCCCAAGCAGGGGCCGGGCAGCTCCCCTTCAGATCTGCTTACCTGGACTCACCTGGGCTCACAGGGTTGACACCCTTGTGCACCTGTCCCAGCATTTCCCATACTGTGGACCCCATCTACCTGGGGACTTGGAATCCTTAAATACTAAGCTGCTTCAAAGTGTGAACTTGCTCTTTACTTTATTCCTCCAGTAAGTGTGAATGCTGGGAAATAAGGAAAGAGTTTAGGAGGAAAGTGATGGAGACCTGGGCTATGGGACAGTGTTGTAATGAAGGGATACAGATTTAAGACATGCAGAAAGAAGTGCCAAGGAGGGTGCTGGGACTTCCAACTGGAGCATGTGGGTGGGTGGTGGCCCATTTACCAAGAGGTTGAAGACTTGGGTAGAGGTCAGCTTGGGAGCTTGGAAGGAAGGAGGCCTGGACATCACAGATGTTCAGTGAGACCAGTAGGACAGTAGGCAGGGAGTGATTGAGGAACAGAATCTGTTCTCATGGTGAAATATCACTCAGCCATGAAAAGAAACACAAGCAGACTCATGGGTGAGTCCCTAAGAGTGTCATGTCATGGAAAGGCAGCTAGGTGCAGCAGGGCACGAGCCAGATAATTCCAACCACAGGTGGTATGGCACTGAGGACAGAGGATGGAAATGTGGTCCTCTGGGGCAGGGGAGGCAGAAATGGGAGAGCCTGCCCCTCCATGTTGGGAGGTGAACTTTCCTGGCTCATGAGTTTAGACCCCTCTGTGACTCCCATGTCTGCTTTCCTTTGCAGGGGAGAGAGCGGAGTGCGGCACCACCAGGTGAGAGTGGGAGGAACCCAGACTCTGGGTCCTGCTGCCTGCTGTCAGGAGTGGGCTGGGGGTGGGGGAGCTGAGCACAGGGGAGCCAGAGGGCAAGGGGTACCCAGGAAGGCACAGATGCTCTTGTGCCTTCTTCGCTTTTCTTAGCACTCAATGGTAAAGCTACAGCCATCCCAGCTGGCAGGGTGGCCAGGAGCACCCTTTGGGGACTGCTGTGTGGCTGCAAGGCATTCTGCATTGGCAGTGGCCCTCACTGGGACAGGGGTTGGGCAGGCAGGAGAGGCCAGCAGTCGTGGGTGGGTGGGCTCTGGATCCCCAGCATGCGCACACAGTGAGCCCGGCCACCTGCTGCTGCACCCTGGCTTGGCCTGGCGGGTGTCCACTCCCTGGGCCCCTGCAGCTGAGCAAGCCCTGCTTTCTCCCCAGCGTGTCCCACACTGTCCCTTGTGCTTGTGCCTGAGCAGACCAGAGCCAGTGAACTTTCTCTGGGGTTGGGGCTGGCCGGCAGGCAGCTGCCTTCCTACCAGAGTATAGATTTCTTCGCAGCCTCAGGAGAGGTCCCTGAAGCCTGTCCGTTTTCAGTTCCTTCCCCCCAGCCCTTGGCCCTTGAGCTATGGTGGGGGCCCCAGGGTCACAGTCCAGTGTTCATTTGGGCCTCAATTTCTGGACTAGTTCTTGTCTTACTTGCACATCTTGCTGATGCCCCAGAACCCCTGGGAAGCCACTGCCTTGGTGAGGTCAAAGAGGACTGCTGGGCACTGCCCTGGCCTGGGGGCAGAGAAGGCAGGGCAGAGGTCCCAGGAGCTCAGAGAGGGGATTCTAGCTTAGGGCCCCCAGCAGAGGGAGACTGAGGTGTTCTACAAGTTTCCTCCAGTAGTCTGGGAACGTGAGAGTGACACACCAACCAGGTCTCTCACCACATAGGGCAGCACATGTGCATGGTTGCCATCAGAGAACCTCAGAGAACCTTCTAGAAATGAGCCTGTTATTGTTGTGATGTTTTGGGGCAAGAGAAAGCTAGCACAGTCTCGGGTCAACAGAAGCCCCATTTTATAGCAACCACTCCCCCACAAACCCCTACAACCCACTGATAGTGGAACACACAGTGGGGCGAAGGCTCCCAAGGCCCAGGACTCATGTGGGAGACTGTAAGCAGAGGAAGAAGTGGTGTCCCATCTCGGGGTCTTCCCAAGGCAGAAGTTGAGAGGTGCTTCTGGTTTGCTGAAGTGTTGCCCCCTACTCCCTCTTTGAGCCAGGGCCTGGGAAATCCAGGGGAAACTCCCCTCCCCACTGACTGAACCCCCTGCACTGTACCACAGGCCTCTTGGGGTACATGCTGACCTCTGGCCAAGGTCATGGGCCACTTTGTGATTAAGCTGAAAGTTTTTTGGGGGATGACCCCAAAAACATTGCTGAACCTGTGGAGCTCACTGCCAATTTGGTAGTGTGGCCAAGTGTCCGGAGTGTGCCTTAGTGTCCTGCCCGTGGGCACTGTCCTTTTGGCCATGCTTCTGTTGTCTCCAGCTGGATGGATCAGCATTTGCACATGGGCTGCAGTGTATGGGTTCTCTCTCATAATTCAGAACCTTCTAGAAAAGCACACACACTCAACTGCCCCATCAGTCTGTCCGGATGAGAGAGTGTCCTTCAAAATGGGGTCCCATAGAGAGAGCAAAGCAAGATACAGGTGCAGGTTTTGATGGGTGTGACCCAGACTCGGTTCTGACTCTCCCAACCCACACCGATTGGCCCTGTTGTCTGGGTCTGAGATAAAAATCTTGCAGATGTGGCCCACATGCAGCCTGACACTGCCTCCCCTGGGGACGCTGGGAGGAAGTGTGACCACACCCTTTCTGTCAGTGACTCTGAAGCCAGCTCCTGTGTTGCCCGTGCCGGGTCCTTCGGCAAAGGCTGAAAGGGGACATTGGTCTCTGGTTTCTCTTCCTCTCTGTGGCCTTGTCTGCACCTGTGTTCCCTCCCTCCCTTCCTCCCTCCGTCTCTCTTTCTCTCTCTGTTTCTCTTTTCCCTTCCACTCTGCAAACGAGCAGCAGAAGAGATGGAAGGCTTAGGCTGCCCCACTTCCCGTGGCTGAGCTGCCCCCCTGCTCCCTACCTTGTGCCCCACCCAGCTCTGCAGTAAGTCATTGTCGGTTTGCTGTCATGCACGGTTGGGATAGCTACGTTTCCTTGTCAGACCTTCCAGCCCACGCACAGAGACCACACAAACAAGTCCTGCCAGGGTGCCAGCTGTTCTGTGGCATCTGGAATGGGCAGGCAAGATGGGAAAAACACATCCTTGTTTTCCTTGATTCCTTGACTCTATTTTCCAAAATGTGCACACACACACACACACATACATACATATATATAATGTACATATGTGTATACACATGGATAGATAGATAGATAGATAGATCGATCCTTCGTGCTTCTAAGGAAACTCCCTGGTTGAGCACCCTTGATTTTGATTTTTTTTTTACGTGGGATATTCTACACCCGCTCTAGGAGTCTCCCTTCTTGCTGGCTGCGGCCAGTTAATAAGAGGATGTGTTGGGAGTTCTCTCGTAAAATCATTTTCCCAGTGGCACGCTCACACTGGAACCTCGAGTTGGCTGAGCAGAGTTCCGCCTGCGGCCTCAGTCACATGGCATGTGTAGGACACTGGGTGGGCCTCTTCTCCCCCAGGCTCAGCTGCCCTTGCATATGCCAGTTATTTGAATGACTTGTTGTGAGCCTGCCGTGCAGTGTGGGGAAAGTAGATGACCTGTTCATGAGAAACAGCCTGTGGCACAAGCAAAGCAAGGGGACCGTGACATACGGCCAGCCTCGAGTGACTTCTCAGCCCCGAGCTCACTCCTTGCCCCTGGTGTCCTCCTTGGCACTATATTTGGGAGTTTGCATTTGGAAATTCAAAAGCAGACTTGTTATCAGAAATACTCCCACTTCCCAGCACCACCACCAACCATCACCAGGTACACACATCCTAAAAAACAAGCAAACAAACAAACAAAAAACAGTAATTGTGCAACAGAAGTGACACGGACTTAGCTAACCGAATTGCGTGGAGCCAAGGTGCTCTGGAACTCATGCTGCCTGCTGTTTCCTTTCAGCTCTTGGTTTGTGCTGTCCCTTTGGTTCTGTGGTCCGGGTGGCATGATGTTTGAGTCCACGTGTGTCTTTGCCCATGTGCGTACTGGAGCCGGCAGCTTTGGCTCAGTGCTCAGGTTCCTAGCAGCTGCGGATTTGCACTCCCTACATAGCAGGTGCAGGCTCCATGACCCTGCTCTCGCTATGCTGTGGTGAAACCCATAGAATTTTGTGTCCCTTCACAGAAATCCAATTGAGACCTGGGGCCTGTGTGGCCATTGGTGTCTCCCGAATTTGGGGCCTGTATGGGTCAGGGGGGTCCTCCCCCTAACCTCAGAAAGCGGCAGCCCAGAGTCAGACCCATTTGGGTGGAGATAAGAGCAAAGCCGCCAGCCCAGGGACGTGCATGGTGAGCAGTGTGGACACGGGCCAGTGTCCGTGGCTGTCTCCCCTGCTCTTGGCAAACTGTAATGTGGTCCTCTTCTCGTCGGCACGAGTGGAGCCCAGTCAACTCAGAGCTCAGAGCAAGGCAAGACACTTCTGGCCTGAGTCTGGGACCTGAGCTCATAGCCTCTCTTGTGGCATCAGCTTCTTCATCTCTGGCATCAGAATGGCTCTGAGACCCACAAAATAAGCAGTGGTCCAGAGCATGGAAGCGCCCGGAGGTGCCAGGGAGAGCGCTGCCCTGGTGCTGTGGTCAGTAAGACAGGTGATGGATTGAAGCCATGATAATGACCATCTCCCTTCCCAGCCAGGACTGCGAGTCTCTTGCTTGCTCGGGCTCCTGATCCCACCTCCGTGCCTGGTCGCCCTGCATCTGGTCAGTTTTGTAGATGCACGGCCTCTGAGCGCTGCCTGCTCTGACTCACAACTCACCCTTGTGATGCCCTGAGTTGCTCCTGCTTGACCTGGGGTGTTAATTAAGACGCACCCCCCAGGATGCCCCGAGGCCATCAGGTGAAGCACCTGCAGGTGGTGTTAGGGCGCTGGGGGCTCCTGTGTGCCTGTGCCCCCTGCGGCAGGGGTGTTAAGAGCACCTTCTGCAGGTGGTTGTTTGCCTTGGTTACTTTCTTGATTTCTTGTGTTCCGTTTTCCCCTAGGCCCCCCTGCCTTCCCCCTAAACCACAGAAAATGAGGAGACCTAGGCCTCTCTCAGTGTATAGCCATAAGCTCTTTAACGGCAGTATGGAAGCGTTCATTAAGGTACTTGCTGGCGAGGCCGTGGATTCCGCGAACGCGCCCGATGTAATGGCAGCTTGTGTCCGCTGGGGGAGCACATCGCCCGTCCTTTTCTACTGCCCTTTGGAACTGGTCCCTGGCCGCACCTTGTGGCCAGCTTCAGGGAGGGTTCCTGACCTCGCTGCTTTGCCTTGGGCCAGTTAGCCTTAGGTACCTCTGGGGTGTCCTGGGAAGGACCGCCCCCACACGGGGAGGAGATGCCGCCACGTGCCACTGCAGGGACCCCAGTGGGGAAGGGCGCTGGGGGAGCGTGCTTTATACCAGAGAGAGTGTTCCCCCTTTGCCCCCAGCCCCCAGCGTGCAGGGAAAGATGTGTTTTTCATGTTTCTGAGGGGCTCACCAAGGGGCAGCGTTAGTGGATGTTTGGGAACCTGTCCCACCCCAAGGACAGTGCTTCCTTGGGGCTGATGTCAGGAAGAAGCCCAGGGATGTCCTGGTTGCCACAGAACAGGTGCTCACCAGACTGTCCCATGGTGGCAGAGCGCCAAGAGCTGCATCCTAGTGTGCAGCAGGCTTCCAGGTGGCTGAAAGCAAGGGGGAGAAGGGTCAGGCCAGGTCAGGGGTGGGGAGCCTCCAGAGGACTGGACAGAGAGGAGCTGGCTAGACACCTTCCTACATCTGCAGCCAGGGCTCTTGGGAGAAGCCACCGCCCTCTGACGTTGCTGGGCAATTAGAAGCTGGTCAGTGCACACAGAGGCTCCACGCACACTGTGGGACTCAGAAGGAATCCACCCGATTCCTCCTGACCCACGCATCACATCTTTCTCAACCCTGTCTATGTGTGTTGTCTTCACGGTGGCTGTCTTGGCAGCCACCTGCTGATTCTCCTTCTGTTGCCCCGGCTGGCAGCTGCCTTTTGGCCAGTCCTCTGTAGAACTTGTCGCGTGGCTTGCCTCTGTGTTACCAGAACCATGGGTGAGAAAGGACACGTTGGCATGGAGTAGATGCTCTATGGCAGCTGTGCCACACCCTTGCGGCTGCAGAGTACAGGAGGGAAGTGCCGCCCTCAGTGCAGCAGCTGGACAGCTGGAATTGTGGAGAAGGAGAGGAATGGCCCATGTCCCCAGAGGCCCCTGCAGGCACGGAGCTTCTTAAGCTCTCGTCTTTGTTTACGAGTCACATGCCACCAGGCCTTTGAGCTAGGCTGGCCTGACTCCAAGAGGGGCTTGCAACAAGCGAGCGAAGACAGTATCCTGGGAGCTTGGCCCTCCCACCTCACTCACACACAGCCTTGCTTTCCACACTCTCAGCTACCTGAGGCAGCTGTGGTCTGAAGATAGGAGATGGAGTGCTCCAGAAAGGAGCAGCTGGATGTCGCCTCAGTGTCCCAGGCTTCTGTTGGTTGTCATCTGTCTCTCATTGTCCTTTGTGTATAAATGGAGCCCCGGCATAGGAGCATGTAGGACAGGCCACAGAGCTGTATGCAGCTCCGGGTGCTGGTAGGACCCGTGGGCCACATCCTCCATGGGTGCGCTGTGGCCTTGGTAGACTGCCACACCTCTGGAATGTGTTTCAGTTCCAGTGCTTCATTCCACAGAGGTGCTGGCTTAAAGCCTGGGCAGGAGGGTACCCACCTGAGTCATGGCACCTGCTGCTGAGGCCACATTCACGCTTCACTCAGGCTCTGCCCCACTGAGCACTGTGGAAGTTCTGGGCTTGCTTCTAATTCCCCTCCCTCAGAAGGAGGTTCCACTGTGTGTCAGGTTGGAAGTCTGGGATGGCAGGAGAGGGTGTGCACTTGTGTCTGTGATGGGAGGGGGCGGCATCCACATGTGACTATGGGGTGGCAGTCAGACACACACTCAGTCATATACACACGCAGCCACGCACAGTAACAGCACACTCACACATATAGACACACACTCACACACATGCAGCCATACACAGTAACAACACCTACTCACACACATAGACACACACAGCCATGCGCAGTAACAACACACCCACACACATAGATACACAGACACTCACACGGTCACATACGCACTTGCAGCCATGCACAGTAACAACACCTACTCACACACATATACACACGCAGCCACATGCAGTAACAACACACTCACACACATGCAGCCATACACAGTAACAACACCTACTCACACACATAGACACACACAGCCATGCGCAGTAACAACACACCCACATACATACACACACACAGCCAGGCACAGTAACAACACACTCACACACATAGATACACAGACACTCACACGGTCACATACACACTTGCAGCCATACACAGTAACAACACATTCACATACAGACATACAGAGACTCAGTCACACAGCCACACAGTGACAAAGAACACTCATAAATATAGACACACAGCCACCTGCAGTAACAACACACACTCACATACATATCACACATCCACTCACACGCAGCCACACACTCTTTCATACACTCTCCTTCCCTCTCACACATTATCACACACACTCAATCTTTCAGTTTATACACACTCACCCTCTCACACACACACGTGTCAGGGAAGGACTGACGTGCTGCTGAGTGGGGTCCCCTTGTGCCTTTCCGGACAGTCCAGGCTGCAGTCCTGTTGCTGAGACCACAGGATGGCCCTCCTGCTGCCACAGGGCTCTTGGTGCCATCACAGCGGGATGAAAGGCACAGGGCACAGCGGAGGAAAGCCAGTGACCTCTGGGAAGAGGCCTCAGGTGTTGGAGGGCAAGGCTGGGGAGGAATTTGCTGCTAGGTGGGGTCCTGTGGGACCCTGCTCCGGGGTGACTGCCTGGTAAACATGCACTTAGCTAAGTTGAGTCTGGCAGACTTTGGGCTGAGAAGGTGGTAAGCTGAGCTGTGCCCAGGAACAGTTTCCACAAGGGGTCCTGGGTGGGCTCCCTTCGGTTCAGGGAGGGGTAGAGTGCTGCTAAGGACAGGAGAGGTGGCTGGAGCAGCTGGGAGGGCAGGCTGGCTGGCCGGCTGGGGCAGCTCCTGCAGCCCTGCGGCCTGAGGTGCGGGGTGGGGGTGGGGTTCCCGGGCACTGCCCCCAGGACCCCCGGCTGCCATTGCATCCCCGCGTTCGCGGACTCTGCTGGACCCATGTGCTCTAACCCATCTTCCTCCTTTGTAACTTCTTCTTTTTCCTCCTGCTCTGCTGCCTTTTTTTTTTTTTTTTTTTTTGGCTATCAGAGGAAGAAGAAATGCTCGAACCAGGACCCAGGTATTTACTAGAAAGGCCCAGCAGCCCTCCCCTCCCCCATGCCCATAGAGTTACTGCCAGAGTAGGCGGTGCCCAGCTTGCCAACAGCTCAGGGAATTGGAGTGGGGTGGATTAGGGATCACTCTTGCTGTGGGCTCCCAGCTGCAGTGGAGCAAGGACAGTTTGCAGGCGGGGTGCGCAGGAACCCAGTGTCCCTGCCTTCCACGTAGCTTGTCACCAAGGGTGGCCTTTTTTTAAAAGAAAGCCATCCTATTTCATGTTGAAGTGAACTGGAATAGCAGAGAGGTCAGCCGTTTCTGAAGTCCGGAGGGAAATGGTCCCTTGCCTGGCCGTCTCTGGTCATAGACTGTCCAGGACGCCGTCACCACTCCCGCGGCCACTCCCCGATGCACCTGCACCTCCCTCAGCACTGCGGACCCAGGTTGGCCACTTGTTGGCCAGTACCTGACCCTCACTGCTGCCAGCCCTTCTCCTTGCTGTTCAGCAAAGCAAGTGGCTGGGTGCTCAGCTTATGTCACCATAAGTAGACTGGCAATCGCTACTTGGCACCTCAGTCCCCGTGGGGCCCAGCCCTGCTTTCCCCATAGTAGGTTCTTAGAAACCCTCACCTCAGTGACCTCAGACCCCAGGAGGAGGCCTGCCTCTCTGTCCCTGCATCCTGGGAAAACAGCATGGGAGGCAGAGACCCCCTCTGAAGCTGAACTTCAGCCCCCAGGCTTCAGCCCTGAGATGTGCCCATCCCCACCCCATGAGTCCGTGTCCCTGGCCCACAGGGGAAGTAGAGCATTTCTTTTTAAAGCCATCACAGCCACAGCTTCTGTGCACAGAACTCAAGGCTTGCTGTTGTAACTGTCTGTTCAGACTTGAGGACGAGCTGTTTCTTGTTTTCCTACTAATCTGATGGCACTAACCCTCTGGCTTGAATCTGGCGTCTGCGTTGTGGAGGTTTTGCCCATGGGGGTTGCCAAGCCCAATGCAAAGCCCCGTTTCTTTCCCCTCCTAAGGACTCAGGCCAAGCCATACCGCTCGTGGTGGAGAGCTGCATCCGATACATCAACCTGTATGGTAAGTGCTACCCCAGGACCCTGTGGCCTCTGTCCTGGCATTCTGGGCGGGGATGGGCAACAGAAAGTATTAGGAGAACCCAGGACCAGCTGGGCAGCTGAAAGTTGAGGTGCAGGGGAGTGGTACTACCCTCTGCCCAACTTGCCCATCCAGCCCTAGTGTGCTGTGTTGTGAGCGCCAAGTCCATTCCAGGCAGTGTGAGCTACAGGCAGGAACAGGATCTCGGCTGTGTTAGCCGCAATGTTGTCAGAGATGGAACCTGCACTGGCCCACGGCTGCATTGCAGGTGCCACTGTGCGTTGCGGGAATCCAGGGGTGGCCCCGCCCAGTGTCGCCAACATGCCCAACCGAAAGACAACAACCCTGTGAGACCTGTCCTTTCCGCTGGTCAGCCAGCGCTGGGGCTGGGGTAGTGAGGCCTCCCACAGGGTAAGGCTTGAATCGAGTGCCCAGGGAGCAGCATACCCAGGCGACAGGGACGGCGCTCACCACCGTGTCTGTCTTCTAGGACTGCAGCAGCAGGGCATCTTCCGGGTGCCCGGGTCTCAGGTCGAGGTCAACGACATCAAAAACTCTTTTGAGAGAGGTAGGTGCGGGGAGACGGCAAGAGCGCCCAGGGTGGGAGCCACTGTGTGGGGCCAGTCGACTGTGTGCTTCTCTTGTCAGCATCACATCCTGGGGCTTCACCCGTGGCCGGCGTGTTCACCCCTGCAGAAGGGGCATGCACTGCGCCCTCCCGCCCCTCCCAAATTCACGCCCCACCCTGGTACAGCCACTCATTCATGCGAGATGCTGCCAGGTCTGAAACTTGCTGAGCAGGGCCCTGGCTCTGCAGGTGGGAGGTGTTGTACCTGGCTGCCTGTGTCACCACGGTCACACAAAGCAATTAAACGTAGAAGGTGTACGTGGAACAGAAATCAATTCCATGCATAGTCTTAGGCCCCGTTGCCTAGGTATCTTGTGATATAGGCCCATATTCCAAAATTTTAGAGGGAAAACAATCAGAAATGTGTGACCAAAACTTTGGAGCAAAACTTGCTCAGCTTCCAGCACAGCAGCTGGAGGTGGCTTTTTGTAGTAGATGAAGTGATGCTTGCTTAGGACCAAACCTCAGAACGAGCTTGGGAACCTCTGCATGTACCTGTAACAGGTGCTGCGTTTGGGATAAGTTAGAAGAATCCAAAACACACTAGCTTTCAGAATGCCCTGCATGTCATTATTTCTGCAGGGCCGTTTAGCAGGCCACACACTGGGCTAAACCACCCCCTCCCAGAGAGGGTACCTAGTGCCCACCCACCTACATGCCCCACACAGAACCCCATGCCATCTCTTTTCCACCTGGCTGTTCCCTGTCTAGCCCTGCCTTACTCTCTGGATGAGTTGGACTTGGAGGTTGCTGGGAAAGACTCAGTCCCTCCCCTGATTCCTTGCTGTCCCTTACATTCAGTTGTGCCTGGCTTCCGCACAGCACACTTCTTCCCTTCCTCCCCCTGCAGGGCTGCCTTCAGAGCAAGTTCTCAGCCTCCCATGGACTCTGTGTCAGTCTGAGGTCTAACTCCCCATCCCAGAGTGGAGCCTGTACCCCAGATCCCAAGCACTGACCTTGGAGCAGGACTGGTCAGATGTGCTCAGCTCTGTCCTGGGGTCCCGGGTCCTGACCTCCACTCCAAGCAGCTGTGTGTCCCCTCATCTCCCTGCTCCCAGGGTTTCCCTGGGTATTCATTCATTCCCTTGACACTAGTGAACCAAGGTCATGTCCTAGGGCCTTGAAAGGTTGTGAGAGAAAACCACAGCTACTCCTGTCAGGGAGCCCATTGGGCAGCAGGCAGAGTGAGGCAGATGGGGCCACAATAGAAGAAGCCCTGGGTGGGACGAGAACTGCCAGCCCAGCTGGGATTGGAAGGAGATGGAGCAGTCCCGGAGTGGCAGAAGGAGTCAGGACCAGGTCTGCGAGGGGGCGGCGGGGGGAGGGAGACAGGACATGGAAGGGCCTTGCGAGGCCAGGCCACAGCTGGTGCAGGGCCTCTGCTGTCAGCGGCCCTCCTGAAGGTGTCCTTCGTTGCTGCCCTGAGCTTCGATGCCCGAGTTTTCTTCACCCACTCGGCTCTCTGTTGTTTGTACATGAACAGAAGCAAGGCCTGGAGCCTTTTCGGGCAAATTCCACGATGGCTGCCTTGAACGTGGGGGTCCTCCTACAGAAAGGGCAGCAAATGTTACAGATGCTGTAAGGTCTGACTTGCAGGGAAGGGAGTGGCTGCAGCAGGGTAGGGTTCTGAAGCTGAAGATACCCCGAGAAGGGTGCCACACTCTCTAGACCTGCCCTGTCTGAGCTCTGTTTGCTGCCTCAGCAGGAGGGGTGTGACCAGCTGGGACTCACCTGGTCAGGTGGTCAGCTTGAGAAGCCTGGGTGGCCCTCTGGCCACAGGCAGCTGCCCTGGTGACGGAGGCTTCCTCTACCTTCCAGCCATGGGTTCTCCCTGGGCCCTGTAGGGTCTGTGTTAGCAGGAAGCTGGGATTGGGAGCAGAGTCAAGACTTGAACCCAGGCACATGAATGTCCCAACCAGTGTCTCAGCCACCAGGCTAAATGCTCACCCTAAAAAAAATGCCTTTAAATGGAGAGACATGGCAGCTACCACCTTCACCCAGTGATCCAGTTATTGTCATTGGTAGCAGGGCAGCCAACACCCCCTGCCTCCTGGAGGGACGAGTCTGGTGTCCACAATGCTGCACGTGGAGTGTTATTGCCGAAACATAATGAACCTGTATCTAATGGTGAGGGAGCAGCCAGAGAGTGGCAGAATGGGAAGACGTCCAACAAGACATGTGGCCTGTCCGCTCCGGAAGGAGGCAGTGTTCGAGAAAACAGGAAGATGGACCAGGCTGTGTTACACCAGGAGAACGACCCACACTGAAGGAGTCGCATCCATGTAGCACCCATCTTGGATTTTGTGAAAGTGCTAGAACAGGCATGGTGGAACAGTTGGGGGCAGTGTTTGAACTGTGGGCTGGATGTGAGCAGTTGCTTTGTTGTGGAATGTGAGAGAGATCTCACTGAACCCACGTACGGAGTGTTAAGAGGAGTCTTTATTTCCCAAGCTTGGTGACAGCAGCTCCCGCTGCACTCCAGGAGCCGCTGCACCAAGTGCCAAAGTCAGGGATTTTTAAGCTCTCACCCCGAGAGCCACGCAGTACGAAGTGTCCACATGCAGGAGGCAGGAAGGGAGTTTTCCTGTAGTTACCCTAATCTAGCCCCGTAGGAGGCAGGAGGGGCCAGGTGGGTGTGTGGAGCCTCTGGAGTAATTTCTGTGCTGTTAGTTGTTCTGAATGATGTGAAGGCTAGAGGGGTGGGGTGTGATTTTCTCGCCTTCAATTCACTTGAATGGCACAAGAGCAGGCAGGAAGGGTGGGGTGGGAAACTCCGTTTCCGCGCTCTGTCCTTTGTGAAGTAAGCCGACAAGTGGGTGTGAGCCATCAATGGTCACACTGCGTCACAGCTTCGGAAATGATTGGTTATTGTTGGTCATCATCGTGTCATCATCGTTATGCCCTCCCTCAGGTCAACACGCCCTGTCCAGGGCATCGCTTCTGCTTTGGGCACACTCCCTGCCTCTTCCTGATCTGGTTTGCTCCCACAGGTGAAGACCCCCTGGTGGACGACCAGAACGAGCGTGATATCAACTCTGTCGCCGGCGTTTTAAAACTGTATTTCCGAGGACTGGAAAACCCACTCTTTCCTAAGGAAAGGTTTCAGGATTTGATATCCACTATTAGTAAGTATCTCCTCCTGGAACACTTCTCCTGAACTCATCCTTGTGGTGTCCTGCATGTTTATGGGTCCTGGATACCAGTTGTCAACAGTGCCCTCTGGGCCCTGTGCCCACCCAGAGGCTGCCCCCTGGGCTTCCAGGCACCCAGACCATCGGCACCACCACCTTTGGGAAGCAAGGCTCCAGCTTAGCTTTTGAGGCTTTGGGCAGGGCAGCAGCTGGGACATGAGGCTGCAGGTTTATCATGAGGGATGAGGGCGAGAAGTGGGGAGCAGTCATGGGTTCAAGAAGGGATAAGCCCACAGGACACAGAGGTAGATGGTGAGCCGGGGAGAGAAGGTGCCCCCTTGTGGGAGGTCAGCCCTGCCCCTGTGGGCCAGCTCAGAGCTCTGGAGTGCCCCGTCTCCTTGGCATCACTTTCCCTGCTATTTCCAGCTCCTGTCTCAGCCCTGTTGACTGGTCCCACCTCTGGCCTGAGCAATGCAAACACCCATGGAGAGCTGAGCTGGGAGCAGGGGTCGGGGTGGACCCCAGGCGTACCCCGGCTCTTTGGCCAGTATGTGACTGTGTGCTCAGCATGTGTTTCCTGGGCGTTTGCTGTGAGCCTGGTCCTGTTCCGCAACTGGTGTTATAAAGGGTTAATAACACCTGGTCCCCACCTGGGCTTGCCGGCACTGCTTAAAACGGGAGAGCGGAAGTCATGCCCTGCCATGCCCCCACGGAGTCCAGGCCCTGCCAATCTGACGCACTAACACGGCATCCACAAGAACCTGTCCCGCTCCATCTGCATGCCAGTATCTCCCACAGACACTGCCCTCCTCCCGGCAGCCCCCACCCTCTTCCTCTCCCTGCTGGTTACTTCAACCCCAAGTCCCAAAGGTGGACCCTGGGGGGATGGGAGGCTCTGATTGGCCAGGCCAGATTCCCTCGCAGATCTAGCTGAGCCTAGGTGCTAGCTATGCAGTGGCAGTCCAGGAGGCAGACCCTCTCTGAGGAGCCCCCTGAAAGGGCCCTTGTGTTCCAGAACTGGAGACCCCGGCGGAGAGGGTGCACCAGATCCAGCAGATCCTTGTCACCCTGCCCCGCGTGGTCATCGTGGTCATGAGATACCTCTTCGCCTTCCTCAACCAGTGAGTATCCGACCCTGGCAGCCACCAGGGGCTTTTGCAGGCACTGGGGGTTTAAAAAAATTCTTTTCAAAATTTATTTGAGAAGCCAATGTTGTGGTTCAACAAGCTAATCCTTTATCTTCAAGAGCCAGGATCCCATATGGGACCAATGCGTGTCCCAGCCACCTCACTTTGATCCAACTCTCTAACAGCCTGGGAAAGCAGCAGATCATGGCCCAAAGCCTTGGGACCCTGCGCCTGCATGAAAGACTCAGAAAAAGTTTCTGGCTCCCGGTTTTGGATCATCTCAGCTCCAGCTGTTGCAGCCATTTGGGGTGTAAACCAGCAGATGAAAAATCTTTCTCTTTTTTACTTCTGTCTCTCCTTTTTTCTGTAAATCTACCTTTCCAATATAAATGAATAAATATTAAAACAACAACAACAACTTTTGTTTCAAAGACATAGAGACAGAGGCCCTCCATCTTCTGCCAGTTTTCTCCAAATGGTTGCAGTGGCCAGGGCTGCACAAGACTGAAGCCAGGAGCCTGGAGTTCCATCTGGGCTCCAGGGGTTGCAGGGGCTTAGTTGTGGGGTTGCCGGGGCTCAATTACTGGGGCCGTCTCCCAGTCTTCCCTGGGAAGTAGATCAGACCTGGTAGGAGATACTGGTATTACAGGCAGTGGTCTGAATACTGTGTACAGCGGTGGCCCGGCTGCTATAGTGCTGAGAGCAGGACCTAGAGCCATCCTGGAGGGAGGACTTACTTGTCCTGGCCTCTCTCCCAGCCTCTCCCAGTACAGCGACGAGAACATGATGGATCCCTACAACCTGGCCATCTGCTTCGGGCCCACTCTCATGCACATCCCCGATGGGCAGGACCCCGTGTCCTGCCAGGCCCACGTGAACGAAGTCATCAAGACCATCATCATCCATCATGAAGCCATCTTCCCCAGCCCTCGGGAGCTGGAGGGCCCTGTGTATGAGAAGTGCATGGCCGGAGGCGAGGAGTACTGGTAAGAGGCTGCACCTCCCACTGCTGACCTTGTGCAGGCGAGGCCCAGAAGAAGCCCGCATGGCTCAGTCTGTCCTTCCAGCTCCGTCCTCTCTTGTTGTGGCAACTGTATGCGAGGGATGGGTGCACGGGCCTCAAGGGACAGAGACACAGCCAGGGAGCACTTTACTAATTTTCTTGAGTAAGAAGCCTGGGGAGATGGGTTCAGGTGTAGCTGGATCCGGAGATCTGGCTGTGATCTTTAGGACTTGGTCCCACCGCCTACACTCCTCGGTGGGCACTGCTTTCTGCTGCATGGGTGCTGGTGTCAGGTGTAAGAGGCAGATCCACAACCCCCTCCCTCTAGGTCCTCAGCTCTGGCTTTCCGGAATGTCCCCACACAAGGTCAAGACCAACAGGGAGGCGGGGAAGGGATGATAGACCCCAGCCTTAATCTCTCCTACCTGCCATTTCAGGCCAAGTAAGCTCAATTCTGTCTCCTGTTAGGTCTGCAGTCAGAAGGGGATGCCTCTGTGTTTACCCAGCGCCTAGGAGGAGGGCTCTGGAAGGTTCTTGAAGGTTCCACCAGACTAAGGCAGAAACAGGAAGGATTTTAAAAAATGTGATGAGCTAGAAAATCCAGCAGCTACCGCAGGAGACCTGTGAGAAGGCTGCTGCCATCACTGCTCCTGATCTGGCACCAGTGCGCAGCATCCACAGGTGGTGGATGCCTGTCAAATGCCTGAGTGTGCTGCTTTTGATTTTTTTGTTTGTTTTTATGCTCAAGAGTTCCTGGGCCTGGAGGGGGGCGGGGTTTTGCCTTACTTCTCTGGGCAACACTTCCCGGGAAGGAGTTCCTGCCACACGGAACCCCAGGGCCAAAGCACAATTAACTCCTGGTGATTTGAGAGCTAATTTCAAAGCCATAGAGGGAGATTTGACTCCATGGTCTCAGCCCAGTGCAGTCTGTTCATTCCCTCAGCAGCTGGTCACCATGCATCTGTTGTGGCCTCGGCAGGGGCTGGAAGGCAGAAGTATAACCCTGGGGGAAGCTCCAGGACAGTGGAAAATAGAATGTTCCAGAAGCAAGGCTCCCCACACTGGGCTGGGGAAATCTGGGAAGGCTTTCTGGAGGAAGTACAGACTGAGCTGAGACTGCCAGGTCAACTGGAGCTGGCCCAGCGTGAGGACTGGGCAAGGAATGTTCCAGACCTGGAGCTCTGGGTGAACTGAAGCATGCCACGAGGGAAGGAGGAGGGAGAGGTGGAGCTTGCTGAGACCCTGTAGAGCAGATTATAGAAAATCTTGAAACTCTGCCGGACGCTCTCTCAGCCTGCAGGTGTTTCCATTACTGACCAGAGCATCAATAGGGAGGACTAGGCAGAGGGCTCCATGGGAAACCCTATCAACTACCTAGACCATACCCCCATATTAGTAAGTCAGCGTCACAGGCCTGGAGCACGAGGTGTGAGCCCAGGCCCTCTTCCTCGGCTCAGCAAGGTTCTGCTTGTGGCCATGCTGGCACTGCCTCACAGCGTGCCGAGCTGAGTGAGGGTCCCCGGAACTGCTTTTTGTGAGCTGCCCTGCGGCCATGCGAGGACACTAGGGCCTTGCCACTGCCGTCTGTGTCATCCAGAGTGCTTGAGCTCTGTCTACATCTGTTTCCTGTTGCTGATATAGGCTTCTGAAACTGGCTCATTGATCAGGGACCGCGATGTATTCTGGAAGCCACAAGGCCAGGCAGCGTGGCGCTAGCACCTGCCCACGGCCTACGTGTGGCATCACCCACACTGGGAGGCAGGTGATCAGGTGATGCTGGAGGAGTGGGGGCTGCGTGGGGGTCCGCAGCTCCATTATCTCCCCTGTGGTGTCTCCCTACAGTGACAGCCCTCACAGCGAGCCGGGCACCATTGACGAAGTTGACCATGACAATGGCACTGAGCCGCATACCAGCGATGAAGGTGAGTGAGGGGCCGGCCATTGCAGGCTGAGGTAGGGGGACCGCTTCTGCTGGTTTGTGCTGACCTTGACACCGGCCCTCCGCCTGCATTCCCCTCTCTGCAGCTCTGCATGTGGGCATTGCATTCGTCTTACAAGGTTCCTCACGCACTGAGTGCTCCATGCCCCTGACATAGCCCCTGCGCTCACACCGTGCGTTCTGCCTGCCTGACCCAGCACAGACCCCAGCAGCAGGAGTCTGAGTTAGGAAGCTGCTGGCGTCCGGCCCCTCTCAGCTGGCATGCACGGGGGCCAGGCCTGAACCAGCTCCATCCTGGGCCTCAGCGCTTGGCTCCAGGAAATGTCCTGGGGTGAGGGTTTGCTAGCTGGCCTTGGGATAGGACCCAGGCATGAACCAGTCACCGGGGCCCAGCTGGTGGGTCTGGCCTAGGTCAAAGAGGAGGGAAAAGCATCGTGTGTGCAGCTGAGCTCCCCCAGAGTCCCTGGCAGTGGCAGTGACCCTCAACCCGCAACCTTGGTTTGCCGGCGTGAGGTGCCACCTGCTGCTGTGCACTGCCCTTGGCTCAGCTCCTTGCTCTCCCTCCCCCTGCCTTTCTGAACGGCAGCTCTTGACCTTGCCATCTGTTGCTGTTCTTGCTTCTAGACACCTCTCTCCCCTGATTATTCTTCTCAGACTTGTGTCTTTCACTCCCTCTTCTCCCCTCCCCTTCTTCCCCCAGGGAAAAAGGCTTGTGTTGCAAGTCCTGGACTGACCTCTCAGAGCTGAGAGCCGTAGGGGCTGCAGGAGAGGACAGCTGTGCCCCAGCCTCCCTACCCCTCCATCATGCAGTGCCTGGTGCAGTGCTTGCCCCCTGCTGGACCCTCCATGGCTCCTTCCATCTGGCTGACAGAAGGCTGCCATGGGCAGCAGGAGTGGGGATAGAGAGGAGAGGGCTACTGGTCTACCAAGGAGCAGCTATATGGCATCCCTGGGCAGGAGACACTGCCTCCCCATCTCAGGACAGAGGCTCACAGTGGGCCCAACCTGGGAAGTCCACCTCCATCTGCCCCTTGGTATCCAAGATTCAGAAGGAAACCGTGGTTGGACTGGTGACCCCTGATTGCCAGAATCCAGCCAGATGCAGGATTGCCATCCCTGGCACTGCTGTTCATCGGAAGGTTGAGGAGGATAATGGGGTTGCCAGGTGGTGACCTTGGGGCAGCTCGTGGTGAGCTGGTGTCCATGGGGCAGCTCGAGACCCCACTGGAGCCCGGCCAGGATCTCTAGGCAACCATAGAGGGTTGGCAGCTACCAACAACCCCGGCAGAGTGCTGGTGACCAGCCCAGGTCAAGGGCTGGCTGCTCTGACTCCCAGGCCTATGGCAGCCCAGAGTCAGAGCTCTGGTCTAAGGATGGGTGCCAGCGCCATGCTGTGCTGGTGCTTCACGTATCCAGCTCCCTGCGTGACTTCCCCAAGCAGCCGACTGTGCCATGGATGTTTGGAGTACCTGCATCTGACGGGATAGCTTTAGTGTGATGGGTTTCCATTTTAAACTGATGCAACTGTTACACCTGTTAGACGCAGTGGCGAACCAGAACTTCACCAACGTCTCTATTAGGGAAGAGTTAGCACAAAGTACGGGGCATGAAAGGGGGTCCCCAGGGCCAAAAGGAGTTGTATCCCTTAACCTGGGTGGTAATTAAGGGTTCGCATTAAACCTCTGTGGTTTCTTTTACCTGCTGTCTGACAATAAAGACAGACGTCTCCCCCAGTTCGGGCACTTGCCAGCTGATTCTGCAGCAAAGCCCAACGAGCCTGCACTTACTCTGGCTCATGCCTGAATCACATGCTTACCAGTGAGACCTATGCCCCACCCAAGATTAAGCTATGGAGAAATCCCCAGGCTCGCTCCTCCTGCCTGGACATGAGCCCCCAGGTCAGGTCCCTGCATGCCGTTGCCAGCACCATCCTCCAGGGCCCCTGCAAGCCCACACCCCCAGCCCCCATGAGCCCACCACCCTGCGGCCGGAGCAAATGACCAGAGCATGATTTTAAGGTTCGTCTCTGCCGTGGCATGTGTCTGGAGTTCCTTCATCCTCTGGGTTGCATGCTGAACCATGCTGTGTGGATCCGTCCCTGAGCTGAGAGACACATGGTGGTTTGCACAGCACCTGCTGTAGATGCTGCCACCATGAACATTTCCACGTGTCTGTGCATACTTGGCTTTTTGTTTCTCTTGGGAACAAAGGGGTGTGGCATTAGCAGAAGTGAGGTGTGGAAGTCTCTGCTTTTTACCTTTCAACTCTCGCCTCCTCCCTTGTTGCTGGCAAGTTTGCCCTGTGTATTCCGCCCTTGTCCTGCATGGGGCGTCCTGTGAGGACATTGTCCTGGGTCACAGCCTGACTGTTCTTGCCTGGTCATGGTCGTTTTTTTGGGTGATAGTTTCTGCCTTAGCTTTTTTGACCTTAGGATCACCCTAGAGGCTTGAAATAGCTTTCTTCCTCCTCTTGCTCCCCCTCGGCACCCGGCCTCCAAGCCACCTTCTCCTTGCTCCCTTCTCGGGTTTCCTGGGAGAGGTTAGCGTGAGGCTCCTGGGCCGTCCCACCTGCTGCTGCCACCACCCTCCTGGACACTTATACCATCACTCTCCTTCCAGAAGTGGAGCAGATTGAGGCCATTGCCAAGTTTGACTACGTGGGCCGGTCCCCACGGGAGCTGTCTTTCAAGAAGGGGGCCTCGCTGCTGCTATACCACCGTGCATCCGAGGACTGGTGGGAGGGCCGGCACAACGGTGTCGACGGGCTCATCCCGCACCAGTACATCGTGGTACAGGACATGTGAGTGGTGGCCCAGCCCCTGCTAGGCCTGAGGTAGGAGGCTGGTTCTCAACATCCAAGAAATGTATAACAGCCAGCCTCAGGGCAGCCCATCCACGCCCAAAGCCATCATGGACTCGACGGCCCAGGAGAGACCCGAAGCCTGTGCTTGGAGGGGACCAAGCAAAGCATGAGAGGCAGACCAGCAATCGAGGGCCCTTGTCACGCCATTAGGGTCTCCAGCCCCTCCAGGCAGGGTCAGGCCAGTGGCAGGGCACCCTAGGGGGTGCAGCCCTGTCCCACTTATCTCATGCATTGGATGGTGCTGAGAGATGTGGGGACTTCTCCATACTTTGAGCACGGGGCTCCAGCTGGGAGACTGCTTGGCATTTAGCAGGTCCCCCTGGAGCGGCCTGGGAGACAAGTGGGCGAGGAGGTAGGGACGCAGGTGGGAGTGGGGCTTTGGGCAGAGAAGTGGGACCTGCTGGAGAAGCTGACTACATAAGGGCTGTGTGTGGGGTTGGGTGGGGAGATGGCTCCTCTGCAGCTATGGGCAGAGAGGTGAGTGTTGGTTCTGCCCCTCAGACAGGTGTTTGGGAGCCCTACGGCAGTGCTAGAGTCCTGGGCTCTGTAGAGCCAGCCAGCCGGCAGGCACCTCCAGCTCATGCATGTCTTCTCCCCAGGGACGATGCCTTCTCCGACAGCCTGAGCCAGAAAGCAGACAGCGAGGCAAGCAGCGGGCCCTTGCTGGACGACAAGGCCTCCTCTAAGAACGACCTGCAATCTCCGACAGAACACATCTCTGACTATGGCTTTGGTGGTGTAATGGGCCGGTAGGAGACACAGGGGTCATCTCTGCCCACTCGCGCTATGTCGTCCCTGGGAGGCCAGAGGGGGCAGGGACGCGGGCCAGGCAGGGGAGGCTATTGCTGCCACTTGTCCCCACATGACATCACCGAGCAGAAAATGGCTTGAGAATGCCGAGACGGAGACCACTGAGTCTGGGGCTTAAAGGAGGGGGAACATAAGCTAGCACAACAGAGAGAGAGAGAGAGAGACTCCAGTCCCCACCTCTTCCTGACCCTGTGGGAGACCTCGGTGCTTCACCCAGGAGCTGAAGGCTCCTCCCCCACCCTGGACACAGGGCACAGACAGAAAGCTCACACCCATCATATGCTGGTGATTGAGGCGGGGACAGCTCTTGACTCTGTCCACTCCGTGAGGGCTCGTGGGCCAGTCCCCCGCCCTCCCTAGGACATGCATCCATGTCCATGACGTTTGTGCAAGGCAAGGGGCTGACTGCAAAGATGTGGCCCTAAGAAAAGTAACTCAGAGAGAGAAGTGAGGCAGACACGGCCTGCCTTGCCCGCTGGCCCTTTGGATGTCCTGTTCAGCGGGAGAGGTGCATTCGGCTGCCCTTTCTGGGCCAGGATTCACAGACAGAGCCACAGCACCCATGGATTTGTTTCCTACTGAGTGCCAGTGCCCACTTGGCTGGTAAACATCAGAGCCCTGAAGGACGGGAGGTATGGGGGCTGGGGCGGGCGATGGACAAGTCCCCAAACCCCAGCTTCTGGGAGGACCAGATCTCCTCTCTTCTCCTCTCCCTCTGCCTGCCTCACCTGCTCTCTTGGGCTCCCTCTGATGCTGTGCTTGGGGCCTGCTTGGCTTGGCACACCATGGGGTGCAAATACATCCCTGGAACAGTCAGCTCCCAGTGCCCACCCTTAGTCCTCCCACACCCAGTCCCCTTCCCAGCTCCCCACCGGAAGGGCCCGAGCATCCAGGATGACTCCTAGGCAACCCAGCAGTGTCCTTTCTATAGAACCTCTGTCCTTGAAGATGCTCTCAAGTTCCTGCAGAGCTGGGCCATTCCACAGCTTAGTAAGATGCATCTCCAAGATGACACCTGCCTGATTCTCACCACACAGCAGCTCTGCCCCCTGCCCCAGCCCATCTGAGTGGGCACAGCAGATGGTCCTCGTGGTGTCGGGTGGACCTGTGAGTGGTGGGATCTGCAGAAGTCCTCCAGAAATGGCCCTTTCCTAGGGAGCAGAGGGAGGGGTGACCCTGTCAGGCTGAGGTGCTGGGGGCCGTCTGAGCTCACCAGGGGCTGGTGTGCAGCCTATCAAGTCTTGATGCCTCTGGCCTGTTAGGAACCCCCTGGCATCTCACCGGCGCCTGCTTCAGAAGGCAGCCCCGGTTAGAAAGGTGTGCTGATGGGGCTAGCTGGTGGGAACTTCCAAAATGCTGGCCAGGGTTGACCTCTGCCCCGTGCCCTTCCTCCCCCACCCCACCCCCTGGCTCCTTTGCAGGGTGCGGTTACGATCCGATGGAGCGGCCATCCCCAGGCGTAGAAGCGGGGGCGACACACATAGCCCACCCCGCGGCCTGGGCCCCAGCATAGACACGCCACCCCGGGCCGCCGCCTGCCCCAGCAGCCCCCACAAGCTCCCCCTCACCCGGGGGAGGATCGAGAGCCCCGAGAAGCGGCGGATGGCGACATTTGGGAGCGCTGGCAGCATCAACTACCCCGACAAGAAGGCGCTGTCCGAAGGGCACTCCGTGAGGTCGACCTGCGGCTCCACGCGGCACAGCAGCCTGGGGGACCACAGGTCCCTGGAGGCTGAGGCCCTGGCAGAAGTAAGGGCCTATGGGAAGGTGGCTGGGCCGGCCAGGACCCCCAGAGTAAGGGCCTGTGGGAAGGTGGCTGGGCCGGCCAGGACCCCCAGAGTAAGGGCCTGTGGGAAGGTGGCTGGGCCAGCCAGGACCCCCAGAAGGGAGAGTGGGAGTCTGCCCAGTGTGCTGGGGAAGCCTCGGCCTGTGCCAGGTTTAGGGTCGAGCAGAAGCCCATTAAACAAGCTGGATTTTCCTCCTCTGCTGGTCGGGCAGAGCTGCTGGCTAGGGATTCTCTGTGGCCCTGGGGCAGCATAGCATGTTCCATTTATCCATCCATTCACTCATGTGTCCATCCATCCACCTGGTCATCTGTCCACTCATTTGTCCATCTATGAACAGTGCCATTTTCTATGAAAATTGGAAGTACCCTCCTATTTCTGGAAGTTTCTATGTTTCCCTCCCTGGGATTTGGCTGGCTCCTGCTGAGGAGGCAGGTGCATTGGTGGTTCTCATCCTTAACAGTTGGCCTCTACCAGATACTGCCCCCTGCCGACAGGCTCTTCCAGGTAACAGGTTGTCTGGCAGCTGGCCCTGAGCCCTGGTCCTGAAGGGGCAAATGCAATCTAGAACTCTGTTTCTGAGATTAGGCCCCTGGGCAGGCTCCTTCCAGGGGGTGCACCCGGGAGGGGGGACGATAAGGTATTCTCTGAGCTGTGACGTGTGGAGATCCCAGGTGGTCTGAGTTGGCAGGCTTTCCTGGAAGACCTGGTAGGACCTGGAAATAGGCTGACATGGGTGCTGCAAATCCCCAGAGCAAAGGTCAGGGTCCAGGCCAGCTCCCTGACCCCTCTGACCTCCACCTGAAGAACGAATGGCCATGCCCCTCCCTGCAGCAGCAGGCCCCCACGACTTTGGCAGCTTATGGGGCAAGTGTTTCCTTCTCCCGTGGGAACCAACTGGAGCCCAGAGCAGTGCCTGGGGTGTGGGATGGGGGCAACCTACAGCTCAGTCAGATCACCTCTGTGCAGCACGTGAGCTGTGGAGCTGTCTCAGGCCATGGACAGCATCACCTGCCAATCTCTAGCCCCATGGTGTCCTCATCCCACCCACATAGAGCGGCCCCTCCGGGCTTACACACTGCCTTCTGCGGGAAGTGGCACCTGCCCTCTCAGTCCCTCCGTCCCCAGCGCCCCCTGCAGCCCATTCTGGAGACAGCATTCCCTCAGACTAACGCAGGGCTGCAGCCTAAACAGCTTGGCTCCTCTTCCTCCTCCTCTGGGCTTCCTGTCTGTACTGCTCACCCTCTGCTAGGGGTGGGAGATGCCGAGTGACAGTGATGCTGGCTGCTCAATGTCTCACCTGTCAGTGAATGGAGAGAGCAGTGAGGGCAACAAGGGGTGTTGTCCCCACTGACAAGGGTGCTGCCAGGGCAGGGCTGCAGCCACCATGAGGTCAGGGCAGGGGGGAGGCTTCTGAGACAGGGAAGGTCGGGCAGCCTCAGCAGGATGGCACAGCTGTGCCCGGCTCCCACAGCAGTGTTCTGGGCAGCAGCTGCCCGCCTGCCTGTGGGAGAAGGGTGCCTCGGAACAGTCATGGGGCCCAGCAGCCCGGCCCCTGCCTGGCAACTGATGGGGCTTCCTCATGACCCTAGTTCCATTCTGTCTTCATAGACCACCTGTGGGCTCTTGGCAGAGGATGGGCCGGGGTGCAGGGGGCTGAGACTGGCCTGCAAGTGGCCGCGGGGTCTGCGCTGAAGGTCAGGCCCTTTGCCAGCTCCCTAGGCTGCTGCGCTGGAGGGGTGGGGGGCGGGGGCTGAGTCCAGGTGGGCTGGCTGTGTGGTCACTTCTGCTGATAAGCATGTAGCACACCTTCCTGGGAGTGATATATGCAGGCATGCATTTTTGTTAATTTTTCAAGATTTCCATTAAAAAAATGGGGGTGGGCAGCATCTTGGTCTAGCAAGCTAAGCTTCCACCTTTGGCACTGGCATCCCAGATGTGGGTGCTGGTGCAAGTCCCAGCTGCTCCACTTCCAATCCAGTTCCCTGCTAATGGTCTGGGAAAGCAACAGAGGGTGGTCCAAAGCACCCGCCCACATGGGAGACCTGGAAGAAGCTCCTGGCTCCTGGCTTTGGGTCAGCTCAGCTCTAGCCATTGTGGCTATTTGGGGAGAGAACAGCAGATGAAAGGCCTCTCTCTTTTTTATCCTTTCTGTCTCACTCTCTGTTTCTCCTCTTCCTTTAAAGAAAAAAACTAGAAAAAAAAATTCAAAAAGCAGAGACAGTGACACAGAATTTCTATGTTTACTCTGTAAGTTACAAGAGCCAAGGCTGGACCAGGTGAGAGCCAGGAACCAAATCTGGGCCTCCCACAGGGATGGCAGGGCCTTGGCTGCTGGCATCTGCTGCCTCTTGGATGCGTGGTAGCAGAAAGCTGGAGTAAGAAGCGGAGCAGCTGAGATTTGAACCAAGGTGCCATGGCAGGGGGCCCAGGCGCCTCAAGCGGCAGCCACAGCACAGACCTGGCCGTCCCCTCGTCACTGCTGTCACCCGCAGGTGGTCTCCTCAGAATTCACAGACTCGGAGTGTCAGCCCTGGATTTTGACAACGTTTTGCACCAACGTTTCATTCTTCATTCCCATTTTCCCATGCTCCTTTCTCAAGTACTCTGGGAGTCCTGCCGTTCCAGGGTGAACGCTGGGAACACTGTAACATAGGGACAGGCTCAGGCCATTTCAATGGGAAAGAGACAAGTTAACTGACCGTAGGTGTAGGCCGTGCAGCCAGCCTGCCAGGGTCAAGCAGAGGCCATGCTACTCATTAGCCACATGACGGTAGGCCATGTACCCAGCCAGACTGCCCTGGCGAGCCCTCCCGTGTGAGCTGAGTGTGTGCCAACCTGCCCTGGCGAGCCCTCCGGTGTGAGCTGAGTGTATGCGAGGCTGGCCTGGTGCTGGGTGCTGCTGGGATGTCACCCATGTTTCCGAGTGCCGCCCACGCACCAGGGTAGCTGTTTGCAGGAGTTCCATCATGTCCCGCATTCATCAGCACCTTCACCCCCACCTTCCAGGGCCCAGAGAGATAAGGCTGCCTGCCCAAAGTCACACAGCACGCGAGGGACACATTCAGGATTTACACCTGTGTCCGTCGTCTGACTCCAGGCACCTGACGTGGGAGTGTGCCTACCTTCCCTTCCCACCTAGGCACAGGACGCCCTAGGGGTTGCATGTGAGCCCTGCTGGCCCTAGGGGAGAATCCGGTGTGGCTGGCACGGAAGAAGAGCTAGCTTGCAGGCCCGCGTCCCGCCCAGGGGCTGACCAGCATATGCTCTCGTCCCTAGGACATCGAGAAGACCATGAGCACGGCCCTGCATGAGCTGCGGGAGCTGGAGCGGCAGAACACGGTGAAGCAGGCGCCCGACGTGGTGCTGGACACCCTGGAGCCCCTGAAGAACCCCCCGGGGCCCGTCAGCTCGGAGCCCGCCAGCCCGCTGCACACCATCGTCATCCGGGACCCCGACGCCGCCATGCGCCGCAGCAGCAGCAGCTCCTCCACCGAGATGATGACCACCTTCAAGCCGGCGCTGTCCAGCCGCCTGGCCGGCGCGCAGCTGCGCCCGCCGCCTGTGCGGCCCGTGCGGCCCGCCGTGCAGCACCGCTCCAGCAGCAGCAGCAGCTCGGGAGTCAGCAGCCCCGCCGTGACGCCCACCGAGAAGATGTTCCCCAACAGCTCCGCCACCACGGACAAGTCCGGCACCATGTGACCCGCGGCGGGGGCGGGGCAGGGGGCGGGCCCCGTTCTGGCCTGCCGGGAGTGTCATCCCGGGGGTCTGCCTGGAGTGGGGGTCCCCCCCGCGCGCGGCAGCTGCATGGCCCACTCAGATGTGGGAATCCCGTGGGCCTGTGCCGCGTGAGCAGACACCCTGGGGTGGGGGGCACAACGGAGCAGCTGCTCCCCTGCTTCTGTGCGTGTTGTCACTGGAAACCCACTCCCCTAACGTTCTGCATACGTGTGTGAGTGAGTGTGCGTGTGCAGGTGGACGGATGTGCGTAGGTGTGTGTACATATATATATTTATGCATCTCTATACATATACTAGGTCGGGACACACACATACTAAATGTATATAGCCTCCCCTTTTTCTTTTTATGAAACTTAGAGTTACCTCAGAGCCGTGCCACCAAACACCCCCGGGGGAGTTACTGGTGGGATTTGCAGGGACTTTTCCTGGGAGAACCCCTTGGCCCACAGTGAACTGTGAACGAAGCAATACGCCACTCAGCTGCAAGAGAAACTGCAGCCACGTGGCCTTCCAGAGCAGCTGCCCCTAGAGGGGCAGGGGGAGAGGGAGAGGCCGGGCAGGCGGTACCCTGAGCTCCTGGCCGTGGGGACCCTCCGTCACCCTGCCCTTCTGCACCCAGAGGCTGCCCGGACCCCAACATGGCAGGGGAAGATGAGGAGCACCCCCCGAGCACAGGTGCTTGTGTTGTAGGTAGGAGCACAGGACGGCTCGAGCCTCAGCCCCACTTGGGCAGGGAGGAACCTGAAGCCCGTTGGTGTGGAATCCTTCCGTCCGCCGGAGCACTGCGAGAATAAACCCGCACTGCCCGTAGACACCTGACTTCTCACATTCCCCAAACATCTGCTTCCTTGCCTTGTCCTGCCAGCGGCCCTGTGTCCGATTTGGAAGGCAGCTGGCCAGGAAGCTTTGTGACACGTTCAGCGCCAGGGCTGTGGGGAGGTTGAGTTTGTGCAGGGAAGCGGCTTCTCTGTTCCTGCCTCCCCTTGCCCGGCCCTGCGCCCTCCTGGGCGGCTAGCCTGGCAGGGAGCACCCAGCTGGGGTGGTGTGGTGCAGTCCTTGTGAGCTCCGCTGCACCTCTCTGCTTGGCAGAACCCTGGCTGGTTGAGGGCCCGTGGCTTTAGTGAGGTGGTTGCATGCCAGGCCAAGGCTTCCCTCCCATTGCTCCCAGGCTCCTGTCTTGCTCACCCCTTGCCTCACTTGGAAGCCAGAGTGGGTATAGCCTCTGTCTTGCATGGCTCTGTGGGGCCTCATGTTCTGCTCCACTGGATAGAGATGAGCCACAGATGGGCAATGGTGTCCCCTGGCACACGCTGTGCCAGCACGATGGCCTCCCGCTGTAGGCCTTGGTGAGCCAGGTCTTCTACACCCCAAAGCTCCCGGTGGCATTTGAGAAGTGATTTCCTGTGGCATGGTCCCAGAGATGTCCCAGCACTGACCCGTCCCTCCCTCTCTGGTCCTCTGTCATGGCTGAGCGGACCCCAGGGCAAGGCACCCAGGCAGGTGGGCGTGGCCAGCTCTTCCACCTGCTGTAACGCTCTGGCCCCAGAGCCCACAGGTAGAGGACAGCGCCAGGACTGGACATGGTCAGGAAAGCCAGGGGGGCCGGTGACAGACGTGGCCACGTCTTGTTTTGCCTGCAGCTGCTACCCCTCTGTGTTTGGCTCCTGGACGTGGAAGGGCCTGTGTCTCACAGCACATAAGGATGTCCCTGTGTGATTGCCAGGGCTGTGTGCACCTGCGTGCGAGGCGACAGGTGACGGGCGAGTAGGGGCTCCACTGGGATCCACGCATCCTTCCTCTGCAGACCACCCCAGTGAGACCCCCAGATTGAATCCAGAAGTCCTTGTTCTCAGTCATGCCTCAGTCCTTACGCCAGCCACACCCTAGGGTTTCTCTTCCTGAAAGCGGGCCCTGCCTTGCCCCGATTTCCACAGAAGCAGAGTGTCCACCGAGTCCTTTAAGGCACCTGCCCCTCCCAACCCTCGCCCACACCGGAAATGGTTGATGAGCTGATATTGAGGGAAGCACACACAAGAAGACAGGTGTGTCCCCAGTGCGTTCAGCTTTCCTTCTGAGCCTCGAGGCAAAACCAAGTAGAAAAATGCCGCCCTGTTCCCTCGCCCCTCCCCTGCCACCACACTCCCCGCCACTCACTCCCACATGGCTGGCTCCTCCCGCTTCCTGCCTGCTCCTAGTCCACTTATAGATTGCTGTGTTTGCCTCAGCGCCAGGGAGTCCCGTTACCCTGTGCCACTGTCATGTTTACCAAGGTGACGATGAAACTGTAGCCAATGCCACTCACCCTCGCGCCCAGTAGATAGATCCGTGTACAAATACCAGAAACCCAGCTGTACAGTGAGTGTCGGGGAAACATAGTAACCTAGTTAGTCCTCAGTATAACCAGTCGTCCTCCCGGAAGTGATGTCTCCCTCCCTCTTCACCACCAGTTTAGCTGCAAACAGGCATTTTGTTATTTTATTTGATTGGTTTTTAATTCAGCCTCACAGAATGATTTGTTTTTCCGTAACCTTTGACTTGCACTGAGGTCAAGGCCTCTTGTCAGTCCACCTTGGGAATAAACCAGCAAGACATGCGTTTACAACTGACCAAAGACAAGGAATTCCCCGGGCCGGTCTCCCGGAGGTGGCCATGTGAAGACCTTCCTGGGATGAAATGGAAAACAAAAGCCGAGCTCCCTCCCCGCGTCCCCGCCTTCCCTCTCTAGAGCTGCTCTGGCTTGCGGTGTCCTGGAACCACATCTTGCCTTTCCTCTTCTCAGTGCTAAGGATTCGTCACCTCCAAGCGCCTTCTGAATGCCCGGACAGAATGCACAGGCGGAGGCAGCGGCGGGTTTGTGCAGGACGCCTGGGAGTCTTTTCCTCTGAGGTCACTGGGCCAGTGCTCCCGAGAGAAAGGGCTGCCCCAGGGATGGGGGCTCCTGCTCTGCCAAGACTTGGCACTGGGCAGAGACCCCAGCCTTACAAACTCCTCCAGCTGCTGGCTGGCACCCAGGGGGCGGCCAGAGCGGTGCAGTCCCTGGGAGTGCCTTGTGGGTGCGCCTGCTTTGTGATAGCGGGCACAGAGACAGAGGCCTCTTCCGGGCCTGGTGGCGCCCTGGTGCTCTGTGCACCTGCAGGGACCCCTGAAGACCCCACCCCCCAGGACTGACACGGTTCCTCCTTTCATGCTTTCTGCTCCTGACTGCCCGCGGCCAGCCAGCTCTAGGAGGAGCAAATGTCGCCTTCTCCTGAGAAACCAACTCATGGGGAACCCCCCCACACACACCAGCCACAGTGGGCAGGGGTGTGGGGCTGGGAGAGGTGCCGGTGGTGGGGAGGGGCTAGCCATGGTGATGCTAGCCTTTTTCTGCTATGCAGAGCTGACGCCCACATTTCCCGTCCGCTTCGCCAGTCCTCAGGGTCCTCTTCTCTCCTAAGCAGCCATGTAGAGGATTTCCACACATGCCCAGAGCTGCCCAGGGAAGCAGAGAAGCAGGGCTTGGTGCCAGGCCGTGGGTCTCCTGAGGGCACGCTGCCCGTGTCCCACTGGCCCAGCCCTGGGGACTGGCCCATGGCCTTTGCTGCCCTTGGCTGCTGACACCTGTTCCTGTGTAAACTGCCCCCTCCCTGCCCTGCCCCGCCCTGCCCTGGCAGATGACAGAGCTATTCCTCGAACCAGGATGGTCGAGGTGTACCTGTCCCGCCTCGGATGGGAGTGGCTCTTGGCTGGGGCCCTGCTCAGGCCCGCGTCCCAGCAGTGCACCTGTTGACAAGGTCTAGCAATTGGCATGGTTCTGGTTGGTTCTGGTTGCTTCCGAGTGGCTGATCTGTTGTGTTTCCTTTTGGTATCCTTCCTCCCCAAATGGCGATGGGAATAGCCACCCCGAAACCGCCCCAGGAACCTGCTGGTGGCCTGTCCCCAAGTGACAAAGTGTTGCCCTCTTCCGGAAATCGTGTCTCTCTTGAAGACCCATCGCCCGTCCTGTGGAGTGACTGGACCCGCTGTCGTGTATTCTGATGGTGCCTGCTGGTTTGACGTGGAGCTATCCTGTGAAATAAAACAGCTTAACTTTTCTCAGATATGCGTTGGTGGTTTGTGAAGGGGTGGGGTGGCATGGCATGGGGCGTGGGCAAACACAACCCATGCTATCTGCCTGCCTCTCCCCTCCCCTGCTTACCACCTCCGCAAGTTTCGCTAGCTCAAACCCAGCCAGGACAAGGGCTGAGTCAGCCAGGGGCTTCCTTCCCCCTGCTGTCAGAACTCAAGGAAGAAGGCAACTACTGGTTGAAGACCGGAAATGGACATGTCAGAGTCAAGGCCATGGGCAGCTCGCAGCTGTCTGCAGGAAGTGTCTGTCTCCATCGGCCACGGGCACCCTCTTTCCCAATGCCCTAGGAAAGAAACGTATGTGCCATTTTCAAGACAGGTGGAGCAGGAACTGTGTGTGTGTGGATGATGTATCTCCTACTCAGTTCTGCTGCCTGGTCTTGATTAAACCCTTGGCATGCAAGTTCATGTTGAAGTCTGCCAACAGTCTCAGAAGGTCAATGTGACGGTCATCCCCCTTCCTGGCACACAAGGACACCAAGGTCAGTTCAGGGACGGAGAGGCCAGGACTTGAACTTGACTGGGCTCATTCCAAAGCCTGGAGCTCCATGCACAGCCCTTCCTCCTGGGTGTCTGTGCCACCAGAGCTGGGGCAATGAAGGAGGCTCCCAAGGCTGGCCCCTGCCGAACCCTCGGAGGTCTTACCCAATGTTGCCATTGTGTCTGTGAGACTGTGTCGCTGCTCACACCATGGCACTTGCTTGTAGCCCCGCATGGGTGCCTGGGAGCGTCTGGGTGTGCACCTCGTGCTGGGGCAGCTGCTGGGTCCCTGGAGGCTGACATCTCATTCCAGCCCTCCGGTGCTCAAGCCATGCACAACCCATTGTGCAAGGCAATGACTTTGGGGCTTTGTGCAAGCTCCCAAGAGTCTGCTGTTACAGAGATGCCAAGCAAAAATTCCTGCTGCCTGTCTTCTCACCAGGTGCCAGCCTGTGGCTTGTTCATGACCTGGCACTGGTTGTCATGACAACCACCTCAGGAGCAGGGACTCTCCTGGGCCTGCCCTGGGAGCTCAGCTATCTGTCACTCTCCTCCATGGTTGCTGAATCCTTGCATTGTCTTCCTTAGCTCTGTAAGCACTTCCTGGTTTCTTGTTATGCACCCCAGCCTTGCCAATAAGAAGCCTAAGCTTTGCTGTCAGGTGTCCCCTTGGCTTCCAAGTCCCAGGACCCAGTAGAGGAGGACCGGACACTCTGGCTGCCTGGGCCTCTCTGGCCCAAGCTGCCTCAGCCCTAGTCTCCCCACCCCACCGCACATGTGCGTGCATACACACACACACACACACACACTCGTCGCCCAGAAGCAGAAGAGGCAGAAGAGGAGCCGGAGCAAGCACCCAGCGACTCCTGGTGCACAGCGAGTGACCATCTTGTACCTCCTGCATGGGCTGTGGTGGGAGGGGCCGTCTTCCCCCTAAGTCCCTGAGAAAAGCATCCTGGGAAAGGGGGCGGGGATGGTTCTGATTGACAAACTGCATAGAATTACCTGGGGCAGGGCTTGTGGGCTGCCTGGACTTGCAGCTCTGCTCGTCCACCCAACTGCCTGCTTGTTCCCTACCGGAGAGCCCACTGGGGCCCAGGCAGAGGTGCTGACCCTGTTTGTGACCCTACAGGCTGAGCTAAGGATCCCAAGAGCCAGCATCCCACAAAGGTGCTGGTTCGTGTCCCAGCTGCTCCACTGCTCTCCTGCTAATGGCCCGGGAAAGCAGTGCAAGATGGAGTGAGTGTTTGGGCCTCTGTGCCCATATGGGAGACCCCAGGTGAAGCTCCTGGCTCTTGACTTTGCATTGGCTCAGGGCTGGCTACTGCAGCCATCTGAGGAGTGAGCCAACAGAAGGAAGACCCCCTCCCCCCTCTAATTCTGCCTTTCGAAATAAAGAGATCTTTTAATGAGCCAAAAGCATCCAAGTAACTCACCCTGTGCTGGCCTTGGGCACACTGGCCTGGCACTCTCACCAAGGAACATTCCATGTTACCTTACTCCCAAGAGAAAGGAGCTGTGGGGGGTCTGGGCAAAGTCCGTGAGGAGCACCTGCCTGTCATTCCCACCCCAGGCAGAAAGGTCTAGAATCGTTCCCCCCCACCCCCGCCTCTGTGTAGGGCAGTGGGGGCAGGGGGAGGGACTCCCCTGGGCGTTGAACAGAGGCTCTGTGGAAACCGAGGGATACAAGCTGGTATCCAGCCAAGCTGTGACATCTGCATCCCACAGAGGAGCACCTGGGCGGATACCCAGCTCCGCCTTGCGACTTAGCCCCCTGCTAATGCAGACCCTGGGAGGCAGCAAGGACATAGGGGAGAGCTGGTTTGTAGTGCCAGCTGTGTGGGCACTGTCAGGTGCTGAGACATGTGCACGTGGCAGGTGGGGAAGAGTTGGGCTGGGCGGGCCCTGAGCCAGTCTGAGAGCCCTGAGAAGCCCTTGAACCTGACACCTTGCGGTCATCAGACTGTGTGAGGAGCCCTGGCCTTTGTTGGCCTGGGGCCTGGAGAGGGAGGAGCGGCAAGCGCCACTGTGGTCGATGATGCTATGATCGTTATTAACGGATGTGGCGGACCTGCAGCTGAGTGCTAACCAGGCCGAATCCGCGCCCGGCGCATGGTGCCTTCAGCATCCCGCTAGGCGTGGGGCCGCACTGCGGGCTGTGTCCTCCCGCGCAACCCAGAAGTGAGCTTTACCTCTTCCGCCTGCCGCTGCGCGCCACAAAACCCGCGCTGGCGCCCTGTGTCCGCGTGAAGTAGGACTGGTTGGCTCAGACTGCAGGTGCTCTTGGTGCAGCACCATCCCGCCCACCTCCAGCCTTATTTCTCTCCCAGGTGCCCAGGTCTCCAAAGACCACCGCGCGCGCACACACACACACCAGTGTCTGCATGGACTGAGCAGGACATGGCCTCCCCGTGAAGGCCCCATCCAGGCCACCAGAAGGTGGGAAGGCGGAGTGCATTGCTCCACACCTCTGTCCGCTGCACCCCGGCTCTGGATCCCGCAGGTGGCCGTGCGCAGAAGAGTCATAAGCGAATGACACCGGTAGGGGGCGCCGGCCTTCTGCGCGTCCTCCCGGAACCCGAGCCTGCTGCCAGCGCGGTCTCTGTCGCCCCCGTGTGGTTGTTAGTGAGATGGCAGCGAACACAGAGGAGAGCAAGTGGTTTCCCTTTTCATAAATCCAAATGAAGCCTACGTGATGACATCTCATCTATCTCGCAACATTCATTGCAGGACGGTGTGAGTGGGACTGTAAGGGACGTGAGAGTCCTTTGCAGCGTTCCCGCCATCCATACAGGGAACCTGCCTCTTTAGGGCCGGGAGGAGGGGGCGGGGCGAGACCCTGCGCGTGCGCGCAGTGCGAGCGACGCCGACGGCGCTCGGCCCGCCGACTACAACTCCCGGCAGGCTCCGCGCGCGCCGAGGGCGCGTCGCGGTCTGTGACGTAGCTCAGTAGCGCGGGGAATTTCGAGTGGCAGGCGGGCGCGCGAGGCCCGTGGGTGGAGGACCCCCCAGCAGCCTCGGCAGTGACCATGGACTCCGTGGCCGAGCCGCGCTGGCCTCCGGGCCTGGCCGTCTTGAAGGTGAGCGCCTGTCAGTCGGCCCCGCGGGCCTGGCGACCCCACCGTGGGCGGCCTGGCCGTGGGCTGCCGCCTTCCGCCGCTCCCGTCCCCTGCGGCCATTGTCCCCGCCCGATTCCCGTTTGTTACTGCTGGACCTGAGTTGTCCCCGCCGAAGGCGCCCTGGGACCCCAAAGGGAAATGCGGCTGGCGGGGTTGGTTAAATCAGCCGGTGGCTGGGTGTGGGGGCCGGTCCTGCCAGGCCGGGTTTCCGGACCCTTGGGGTTTGCAGAGTGGTCAGCCCGGGGTGGAGGAGGCTCCAGCGGGGCTGGTGTTGGAAGATCAGTTCCTCTAGTGTTCCAACGCTCCGTGTGACAGCTCTGCCCCCTTGCCAGCCGGGTCTTGCTTGGCGTGCCTCAGGGACAGGGCACCAGCCGCCGTTCTCCCCAGTGCTGGAGAGAAATGAAGCTTGGGAGTTCTAGTTCCCAACCGGGGGCGCCTGGGGTCGTGGTTTTCACCCACTGTGCTACGTGGATCTGGTTGTCCTCTTCTGTAGTTGCGGAGTGTTCCTGCCTTCACCTGCTGTGACCTGGAGCTGCCTGGGACGCCTGCTGGCCGGGGTTGTTGTGGTTGAAGCCCACGCGGGGTGCAGGGTGCTGGCCAGCAGTGGCGTGATGAGGGCCACCCCAGCTCTGCTGCCTCACTTCCCCATGCCAGCCTTGCAGCTGGGGACTGAGGACCCTGGACAGGACCTGGACTGAGACAGGCAGAGGAGCTGGGGGATAGGAGGTCGCTCTCCAGCGGGGGTAGTGGAAAATTCCAGTAATGTAGTGTTGTTTCCCTTGTGTCAATGTAGTCAACGTTTTTCTGTTGTTGTTGGCTCATGTTGAAGATGTGTCCACATCAGGACAGATAGGAATTCGCAGTATCCCAGAAGAGCCCTGGAATCTTACTTGGTCTTCCTGGCAGAGAAAGCCATTGCTAGTGGCTTTGGCTTTTAGGTGTTGGAGATCCGGGCTCATGTTGGCTGGGTTTCTGCTCGGGAGCTCGGGAGGCGTCGGCTTTGACTCGGCGCTGCTGCTGAGGGTGCCGAAGCCGTGGGGTCGTGGTGGCTAGGTGGTGGTGTTGCTTTCTTTTCCTGATCAAGTATGGGCCCTGTCCTTGTGTGTTCATTATCTGTTGAAACAGATTCCGTAGTGGCTACATAGGATTTCATCGCCTGAGCTGCTGGTGAGCTCAGTCCTTTTATTGAATGGGTCATCAAATCCCAAACAGAAGCCAGAATCTCCCAGCCTGTGGCTGACTGCTCAGGGAGCTGACCACCCCAGGGACTGTTACTTATAACTTCCTTGCCAGTTTCTCCAGAAATTCCTTTTATGCATGCACAGTGAACACTGTTCAGCCGTCTCTCCTTAGCGAAGGTCCCACTCCTCTTGCCCTGGTTGTCTTCCATTTTTCAATGACCCTTGCCCTGCTTTCCTCAGCAGGGCAGCTCCCCTTGCAGGCTGTGTTTGCCCAGTGTTTGCTGACATGGTTTAGGGATTTTTGGTTATGAGAACAGCTGCTGTCCTGTTTAGGTGGTGCCCCAGGTGGACAGTGTCCATCCCTCTGACCCCCCAAGGCATTCCTTCACTTCCTCCCCTTGTCACTGTCCCAGCTCTGACGATAAGCCAGGGAGCTAGAGTGAGAGGCAGGAGCCCATGGCACGGGGAGCCACTGCAAAGGGCCGGCGGATCAGGAGTGTGTGCAGGGCCCTCCTGTGTGTGTCGGAGCAGGCCGCGTAACTGGAGATCTGAGTGTGTGAGAGGTGTCTGGGGGAGGCTGGCTGATTGTCAAGGATGCCTGACTAGGCCGGCTTCATTGCGTAGTGGATTAAGCCACCCCCTGCAATGTTGGGCTTCTCACATAGACACTGGTTTGAGTTTCGGCTGCTTTGCTTGCAGTCCAGCTCCCTGCTATGGTTCACTTGTTTGGGCCCCTGCAAACCATCTTGGAAACTGGCCAAAGCTGCCAGCTTCAGCCTGGTCCAGCCCTTGCCGCTGAGGCCATCTGGGGAATGAACCAGCAGGTGGAAGATCTCTCTGTGTAACTTTGACTTTTAAGTAAATAAACAAATAAAACTCTAAAAGGGATGTGGCAGAGCAAGCTGAGCTTCTCTTACAATGCCTGCATCCCACATATGTCCCTGGTTGGAGTCCCGGCTGCTCCACTTCTGATCCAGCTTCCTGCCAGCGCATCTGGGAGAGCAGCAGCGGACGGCCCAAGCTGCTCCCACCTGGGGACCTGGAGTGCTTGGGCTCCCGGCTTCAGCCTGACGCGGCCCTGGCTGTTGCGGCCATCTGGGGAGTGAGCCGTTGGGTAGAAAGTCCCACCTGTTCTCCACACACATGCATCTGTGTTTAGGAGCAGCCCTTGTGTGCGTCCTGACCGGGAGGTGTTCTTGAATTGTGCTGCTAGGGATGAAGATGAAGTTGTGTGGTCAGTGATCCGGTCTTGGTGTCCCCCTGATGTAACTGTGTGTATGTTTTGCATTTCAGCCAGTAGATGATTTGCTGCGATGTGGAATTTGCTTTGAATACTTCAACATTGCAATGATGATTCCTCAGTGTTCACATAACTGTAAGTATGGTTCTTTTCTGTGAATTAGTCAGGAAAAAGTGAGATTTTCACCTTGATGCCGAAGATAAGAATGCCTGTTCCTCTTTTTCTCGTCTCTATCTTGAAGTTTTCAGGTCTTTTTCATCTCCCACTGCTTCAGTTTTGGCTTTTTTTTTAATCTCAGGTCCTGTATTTTCTGCCGCCTCCTCCTGGCATAGTTTTATGGTTTTTATGTAATTTGTGGCAATAAAGGTTTGGGTCACAGTGTGCCAGTCTTTATTTTCCAAGCACTTTTAGATGTTGAGTTTTAGAATGGTTCTTTTTGACAGGGTGACGCGTGGTTCAGTCAATAGTGCCGGATACAGAACTTGAGTGTTAGCCATCTGGAGCAGATGGAATGCCCAGGCCCCTCCTTTCCATGGGAGGTGTTCCATTAAACCCATAGATTGAGGCTGTGCGCCATGGGCAGCCTAGCTTAGCAACATGGGACCTGAAAAGGCCTGCTGTTTACCTTCTCCAGGGCAGCCGCTGCAGCCTGGCAGCCCAAGAGGGCCTCACTGTGTGGGGCTGACCCTAGGGAGGTCAAAGGTCGGAGTTCGAAGCCTGGTCTCCACGAAATGCCACGTGCTCTCACCAGCTCGGAGTCATTGGTGGAGTCGCTTGGCATCCAGTCGGGCTCTGTCTACCCTGCATAGCCCTGCCACGTGAGACCCTGACAGTCTTGCTGTTGAGTCGCTCGGCCTTGCTGCTTTAGCTTTTGTTAGGTCGTGGTGTCTCAGCATCAGGTTGTCAGGTTGCGCAGGGCAGCCTGCTGGCTGTTCACTGGGTTGGCATCTTACTATGGGTAGTGGTATGCAGTTAAAGAGTGACTGAAATGATGTGTTTGCAAAATTAAAGAAAAAAATGGAAGCAGGGCATTATGGTAATCAGAATTGGCTTTAGGAAATACACGTAATCTGTTCTCTTTATATTAATAAAAAAAAAAAAGTTTCATTAAAAATATTAACGTCTTAGGGCCTGGTGAGGTGGCCTAGCAGCTAAAATCCTCACCTTGAACACTCCAGGATCCCATATGGGTGATGGTTCTAATCCTGGTGGCCCTGCTTCCCATGCAGCTCCCTGCTGTATCCTGCGAAAGCAGTCAAGGACGGCCCAAAGCCTTGGGACCCTGCACCCGTGTGGCAGACCCAAAAGAAGCTCCTGGCTCCTGACTTCAGATCAGCTCAGCTCCAGGCATTGTGGCCACTTGGGGAGTGACTCAATGGACGGCAGATCTTCCCCTCTGTCTCTCCTCTGTGTGTCTGCCTTCTTAGGAGCAGCAGTGGGATGCTGGCTTGCAAGCAGAGCAGCTGGGCTCCACTTACATCGCTTGGGCTGTGCCCACAGAAATTTGATTTTATCTTGACCATGCTGAATTCTTTGACTTATTTTAAAGCTATTGACGTTGTATTTAAATTAGTTTTTTATAGACAGTGTATATTTGTGTCTTATCCTTTAATCCTGTTGAACCATATCTATTTTTCCATGGAATATAATATTTAGACTTTCACTGTTTCAGAAGATGTTAGTAACATGTGGTGGCTGTTTACATTTCAATTAAATTTTATTACAGATAAATCAGGTTTCAGTTCCCTAATTGGATAGCCATATTTCAAGTGCGGTTAAGGTGCATGTCTACTGTGGCACAAAGTGAATGTAATTGTTGGTGAGGGTGAGTTTAAATGATCCATGGTGCGTCTCAGAAACAGAAGCACAGTTAGACACACAGTGAGATGTTTGCAGAGGGCTCCCAGTGCTGCCTCATTGCCCAGATGCTACCTGTGACCAGGGCCGGGCTGGGGCCAGAGCCAGGTGCCAGGGATGCAGTGGCACCTGAGCTGTCGCCACTGCCCCGGGGTCGGCACAGCTGGCCGCCTGGTCAGGAGCAGAGGCAGTTCCTGAGCCCGGTCCCTGGACGTGGAATGTGGGTGCCTCACCCACCAGGACGGATGCCTGCTCCCTGCCACCTCGCCTTTTGTTTGCAGTTGGCTCATCTGTTCTTTCCCATGTTGACATTTTACAAAGCACAGTTAGAAGGATGTTCTTCACAGCTGATTTATTAGCTGCAGTTTTTGTTTTACTCATCAGTGGTGCTTCAGACACGTGTCCTGGACTCAACTCCAGCCTCCAACTGGTGGTGTTAAGGGTCTGAGTGGTGTGAGCTGCCCTAGCTGTGTCCCTCCAGCCTTCCTCACTGTCGCGATCCAGTGCGGATCCAAGTCTCCTGTTCCTTTTGTACATTCTCTCTCTCTTTTTAAAATATTTATTTGTTTTTATTGGTTGGCAGGTCAGATTTGCAGAGAGGAGAAACAGAGAGAAAGCTTTTGCATCTGCTGGTTCACTTCCCAAATGACAGCAGTGCTGCGGCTGAGCAGATCCAAAGCCAGGAGCTTCTTATGAGTCTCCCGCATGGGTGTAGAGTCCCAAGGCTTTGGGCCGTCCTCGACTGCTTTCCCAGGCCACAAGCAGGGAGCTGTTTGGGAAGTGGAGCAGGCAGGACATGAACTGGTGCCCATGTGGGATCTCAGCGCTTTAAGGGAGAGGATTAGTCCATTGAGACATTGCGCCGGGCCCTTCCTTCTGCTCTTGATTCCTGCTTTCATTCCACTGTGGTTGGAAAGACATGGGTGATTTCTGCTGACGGTCCAGAGGCTGACTCCTACTTGACTGTCACCTGCATCCGATGGAGTTGCTATGGAGATGAGATGTCCGACTTCAACATTGGCTCTAAGACAAGTGAACGCTTTGGGGCTGTTAGTATGAGGTGAATGTTTTGTGCACGTGAGGACAAGATGAATTTCGGGCTGGAGCGGCTGACTTGAGCTGTCCCCCTGAATTCCCGTGCTGTCTGCGCCCTCGGTGTGCTGGGGTTTGGACGGGACACCCTCAGGAGAGAGTGAGGCTCAGATGAAGTCCTGGCGAGGGCTTCATGATGAGCCTGGGGCCTGGAGAGACTTCGGTCTCCACCCACCCCAGAGGACACAGTGTGGCTTCCTGACCCTGGGCTTCTGGCCCCCAGAACTGGGAGGAGGTGAGTCTTGTTCTTTAGGCCATCTGGTGTGTGATGGCAGTTCCAGTAGACCAGGTGCCTCCTCTCCACCTTGCACTGATGGGGAGCTGCTGGGAGATGGAGCAGCTGGGACTTGAGCCCGTGCCTGCATGTTGGCGTTGCTGGTGGTGACTTTGCGTGCTACACTACAGCACTGCTCCTCCAACCCCCTTAGGTTGATAAGGAAAATGAAGCTAGCTTTCACAGATACTCTTCCCCCCGGGCTCTTGCTCTTTTTTCCTTTACACAGATTGGGTTTCTGACCTAAGTAATTTCGCTGTGTGTGAAGAATGTCTTCAGCCCTTCTCTGGAGGCCTGTGTATCCCTCGGTTTCCATGGCTGTGATGAAGCACCCGAGGCCGGTTGCTTGCTGAGCTCAGTGGTGGAGGCTGGGAGTCGGGCAGCGTGGTGTGGGGCGTGCGCTGCCCAGCTGCCCTGGCTGCAGCATGGCATGGTGTGTGGCCTCGAGCTCCTGGCCATCCTGGAAGCCAGAGAGGTACTCGTTCTTTGAGAACTGACGTGAGGACAAGTTTAGCACCCCCAGCATGCAGTCACTGGGAATCTGGCCTCTCTTCTTCATGGTCCGCGTCCATCACAGAACCCTGTTCCAGGCAAGCCGGGGCAAGCTGCGTCCAGACCACAGCAGTGGTGGTGGAGGGGGCAATAGATATGGTCTTTCCCCCACTTGTTAACCCTCCAGATGGCTGCAGTTGCAGTGGGGTGTGGGGGTGTGGTCAGCTCTGTGTGGCCGTGCCCCATGGCTGTGGTCAGCTCTGTGTGGCTGTGCCCATGGCAGTGAATTCACACGCATCAGGATGGGGTGGTGGCAGTTTTGCACGTTGCCTGGGCCCTGACGGCCTTGCAGTGGGCGGGCTCTGCTTACGTGGTTTCTTGCCACACAGTTGCTTTGCCCCTCCCCTGACCACATTGACCAGGGAGTTCTCCAGTGTTTGCCGTGAGAACCTGGCAGGACAGCTGGAGTTGGTGTTCAGGGCCGCCCAAGGCAGGGTGGCCTGGAGGTTGAGGCTGTAGGGTGCATCCGGGCTGGGTGACCAGCACTTTGATTGCAGTGCTGGGTTTCCTGCTGTGCCTCTGCTCCGTTGTGGTTCTCTGTCCACCTGTCCCTCAGTTTTGGGGGCAGCAGCGTACCCTGTGACCATGTGTCTGCCGGGTCTAGGGAGAGCTGCGTCTCTGCTCTTTAGCTGTTGGGGTTTCTGGGGCCCTCCAAGCCCGACATGCCCAGGCAGCACCTCTTGTCTTTGCGTCCCAGAACTTGACCTCCGCCTGTTTCATCCTTGTTGGGTTCTTTTGAGGCTGGCAGGACGTGCTTGCTTCCTGGGTATCTGCCACTCACACCGTCCTGTCTTCTCAGTGACTTCTCTGTGACCAGGCTTCAGCCCAGCCGTTGGGGCTACTAGTGAGAGTTGCTTGGTGACCCTTGTCCTTAGTCACGTGGGCGTTTTCTTTGCCTGGAAGAGCGTTTTTACACCATCCAGAGTGGTGCGTTTGATTCCTGCCTGTTTGCTGTGTGGCTCGAGCGGGCTTGCACGCTGTCTGCCCTGCCCTGCGCTGCCTGCCCTGCGCTGCATGCTGCCTGCCCTGTGCTGCGTGCTGCCTGCCCTGCGCTGTCTGCCCTGCCCTGCGTTGCCTGCCCTGCCCTGCGCTGCCCTGCCCTGCGAGCACTGCCCTGCCCTGCACTGCCCTGCCCTGCGTGCAATGCCCTGCGCTGCGCGCTGCCTGCCCTGTGCTGCCCTGTGCTGCACTGCCCTGCGCTGTGCGCTGCCTGCCCTGCACTGCCTGCCCTGTGCTGCACTGCCCTGCGCTGTGCGCTGCCTGCCCTGTGCTGCACTGCCCTGTGCTGCCCTGCGCTGTATGCACTGCCCTGCGCTGTGCACTGCCTGCCCTGTGCTGCCTGCCCTGTGCTGCACTGCCCTGCACTGCCTGCCCTGCGCTGCTTGCCCTGTGCTGCACTGCCCTGCGCTGCCTGCCCTGTGCTGCCTGCCCTGCACTGCCTGCCCTGTGCTGCGTGCACTGCCCTGCGCTGCCTGCCCTGTGCTGCGTGCACTGCCCTGCGCTGCCTGCCCTGTGCTGTGTGCACTGCCCTGCGCTGCACTGCCCTGTGCTGCGTGCTGCCTGCCCTGCGCTGCCTGCCCTGTGCTGCGTGCACTGCCCTGCGCTGCACTGCCTGCCTGGTGCTTTGAGGCTCTTCAGCTCTTAGGGCCTGCGTGTGGAGTGTGGGAAACAGCTGTCATCTGTGGGTTTAGGACATACAAGTCCCTCCTTTGATAACCCTGGGGTTCTTATTTCCTCACATGTGTAAATATCTTGTTTGAAAAGGTGCAGAGAATGCTGGCGTGTTTGTGCAGCACCCAGCTGTGGTCTTACCGCTGCCGTACTGCATAGAGGATGTGTGTGATGCTTGCAGAGTGCAAGGTGCGTTCTGCTGCAGCTCACTGGAAATGCTGAGTGTGATGGTGTGCCACTGTGCACACACGTAAAGGTGCTAAAATGGGAGATGATAATGACAGCTTTTTAAATGATGATGTAAGTGCTTTGTTGTCATTCCTGTGTTACCTGTATTGTTTAATTTATCCAGTTGCATTTTGTGTTTTTGCAGATTGTTCTCTATGTATAAGAAAATTTCTGTCTTACAAAACTCAGTGTCCAACTTGCTGTGTGGTGAGTTTTTTTGACTTACTGATTTACACAGATATTTCTGCTTCATTTATGTGCAGTGGCTCTTGGGAAGAAACGCAGTTACCGAATTAAACTTTGTAAAAGGCATCTTCAGGAAGGACCTTTCTGATAACCTGTATTTGAGGAAGTAAAAACAAATTGTAAGATAAGGATGTAGCTCTCTCTAATTCTTTATTTTTATTTTTTAAAAGATTATTTGAGAGGTAGACTTACAGAGAGAAAAGGGGAGGAAAGGAGGGAGGGAAGATGGGGGGGGGAGAGAGAGAGAGAGAGAGAGAGAGAGAGAGAGAGAGAGAGAGAGAGAGAGAGAGAGAGAGAGAGAGAGAGCTCTTCCTTCTGCTGGCTGACTCTCTGAATGGCTGCGGTGGCCAAGCTGAGCAGTCTGAAGCCAGGAGCCAGAAGATCCTCCCAGGCCTCCCACGTGGGTGCAGGGTCCCAAGGATCTGAGCCATTCTCTACTCTTTCCCAGGAGCTGGGTGAGAAGTGTAGCAGCTGGGACTCGACCTGGCACCTGTATGGGATCCTGGCCCTGCAAACGGAGGATAAGCATGATAAGCCACCATGCCAGCCCCAACTCTTTAATTCTATGGCATGTGATTTTATGGGCCTTAGTTTTGTTGTTAATTTCTCGCTTTAGGGAGAAATCTGGTGGCGGGATTACACAGTTACCAAGGATTGCGGTCAGGGTTTGGGCAGAAGGCAGATGTGTGCAGCCATGGGCCGTCACCAGCCTCACCAGTCCCCAGTCTATGCCGGGCCAGATGGTCAGGGAAACACCAGGCAGTTTATTATTGTAGTTTGACAAACTGTCCAAGTAGTGGGGATGGGTGGAGGGCGAGAGTGAAAGGGAGATTGGACATAGAGGGAGGTGGGTGTTGAGAGAGCAAGAGTCCGGTCAGAGTGCGGGGCTGTGGATGGGTGGGCCCGTTCGGCCGCTCGGGGAGGAGCATTGTGTGGCAATGTCACTGAGCATGTCAGGGCTGTCCCCTGAGTCAGAAATGGTGCCGTGGGGCTCCCAGGCCTCAGAGCTGCCCGGGTCTGCTTGCCAGGGACGGGGACCACTCACACAAGTCCTCCAGTTGGCTGCTTCCTTTGGCCTTCCTGAAAGCTGAGCTTGTGTTTGCACTCTGAATGCTTGGAGTTCCTCCCAATGTTATTACTTAACAGAGCATCACTCTTCTGTTTGTTGGGAGAAGTTTTTGGAAAGCTGAGTGCTGACATTTTGAAGAAAGGTTCTTGCTCATACTCGGTTCTACCTTAACGAGCACCAGGTCCTAATGTGTGCTTTAGCAGGTGCTTGGGGAGCCTTTCTCAGCCTTCAGCAGGTCCCGAGTCACTGTTGTAAGATCCCGTGGAGGCCGAGCTAACTGAGCTTTACCCGGAGGTTTTCCTGGAAGGCCAGAGGGGTGGAGCGCTGCAGGCGGCTGCTTGGACGTCTTCAGAATCGTGCTTGTAATGAATAAATTACTGCTTTTGACCTTTCTCCGTCTGTTGTTTTTCTTTTCTAGACTGTCACAGAGCCGGACCTGAAAAATAACCGTGTGTTAGATGAACTGGTAAAAAGCTTGAATTTTGCACGGTATGATGTGATTTTGTGACTAACTTCTAACTGCTCCGTCTGTTCTGGGTGCTCGATCTCTTCTGCGTACACTTCTCAGAGAGGGAATGTGGGAGAAAGAAAGGACGTGATTAGACTGTGTGTTCACACGTGGATGCCATTTTGTTCCTTTACCTAGCAGACATTCTCCCGTGGTGAAGAACTCTTGGGAAGGTGCTGCTGGCGGACTTGGCTGCCATTACGTGCTGTGACCATGCTCCCGCGGCAGCCTGTGATTCTGGTGGCCTGGCCTTAGATGCAGCTGTTTATCTCAGGAGTCCTGGTTCCTTTCACTGGGGAAGAACTTTCTGGAGACCTGAACCTGGTGCTGGCAGCACTTGTTGCCCCAGGGGCGCCGATGCTGCCTGGGCCTCTCAGTGGAGTTAGACGTGTGCAGACCGGCCCGTGGACACATGTCTGTAATTGCTTTTCTCTGTTGTCCATTAATCCATTAAGTCTTAATCTGCCTTGTTCTGCATGTGAAAAATGACGTGCCTTGTGTAGCACGAGTTGCTTGTGTTGTCTGAAACTCGGATGTGTCGCTTTGCTTCTTAGCTCTCTGTGCGAGAATGTGTGACATGATCTGATCTCCCAAGTGAACCAGAAAGCTGTGCTTTATATAACAGTGCTTTGAACTGTCCTGAGTTTTAATCACAGAAGTTGAGAAAGGCTTTTTATTAAGGATACACTTGTTTTAGTCATGGCTGGGCGTGACTCCCGGGGCTCCCACACTCCCGGGGCTCCGAGTCTTAAGGTTGTTGGGATGTTCTGGGAGTCACACTGCCCCATTGCAGGTGGATTTCCTGCAGTAGGGTCGTGTGTGTCTTTGGTGGTTTGTATCCCAAACTTGATTAAGTTTAGTGCTCATGTTTAGAACTCATGAGCGCTATGATCAGGTCCTAAAGCAATGGCAGACTTGTGTAGGTTAAAAAACTCTGAAAAAGAAAAAACCTGAGATTTTCTGATTCTCATAACTAAAGTGACTGCTTTTCTTACTTTAAAACACTTCACTTGTTGATTGGTATTTTGAATGAAATTTTTATTGGTTTGAAGGGGTCAGGAGACAGAGAGAGACAAGAGAGGGCGAGTGAGAGCGAGTGTGCACCATCCTGTCCTCTGGTTTGCTTCCCAAATGCTAGCAACATCGCTTCTCGGCCTTTTGGCTAAGATCCAGTGTAGTACCAAATGCTAGCAGCATCCAGGCTGGCAGGAAGCTGAGAGTCTAATTCAGGTCTCCCCGTTAGGGGCACAACCCAGCTTCCCAGCTTCCTGTGCGGAGCGGCTGCAGTAGCAGGCAGCTGGGTTCAGGCGCAGCAGGGCTTGGCCTGTAACTGGCATGTGCCCACTGAGCTCACTGTCTTGTCCCCCCCCAACAGCCCCCCCATTACTTTTCAGAGTGTGTAAGAGAGCTTGGGGCCATGCCTTTCTGAGGGATTTTATTGTCCAGAGAAAGTCTGATTTCCTCTAAGCCAGCTCCATTGTGTCTTGAAGCTTCTCGTTTTTTCTAACCCCTCCCCCCGCTGGAAGTACACAGCACCTCCTTGCTAGGCCAAGGCAGGAATCGCCTTGTCTGGCTGGAACGGGGTCTGTATTTTTAGGGCCGTAGAGTGGACAGTTGAGCTCTCTGTCCACGAGGAATGGGCTGAGTGTGGTTGGGAGTGTGCTGGATGGCAGCCTTTCACGGCATGCTTTTGCTCTTGCTGGCTTTCTTGGAGTTGCTCTGCTTCCAGCAGCGTCCTCGTGGGGACCGTCCTGGATGTCTGCTGTGCAGGGCAGACTTGCTGTGGCGCTTGGTCTGCACAGGAGCGAGCCTGGAATTCATGCTAACTGGTTTGTTGCTTGTCTAAACTCTGGCTTAGGATTGACAAGGGAGGAAATTTAATCCTGGGACTAAAATTTGTAACATACCTACTTCTTGATTGGTTTTATTTGTTTTTGTTTTTCCATCTGCCAGTGTACACTACGAATGTAATTTTTATGATTTTTTTTCCAAAATATGATATCCTAAGTTGGATAATAAGGTGTTGGAAATAACTTCAGATATACAGCTCGTATATTTTCTTCTGACCTTTCCTTTATTTTCAAAATCACGTTTTCTTTTTTCTTGGTTCGGTTTAATTTAAGGTTCTTAAGAATCTGTTGTGTGGAACAAAATCAAATTAGAACATGCAGTTTATCTAACATGCAGTTTCAAGGCACTGGTGCTGTGGAGTAGGTGGTGGTGCTGTTGACTGCAGTGTTGGCATCCCTCATGGGCTCTGGCTCGAGTCCTGGCCTTTCCACATCTGGTCCAGCTCCCTGCTAACACAGCTGGGAAGGTACTGGAAGGTGGCCCAAGTACTTGGGCTCCTGCCCTCACGTGGGAGACCCGGAAGAAGCTCCTGGCTTCAGACCAGCCCAGCTCTGGCCACAGCACCCTTTGGAGACTGAAGCAGCAGGTGGAAGGTTTCTCAGTTTCTCCCTCTCTTTCTCTGCCTTTCTGCTATTCAGATAAATAAATACATCTTCAAAAAAATATATATAGCAAAATAAAGAAGTCAAGAAAAGAAAAAGAGAGAAAGAAAAGCAAAGCTTCCCTGAGTTTCGCTCTTGACCTCAGGAAGGCAGCTGCTCCCTGCGTGTGCGCAGCCGCACCCCGTCTGTGGCGGTGTTAACATTTGGGAGTGTGGAGCATCACTCAGTTCTGTCGGGGCAGAGCTTCTGCAGATGCTTCATGTTGTGCAGGAAATGCCCACAGCACCCCCTGCAGAGGCTGCAGGGCCTGCTCCACCATCCCAGGTAGTGCCCTGGCAAGCTTTAGGCTCTGGATTTGGGCAAAGCTGGACTCCATTTGGGCTCCTGCCGGTTCTGATGAGATCACAACCAACATACTAAGCTCTTTGGCCTCTTTCCTCATCTGGGAAACGGAAATAATGTTGTTGATGCCCTGAAGGATTCCTGGGGGGGTCAGACCTGAAATGTGTAGTGGAAGATAAGCCAGCCTGATCCCTGGAACAAAGGCGTGGATAAGAAGATTCTCATTAATGTCATCATGCATTTTGCCAGTTTCACAAAGATAGTTCCCTGAAGTGCCAACAAGGAGTTGTGCTTGAATGGACCTCTGCCCCTTTAAGCAAGTGTTTGCACATTGCAGAGCAGAGCAAGCTCTGCAGGGGCTGGAGCTGTACTGAGGTCCCCGGTGTGGATTGTAGGGACTTAGGGCCGTCTGGGTTTGCCCACTGCTTGTCTCACTTTGATTCTTACCTGCAGTCTGGGTGAGTGCGATGATTCTGTAGTAAGAAATGGGCAGATAATTGCATGCTTTCCTGAGTTGTGTGTTTACACAGGCAGAAACCTTGGGAAAGAAGGTTTCTTGGCCTGCGTGCCTGGGTGTTTGACGTCTAATGTGCGGTGGCCTGAGTTTATTCACCCATCTGTAAGATAAGCATGTTGCCTTCTCTTGAGCATCTTCCCAGCTCTGACAGCGGTTGACCCCCTGGAGTCTGAGTGCCCGTGGGGAATGCGGTTGAGCTTTGCCCACTCCATGGCTCAGACCCTGAGCTCAGCTCGTTTGTGTAGCTGTTCACCTGGGTTGAGTGCACTCTGCTTCAAGTCTTACTTGCTTGAAATGTGAAATATCAGAGAGAGAAAGGAGACAGAGGCAGAAATCTTGCAGCTGTTGGTTCACTTTCCAACGGCTCCAGGAGCCAGGGCCAGGTCAGACTGAAGTCTGGAACCAGGAATTCCATCCAGCTGTTCCCATGGATGGCGGGGGCTCGGGCAGTTGGGTCATCGTCTGCCGCCTTCTCAGGCACCTTGGCAGGAGACTGGATTAGAAACAGAGCAGCAAGCACTCAGATATGGGATGTCACCATCACAAGTGGTGACTTACCATGCTCCACAGTGCCGTCCCCTCCAATTCACCTTGATAGAAATTCATAGAGGTGGCGAGAATTAAGGGAAAACTATTGGGTTAGGTTAACTCAGCATCAATTTTGGAATTAATATTTTAACTTTGGTTTTTATTGTAAATGATCTTGTGGTTTTAATGTCCGTTTTTGTAGTCATGGCATGCAGATTTCTAGCTTTAGCTGAATCTCTTTCCCCTTGACCTTGGAGCTGCTCTTGCCCAGGATGTCCCAAATGACTCTCACTTCCTGTGCTGCTCCCTCAGCCTTCCACAGCTCAGTAAATACGGGGTCAGCCTCACTTGTCCCGGCGCCGGACCCCTGAGTCCCCCTGGTCCCCTTGGTCACGCTGCTTCATTTGTTGGGCCCACCTCAGCTCCTGCTGACTCTGCCTTCGGGACACTGGCTGGGATGTGCTGTTCCTCTCCCTCTGGTGCTGCGCCGGTCGCAGCCAGTGTCCGCCTGCATTGTTGACATCACTTCTCAAGGTCTTCATTCTGTGTGTGTCCTCTTCCGGAGGACAGCCCCCAGAGTGGCCCCTGCTTCAGACCGCCCTGTGCTGCGTCCCCACAGTGCCACTCCCCTCTTCTCTGAGTGGGCCTGCCCGCTCTGGGACCTTGTCCCATACCCTGGTTCTTGTTTATTCTGGCCACCCGGCCTTCCTGCCGGCTCTGCCTTGCTGACCTCACTCTGACCCTGAAGACTTTGGAACTTGCTGTTACTTCACTGTGAGTCAGGGTGGCCACGTGGCCTGGTTCTCCTGGATCCTGTCCTCGAGAGGATCGGGCCCAGCTCCTCTTAGCACCTTCCGTGCCTAGTAGAGCTGTGCCATGTGTCTGTCCCTCACCGAGGTGTCAGCTTGACGAGGACAGAGATGTCACGTGGCACTCATTCGATTTCTCTGCCAAGGATAGCTGACACTGGAATGCGTTTATGCATTTTAATTTTAGCACAGGGAGTAGTTACATCGTGGTGATGGTGGTCTCATCTGCACTGAGGTGAGGCGCAGTCTGACTGAAGTGTCTTTGCAGGCGGGGTCTGTCTGGTCAGTGCAGGAGCCTCGGGCCGTGGGCCTTGCTCGCACAGCTCGTCCTAGCGAGACGGACGCTTTGCTCAGCACCTCTGCCACAGGAGGGCGGGTGTTACAGCGGCCAGTCTGTTCTTGTCTTTTATTTCATCTCAAAGACCAGGATTTTAAAGTCTTTTTTTTAAAATTTTTCTCCTTCTATAGCTGTTATTTATCAAATTATGTTCATTTGAAAGATGTTAAGTTCTGTTCTGGCAAAAGACAATAGGCCCGCTGTTCACTAGGTCAAGTTCAATTCTGCTCACGTTTCCCCAGTGGGGTCCTTTCCTTAGGATGTAGCCCACGTGGCGTTGCCCCTCAGTGTCCTTCCTGTTTACCGTGTCCTCTCGGCTTCGGGCTCGGCCACCAGCAGACTCTGGTGCCCACAGCTGCCTAGGCTCCGGTGCTCGCATCTCGTACCAATGCAGTGCTGGACGTGCGGGGAAGGATGCGTCCCCCTCCCGCTGCTTAATCCATGTGTCTGTTCTCCTGGGGCCCAGAACCTCATGCTAGGGCAGCCCAGTTTTTGGTTTGTTTTGTCCTTTAAAGATTTATTTATTTTTATTGGAAAGGCAGATATACAGAGAGACAGAGACACAGAGAGAAAGATCTTCCATCTGCTGGTTCATTCCCCAAGCAACTGTAGTGGCTGGAGCTGAGCTGATCCAAAGCCAGCAGCCAGGAGTCAGGAGCCTCCTCTGGGTCTCCCATGCGGGTGCAGGGTCCCAAGGCCTTGGGCTGTCCTCAGCTGCTTTCCCAGGCTACAAGCAGGGAGCTGGATGGGAAGTGGAGCAGCTGGGATTAGAACCATCACCCATACAGGATACTGGCATGTGCAAGGCGAGGACCCCAGCCACTAGGCTACCATGACGGGCCCCCAGTTTTCTGTTTTGCCCAACTTCGATTGTTAGAGAATATGTCTCACGTCGGCTCTTCTCTGTGACCAGAACCTGACTGCCTTCCACTTGCTTCCGTACGAGTTAGCCGTCTTCTGAGTCACCTTGTGTTTTATTCCACAAGAAGTGCGTTGGCATGGTTATTATTACGGCATAAGATCTGTACCCCAGGAAGAACACAGCTCATGTTATTAATCGGCTAAGTACCGTTCCGTGTCTTGATCTTCTGTTGTGTTTTAAGTTGTACTTTGTTATCTGGTAGGAAAGTCTGTTACTGTCTCCATGCTTGCAGGGATCATCTGTTGCGGCTGGCTTTGGAGTCGCCGCCCATGTCTCCCGTTTCCTCCTCTGCCAAGAGACTTGCCGTCAGAGCCCCTACTTCCGTGGCATCCAGGCCTCCTGCAAAGCAGGCAAGCAGGCTGATGGACAGTTTCCTGATCAGAGAGGGCGCCAGTCCCGGCCCGGAGCTGTTGTCAAGCGAAAAGGAGAACACGCTCACCCCGCAGAACGATGTGAGCAGCTCGGCTGAGTCCACGGGGACGTGGCTCTCAGAGGTGACGACTCCCAGCTCCTCCGAGGCCAGGCGCCCGGACACCCCTTCAACGTCCACTTTGAAACACGTCACCAAAGGTAGGAACTTGTTTTCACACTCAGTGGTCATCTTCTCAGCTGGGTGACCTCTGTAGGACAGGCCGTGCTCCGAGCACCTGCTTTCTTGGAGAGCATTTTGTAGCATCTGTTTGCTCAGCTTGCTCAGCCTCTGTGTCTCTCCCAGCCAGTGACACCGAGAGCAGTCTGCGACATGGTGGGAACCCGTGCGTGCACCGTGCTGGCCTCTGTCAGTGTTGTTAAACTCGGGTTGGAATCTGTGTGCTAGTTACTCACGTGTTTACAGTCTTGGTGACTTTCTAGCATACATCTCCTCCTGGATAGATAGCTCTTAATTAGCATTTTTAGCTTGGCAATTTTTTTCTTTCTTAACCTCTAGCAAAATCTGCTTTCTAATGGAATGCTTCCAGCAAACCATGGCATAGGGTAGATGAAATTGTCCCTGATTTGGTGAGGTGGGAGTGGAGGGCTGGACTCGGTGCTGTTCTGGCTGCCCTTTGCCTTGGGCAGAGCTGCCTGTTGATGCACACGGCCCGGGGGCTGCCCGGATCCCTGCCTCTCCCTGAGCTTGCAGGGCAGGACTCGCTGTGCTGACATTCTAAGGGGAATTAGAGATGAAAGCTAAAGTAGCCAGTTCGTACCCAGTGACAAACCGAATAGTAGTGGGCCCAGCTCCGGACCCTGAACGCGCGCGCTGCTTCTGAACTGTCCTGCTGTGGGCCAGGCCCGTGCTCCTCGGTTCTTCCACTCTGTCTGTGTTACGTATGGAGGCCTGCTTGTGCTTGGGCAGTCCTAGGATTGGCTTTGTAGTTTGGCTCTACCTTGGTAGAGGAGACTAACCAGAGCATTTGCTAGTTGGTTACTTAGCAAGCGTACGCGCAGCCTTGCACCAGGCTGGAGGCTGCGTGTGAGTCCACACGAGCGCTTCTCATTCCGGTGCCTGGATGGGTGGTTCCTTTTTTTTTTTTTTCTTATTGCATATTTGGTTGAGATTTTGCTTTTTATCCTAATTGCTATAAGATACTGGCTTTTTTTTTCCCCTGCAAGTAATAAAGTCTTTTTCTCTTTTTGGAAAATGCAGTGGATTGTCCTGTCTGTGGGGTCAGCATCCCAGAGAATCACATTAATAAGCACCTCGACAGCTGTTTATCACGGGAAGAGAAGAAGGAGAGCCTCAGAAGGTAAGGAAGTCGAGCAGTTTTCTCTCTTCTAGGATTTCTTTCTTTCTTTGAAAGGCAGAGTTACAGGGAGATGGACAAACAGCCAGGACTGGGCTGGACTGAAGCCAGGAGCCTGGACCTCCATCTGCTCAAGTCCTTGGGCCGTCTGCTGCTTCCTGCCCAGGCGCATGAACTGAGAGCTGGCTCACGAGTGGAACGTGTGGGATGCCGTGTTGAAGTGGTGTCTTCACCAGCTCCGTCGTGACTCGGCTCCCCGCGGCTTTTGAGCCGTTTCTCTGAGCGTCTCCTGCAGCTGTTGTGCTAGGCCTCTTGTCTGGCCCAGGCCCTCTTCAGTCCCTTCTCCTTTGACCCTGCCGCTGCTTCCCGCTCCCTGTCGGCTTGTTCTTTCCTCCCTCCCACTGGGCCAGAATAATCAGCTGTACTGGAGTGTGCACTGCTAGAACAATTTTAAAAATTAGTTTTCAATTCTTCCTAAACTCATGTTTGGGAAAATAGGTGTTGTTTTTGTAGAATAGAGCTTTGCTAAGCCTTCCACTCTCCCCAGGGAAAGAGCAGATGATAAATGGGATAGACTGGGGAGCAAAAGAGTTAAAAGTTTATAGGAAAAGAAGATTCAGAAAGGAGACAGAGGCTGAAGAAACGAATGGGGTCTGGGGCGTGGGCGGGGGCAGGATGACTGGCTCTTCATTTTCGTTTGGATTTAGAAGAGCTGTTTCTAAAAACCATGCTAAAGTTATGGTATGTACGAAAGATGGCAGGACCATCTTACTGTTTCTGTGATTAAAAATAGATATGGCTTGATTTTTTTTTTTTTTAAAGATTTATTTTTATTATTTTTTATTGGAAAGGCAGATATACAGAGAGGAGAGACAGAGAGGAAGAGCTTCCGTCCGATGATTCACTCCCCAAGTGAGCGCAACGGGCCGATACTATGCCGATCCAAAGCCAGGATCCAGGAACTTCTTCAGGTCTCCCACGCGGGTGCAGGTTCCCAAAGCTTTGGGCCATCCTCGACTGCTTTCCCGGGCCACAGGCAGGGAGCTGGAAGGGAAGCGGGGCTGCCGGGATTAGAACTGGCGCCCATATGGGATCCCGGGCGTGCAAGGCAAGGACCTTAACCACTTGCGCCACCGCGCCGGGCCCATGGCTTGATTTTTGAATGCATTTTGAGGGTCTCTAGGTTCTGAAGAAGAGACACGTCACGGCGACCTGGAAGTTAACCAATTAACACCACCTGCCATGTTATTTCTTGGCAGGGTAGGCACACACAGCACTCCTACCTACCGGGTGAATGTAGAAGAGAAAGCAGGGTTTCAGATGGCTTGGTTGCAAGAGTTTGGGATGAACGGATCTGAATGGTCCCCAGCCTGCTATTTGTCCAAGCGTCTCTTCCTTTAGGATGAGTTGGGAATGTAGAGGCCGAGTGTTTTCTCCAGTGAAGGTTGAAGTGAGCAATGAAGTGAGCAATGAGGATCTTGTTTTCCTTAGATACATGTGTCATGTTTTTGTGAACAGGTTTAGTGCAAAGACATACGTCTCCATAAATTACTGCCTTCCATAAGTCATTCCAAGTCTTGCACCACAAAATGCTGTGGTCCAGCTCATGCTGCTGCGTGCGGCTCGGGCACACCACCTGCTGCTCGCCCTCTTCATGTGAGGGAGGCTCTGCAAAGCCCTGCCCTAAAAGTAAACCTCGTTTTTGTTCACTTGTTATTGGAAAGGTGGGTCAGGCTGATGGACAGAAGGAGAGACAGAGAAAGCTCTTCCATTCTCAGGCTCACTCCCCAAATGAGCATAATAGCCAGAGCTGAGCTGATCCGAAGCCAGGAGCCAAGAGTCTCTTCAGCTGTCTTACGCCGGTACAGGGTTCCAAGGCTTTGAGCCATCTTCCACTGCTTTTCTAGGCCACAGCAGGAAACTGGATGGAAAATGGAGCAGCCAGGACACGGATGGCACCCAAATAGGATGCCAGTGCTTCAGGGAGGAAGATTAGCCTGTTAAACCACACTACTGGACCCTGTTTTGCTTTTCGGTTTGGTTTTGTTTGTTTGTTTAAGCCCAGTAATTCCTAAGTTTATTGATCTCCAACCCTATTTGTATTTCTAACTTTAATCTTGTAAAAGTGTTGTTCATGAAGACACGTCCTGGGAGCCAGGATCCTCATCTCTGTTTAGTGATATCCTGGTGCTGGGTTTGCTCACACGGAGGAGTGTCTGCCGACGTTCCCTTAGCATGCCCTTCTGCACAGCGTGCTGCCAAGCTTTCTGCTGACGGTGCCGGCGGCCTCTTCCTGTCCTGGAGTTGGCTCAGAGTGCGCCCTCTGCAGGTGCCTTCAGGTTCTGAGCCCCTTCCATGCACTTTACACAGCTCCACATTTCATCTTGGGAAATTTCTCATTGTAAGTGGTGGGAAATAGTATAGTCCTTTAGAATTTCACGGTTGTAAGTTTAATCTTGTCTCCTTTTGGAAATAAATGAGTTAGATACAGAACTGATAAATTGTTCTCCCATGTGCTTGTGTAAATGCCTTCAGAGTTGTTCAGCTGTTGCTGCATACCATGGGTTTGTTTTGCAGTCATTTTATCAATCTCTTTAGAATTCACTGGACTGTCATTATAGGACGAGCAATTTTCAGAAAAATGTAATCTGTTGAGAGCTTACGGGTCTTTTAATAGTCCAGCAGTTATTTCTGGCTTTTAGACTGTTGAGCAGAAAACAACTGAGATGGCTTGGCACTGCTGGTTAGGAGGGAAATGGTTGGTGCTCAGCTGTGATGTGTCTGTAAGTGCCACCTGGGAGCCAGTGGCTTCCGGTTAACTCCAGGGAACCTGTGAAGAATACAGAGTTTAGATCCTGCTTGGTGGGTGGAGTGAACATGGGCCTAACCATCTGCATTTCAAACCTACCAGGGGTCCTGGGGCCCAGGAGCAGTCCTGTATGAACTGGTGGTTTCCAGAGCCTTTGTAAGGTCTAGGTTTCCAAACAGACCTGTTGCTTGTGGCCACAAGTGAGGCTGGGCTGTGCACTAGGGCATCCTGCTGTCATCAGACAAACATTGACTCAAGTCATTGAAGCTTTTAGGTAGTTTGAATTCTAGTTCATTTTAAGAACCAGTATTTATTAAGGCTTTTTATTGGGGAATAGAAGAAATCTCACACAGCTTTTTTGTTTAAAATTATGGTTTAGCCCTTATAGCAGTTAAGTGTGTAAATAAAATGAAGGGCCAGGTGGTGATTTTGCTGGTGCAGTTCTTGAAATGCCCTACCCTATTCACCAGCGGGAACAGTCACAGTTGGAGATAACGGAGCTCGGCAGTGATTTCCGCTGGATGATGCCACATTCTCTACTCATCAACTTCCCGAAATGCTTCTGCTTGGTGGTGAGGAGTTAGGCAACACCAACTGTCCCAGCAGGGCTTCTCTGCAGACTTACTGTGCTGGGTTTGGGGGGTGTTTCTACCTGCGGATTAGAGTTTTATCTACACAGGCCATCTGTGATGATGATCTGAAAATCCTTAGCCTTGCCTTCAGTAGCGTTTTTAGTATATCATGAGAAACAAATGAGTTCTACGGGGAGTTGGCTCCTGAACCGTAGGCAGCTTCAAGGGAAAGCTCTTCCGCTTCTGCGTTAGCGGTGTGGAGAGTGGAGTGGACCTGTGCGCGCGCGGCCACACGCCTTCCCCACAAGCCCTCCATGCTGCAGGCCTGTACCCTGTCTGGAGTTGGTGTCTCACTCTGCTGTCCCTAGACCCTTCTGCCCGATGTGCCCTCTGACATTTGATTATTCTCAGTAATACTCAGAGATGTATTTTCTCCATTTCAGTTCTGTTCACAAAAGGAAGCCACTGCCTAAAACCGTGTACAACTTGCTCTCCGATCGTGATTTGAAGAAAAAGCTGAAACAGCATGGATTGTCTATTCAAGGAAGTAAACAACAGCTTATTAAAAGACACCAAGAATTCGTGCATATGTACAATGCCCAGTGTGACGCTCTGCACCCTAAATCAGGTAAAATAAGAAAAGATGGGGAGTACAGTGTTGTACCTCAGAGGTTATAGAACCATACAAACCAGTTCTGACACATTTAGAAGTGGACAAGACATGCAAAAGCGTTCTTCTCAGGGTGGCTGGAGGATGAGGCATCCCTTCTCGGCCTGGCTTCCGGGACCCAGAGTCTGCTCAGAGCCTCTCAGTGGCTGTTGCCTCTTTTTTAGGGATTATTGTAGCTGGTGGTTGTGAAGCGTAGATCCAGGGAGCCTGGGCAACGTTCCAGTGTCCCTGTCATGGATGTGTGGCCTTGCACAAGTTGATAGGGGCACAGTAATGCCTGCTTCATCATGATTTTGAGAGGAAGCAGGAATAAATTGGGTGCAAAGAGCTTGAGCTGCTTTTTCCCGGCACTGTGCAAGGTACAGGGTGTGGAGCTGTGTCTGTGGACACGGCAGCTCTCCCCTCCGGCCTCCCCACGCTGCTGTGCCTCCTGCTGTACTCGCAGGCTCTGTGGTCTCTCACCTGCCTTTCTCTGCTCTTGTGAAGGAGGCTTGTTGTGGCTGCCGTTTTTCTCTGCCTTGCCATCAGCTGCTGGTAGATGGCCACGCTGTGTCTCAGTTGAAACTCTTATGAATGTGGTTTCTTGGTCTATTTTATGTTGCTGCGACAATTCCCTTGATTTGTTAGTTCATAATCAGGTGTGTTTGACTCATGGATCCGATTCTGGAGGCTGTCAAGTACAAGGTGGAGATGCTGGCCTCTGGCCAGGTCCTCATGCTGTGCCACCTGTTGGCAGCAAGCTGAAGAGCAACAGAGGAGAGAGAACAGGATGGACCTTCTTTTGTTTCTGCAACAGATCATTCTTGATATTTACTCAGTCCTGCGGGAATGACGTTAACCCGTGAGGGCAGATCCTCCACCTTCTCACTGTCACGTTGGCTGTTGGGTTTCTTTCTTTATTTTCCCCCGGCACATTAGCTTTACAAGCGTGTTTGAAGTGTTTTCATTTCTCTTGGATAAGTACCCCAGGAGTGGAGTTACTAGGTCCGTAGAACAAATTCTTAAGAAACTGTTTCCAAAGAACTATGTTATGTTGTATGAGAATTCACTTGGCCACATTCTTGTCAATCTTTTTTGAATTTTAGCTCTTCTGATGGTGAAATAGAACCTCTGGGTGGTTTTAATTAATAGTAGCATCTCATAAAGGTTTTGATTTTTTTTTTTTTTTTGCAACACATGGTTTATGTTTTTTTGTTTGTTTGATTGAATCTCAGTCTTCTGTTACTCCCTTCTTCTGTTTATTGCACATTTAATTTGGTCTTCTTTTTCTGACTTACTATGAAATCACTTGAGATAATGAATTTCAGATTCTTCCAATGTCAGCAAAACTGTGGGTTTTCCTCTAGGCCTTATTTATTTGTTGATCGTGGGCTGAATGGAAGTGTTACTTCATTTTCTCTTATCTGCAGTGCTTCAGGCCAGAGGTGTTTTGTACTGTGAATTTTTTGAGCTTTGGGAGTGTTTGCTAGTACGCATGCGTGGTGTCTGAGAGATGGGATTCAGGTCTGAGCACAGGGTGCACGTGTCAGGTGTGCTTCATACACAAGCCTCAAGCTAATCTGATGCAGTATTCCTGCTGTAAGCTGTCAGTTTTCTTTTAAGGAAAATGAAAAATTGGGAAAAAATGGCTGCCGCCCCACATGCTGATCACTTCTCGCTGCTCTCTGGGGGAGCGGATTCCGCTCTTGGACCTGGATGAGCTCGTCCGGTGCTTCTTGCAGTATGGGTCTGAGGGCAGTCCTGGTTTTGCATTCTTTTTAAAAGATAAATCTAGAAAGAATTTCATACTTTGAAGAAGATGGAAGAACTGTCCCAGGAGTGTGAGTGCACGCTTCACACAGGCCCGTGGCCTCGCACCTGCAGGAAGAGTTCCCGCTCCTTCTCCGGCTGTTTGTGTCCGTATGTGTGCTGTCGCGCCTACAGCCGTGTGGAGACAGCGGTGGTCTTGTCACTTGCTCTCTTCTCTCATCGTGGAGCAGGGACAGTCTTTCAAAAGATTATTTAATTTTATTCTAATACTTATTACAAAGGTCAGGGGGTTACAGGCGCATATGAGCGTCTAGTTAGCATGGAGGTGGTCAGGGTAGCTGGCGGAGAGGGTGAGAGAAAAGGTTCAGCTTTTGCTGCTGTCCATGGCAGGAGACAGCGCAGTGCTCCTGCTGCCGTGCTGTGTCCCTGCCCGCAGAGGGAGAGTCAGTGGGTTGGCATCCTGTCTAAGCCCCATCCAACCTTGTTGAATGCTTCCGCTCTCTCATCTGTGTACTGGTTTGTTAGGGACTCATTAGTGCCCGTTTCAGGCCTTGATCCAGTTTAGGATCACACCTGCAGTTTAGTTAGATCATCTTTTCAGTCTGGAACAATTCCTCAGCCTCTGTCTTCTATGACATCGTGTGTGTGTCATGCAAATGTCAGTGCATACGTGGCATTCATGTGTGTCATGTTTGTGTGTGTGTGATGTGTGTGTACATGTATAGAAGCAGAGTGTTGACGCGTCCGTGTAAGCCTTTTTTTGCTCTCGGAGCGTCCCGGCCCATGCGGGCAGTTGACCTCTGTGCATCTTGCTTTGCCCAGGCCTGATCCCCTGATGAGTCTCTATTGTCCACGCAGTACGTGTCCCCCTTGCTGCAAAAGAGAAACCTATGAGTTGGCCCTCTGGACCATGCGTGACTTCTCTGTATCTTGGCAGAGCCTTGGCCTTTTTCCATCCTGTTCGGCTCTATTCAGTGCTGCTCGGCCCTGTTCAGCCAGGGCCCTATTTGGTTCTGCTCAGCCCTGTTTCATCTTGTTCAGCATTGTTCAGTCTGGGCCCTGTTTGACTCTGTCTGCCCTGTCCCATCTCGGCCCTGTTCTACCCTGTCTGCCCTGTCCCATCTCGGCCCTGTTCAACACTGTGCTGCCCTGTCCCATCTTGGCCCTGTTCGGCCCTGTCTGCCCTGTGCTGCCCTGTTCCATCTCGGCCCTGTTCGGCCCTGTCTGCCCTGTTCCATCTCGGCCCTGTTCGACCCTGTCTGCCCTCTTCCATCTCGGCCCTGTTCGGCCCTGTCTGCCCTGTTCCATCTCGGCCCTGTTCAGCCCTGTCTGCCCTGTTCCATCTCGGCCCTGTTCGGCCCTGTCTGCCCTGTCCTGCCCTGTTCCATCTCGGCCCTGCACCTTTGGTCCTTCTGCCTACGCTCTCCTTTCTGGCCCTTGTGGAGAGCAGTACACAGGGTCCCTTTCCCATTGCAGGGTTGTGAGTCAGTGTGAAAAGGCCGTGCTGCCAGCTCTTCAGGCTCACAGAGATTGCTTATTTTATTTCTGCCAGCTTTACAATATTCGAGAGATCAAAGCCCCTCTCAGTGCTTGGAAAACATAAACTTCAGGTTGAGGCATTTGCATTGTTAAGGTCTGTGGAATTTTAAACAAATGGTGATTGTTTCAGACATTCGTAGGAGTAGAGAAAATAGTATATATGGATCCCCCCCCCCATGCGTGCTATCTAACTGAGGCAGCTGAGACCCTGTCTTCATACTGTGTCACCATTTAGACCTCTTCTTCCGTGGACTGTTTAATGAATGTGCCACGTGTGTGAGGCATCGTGCATTCTTAGTTGGCGTCATATGTGCCGTAGGTTTGATGGATGGCTTTCTGTGCTGTCTGCATTCAGAGGCAAGGGCACATCCCTGCAGCGTAGGACTCTGTCCTTGAGGAGCAGCTGGTGTCCTTAAACACCAGATTCGGGGCACACATCCCCGAGCACTGAACTCACTAGCAAACTGCTTCTCAGGTTCCATCGAGACAGCGTGTAGCTGTCCAAAGGACAAAGCCGAATTATTTCACTTTTCTAGTTGTAGCTTGTACTGCATGCGCATGAGTTCCATGCTGTACCTCCATGTTCTTATGTTTTGTAATTTTTATGTTTTAAAATTATATTAGACTTGCAGAAAAGCTGTAAAAGTAGGACAGAAAGTTCACATGCAGTATCACCTGTCTTGTAATGTTAACACTTTTGTGGTCACTGTACAGTGATCAGATGGTGTAATTAATAGTGATTATATGTTCTTATTTTAACAGCTGCAGAAATAGTTCAAGAACTCGAAAATATGGAGAAGACCAGGATGCGCTTTGAAGCTAGTAAACTCAACGAAAGCGTACGTTGATGGGCTGTTTCAGCGTCTGGGCAGAAATGAAAGGGGAAAAGCACTAAATAGTCTAGTGACACTAAAGCAAACTGTGATCACGCCTGCTCCCTGGGAAGTGTACCAGAACGCATTTCGCTTAGTAGATTATGGCTTGCTTGTGGCTCATCTTCGGCACATTATCTGATCGTATTAAATGTTCTCCTGGCACCAAATACAGCCCAGAATGGCATTTGCTTGTGAGCTGGCGGCTGGTAGAAAATGCCTCTGCCCGCCTGGGTCAGACTCCTAGAGAGGCCCATTGTCTGGTGGCTGTGGCGGGTGAGCTGCTGGTTTAGTTCTGTGGCACTGAGGGACTGAACCCGCAGGCCTCCTTTTCCAGCCCTGCCATTCTGCATCCCTGTGATTTCCTTGCAGAGGTGTTAAGTGTCGGAAGTTTGTGAGGGTGGGGTGTTCTGGTGGGCTGTGGGAGGCAGTGCAGATGCAATGGTTCTTGCTGCTGCCTTCCTCTGACTCCATGGCTCAATGCTCGAGGAAAGAATGCCAGAGGAGAGGTGCCCATGACATTGGAGCAGGTGTTTGGGACTCTCCCAAGTATACCTTTTTTTTTTCCTAGACCATTCGTGTTTTTGAGAAAAACAATAATCTTAGGGAAGCAAGTTTATAACCAGAGAGCAGTAAAACATGAGGTTTATGTTGACTTGTTAGCCTTGTGTGAACTGTATAGTGGGAACTGTAAGAAGTTCTGAGTAGGATTTTTATTTTTTTAAAGATTTGTTGATTTGAAAGAGAGTGGCAGAGAGAGGGAAGACAGAGAAAGTGAGAGACATCTTCCATCTGCTGGTTTATTCCCCAAATGGCTACAACAGCTGGGGCTGGGCCAGGACAAAACCAAAAGCCAGTAACTCCATTCTGGTCTCCCATAGGAATGGCAGAGCCCCAGCTACTGGGCCGTCATCTGCTGCCTTGTCAGGTGCAGCAGCAGAGAGCTGGATCAGAAGCAGAACTGACACTCCAGTATGGGATGCTCAGCTCACTAGGCCAGTGTGCCAGTGCTGCTTTCTGGTCTTTGAAGCCTGAGATTCAATGGGACTAGAAACCCAGCACACCTAGTCTTTTGGTCCTGCATTGTCTCCCTTGCAGTCAGGGCCAACTGAGGAGAAGGCAAGCAGGGCTGATGAAGATCAGCTCAGGGCCTTATTCCCGCATTTCCACTAGTCCCTTCGGCTTTAATGAACGTGGGAAATCAAACACAGAAAACAGAGGAATTCATTCATCCTTTTGGTAGTGGTTCATCTGTTATTATAGAGGCAGTGTTTATAGTATACACACAAACACACACATATACACACATAGTTTATAGTATAGAGGCCATTTGCTGTTTACAGGAGAAGTAGGGCCAGCATTGTAGGGCTGGTTCATACAGTGCTGGTTGCTCATTTTTGACCCAACTCCATGCTTGATGTGCCTGGGAAAGCAGTGAAAGATGGCCTGTGTGCTCAGGCCCCTCCACACGGGAGAACAGGGGGAGCTCCTGGCTTCACCCTGGCCCAGTGGTCCTGTCTGGGGGGTGAACCAGTGGTTGGAAATTTTCTCTCTGTCTCTTCCTTTTTCTTTCTCTATAACTGTCTTTGAAATAAATCAGTCTCTCAGAAAAATGGAAGTAGTGAGTAAAATGTCTCTTGTTCATGGTATTTTTGGGAATTATGCAGAAGTTGCTTTTCTAGGTCTCTCTGCAATAGTCTTAAGGAATCCTTTTTCTCTGTTATAAATGCTTGTATTTGAGACTTTGAAGTTTGTAGTATGAATTTCCATTTTGGTTATTTCAGAGGGAGAGGATTCTTATTAAGATTTTTCTTTAATATTTTAGGTAATGGTTTTTACAAAGGACCAGACAGAAGAAGAAATAGATGAAATCCACAGTAAATATCGTAAGTTTGTAACATTTACTTTTTTGTAAAGAACTTGGGTTGCTTTTTCTTTGGTCATAAGTAATTTTTTAAGTAATGCTTTTTATAAATGTTTAATAGCAACCTTTGTTAATATTAGTAATAGAGTGAGAGGTGGTTACTTTACGTGCCTGCCTTTGGTTTCTGTCTGACGCTCTGCTCTGAGCTTAGTTGTTCAGAAAGCATTGCTGTGGGAAGATGGAGATGGAAGCGTGTTCGCAGCCCTGTCTGGCCGCTCAGCACCGGTGCGTCTGATCCGTCTTTGAACGCTTCGGTGTCTTGCAAATTCCCAGGTTGATCGTTTCCTTTTCTTTGAATGACCTGCGCCTGTTTCTTCTGCAGGGCTGACTGAAGGCTGTTGCTTGATTGGTTTTCAGTTTAAACTTGACCAACAATAAATGCTTGTTGAGTGGCTGTTCCCAGTCCTGATACTCCTGTGATGTGTAACGGAATTTCTTCTTTCTCCGTGTTTGTATCTTAGAGGGGGCAGGTGCAGTAGTGGTGCTGGAGGGAGGGGTGGCGATGCGGGTGTGAGGGCAGAGCAGCCAGCCAGGCGTGCGTGGACAGTGGGCTGAGCGGCTGCTGCTGCAAAGACGCTGGTGATGGCTGGCTCTTAGGGGTCAGAGTGATTTTCCTTTTGATGTTTATATGTTTTACTTAATTGTTTTCATTTTGTATTTGAAAGGCAGAGGGAGGAAAAAGAGACAGAGAGGTTTCATCTGGCGGCCGACTCCCCAGTGTCTGCCGCGGACAGGGTTAGACCGTGCAGAAGCCAGGTGGAGCCTCCCGTGTGTGAGGCAGGGATGCAGATGCTCCAAGAGCGCAATCCGCAGGAAGGTGGTATAAACAAGGAGCTTCGGGAGCTTGCGTTGTGGCACGGCTGGTTATAAGCCTTTCTGGGTGCCGGTATGAGTCCGAGCTGCTCTGCCTCTGATCCAGCTCCTTGTTCATGGCCTGGGAAAAGCCACTGAAGACCACACAAGTGCTTGGACCTGCTCCCCATGTGGGCTACCCAGACGAAGCTCCTGGTCCCTGCTTCACCCTGCCCACTGCTTCCCGTTGCAGCCGTCTGGGGAGTGAGCCAGTGGGTAGGCCTCTCTTGCTCTCTGCTCTCTTCTCTCTCTCCAAATTTCAAATAAACAGATCAAGATCAATCATAAAAAATCGAAGGTCTGGGACTCAAAACTCAGGCACTCCTATGAGATGGGGGTGGGTCAGGTGACCTCTTACATGCTGTGCCAAAGTGGCACCTGAGATGTCAAATGATCACTGAATTTTCAAAAGTTAAGCCTGTAAAGTGAAGAAAATAGGAAAGTTTCACTGAGAAGAAGTAATTGAGTTCCAAATGCTGGCCTGTTTTATTTATATTCTACCGTATTTTAAAGAGCATTTCTTGCTATCACCTCTGATGTCACGGGAGAAGTTAAGCAAAGCTTCCGGTGGTGGATGCAGGTTGCCCAAGGTTCTGAGTTTCACTTGAGGGCCGTCATTTTTATCTTTGGCAGGAAGTACTGTTAGCTTTCTTGACATGACATATTCAATCATGCTTGAGAAAATGAGTGCCAGATATCCAAGTCTGAATTCCCCACACTTTTCCCATCTGTCCTTTCTGTTAAAAATAGTATCCCTTGACAAAGTTGTTCCTTTTACTCTAAACTGGAACAAGCATGGCTTCCCGCTAACATGCCAGCAGTTGTCTCCATTACTGTTCACTGTCAAGTGCACATGTCAGGGTACAGAGGTGCACGTGACGGTGGGCTTGACCTCCTCTGCCCTCTGACAGAGCAGACGCTGGGAGAGACAGAAGGCTGCATGACCCCAGTGATCATGGGGCTGGAGGAAAGCTCGGTGACCCCAGGAGGCTTTTCTGCAGGAAAGGAGGCCCTGCGGAAGCAGCCCTGGACCTGTTGCCTGTGGCTGTGAGAGGTTGCTTAAGGGACAGAAGACACCTGTGGGTTTCACAGCTCTAAGGCCACAGCCTTAGTTTTGTCCGAGGGTAGCCATCCATCAGAAGCAGTTGGAGTTGATTGGCTCCAAGTTAGAGGTGAGGACTGTTAGGGCAGCCAGTTGTTTCGGGGCGTTATGTCAGGGGAGAGTTTTGATAGATTGAATTGGTTTTCAAATTCAGTGGCTTTTAAGAACTTTCAACATATACTAAGAAGTACAAGTTATATCATCACTGATTATGTACACAGAGATTACTGAAGTCAAAGATTTTCAAAATGATTGTTTGCTTCTGTAATGGATTATGGTATTGGTTGTTACTCATTATTATTTCATGAAGGAAAAGTTGTGGCCTGGGCCTCCTGACTCGCGTCCACATTCCGTACTCTGGGTTTCAGATGCCTGGTCCACGTGTGCGAGGCCTTCGTGGTGGACGTTACCAGGTCAGTTAGGGGCTGGCCTACATCGCAGCCAGGACGGTGGGTTCGTGGTGGTGAAGCAGACTCGGGGCCTGCAGGCAAGGAGCGAGGATGGATGGGAGGACACAGACGTGCTGTGAGAATGGCGCTCTGCTCCAAAGCTGGAAGCTGACCACAAGGGAGCAGTGAATGGAGCAGCAGGGGTCTGAATAAAGGGGGAGTGTCAGATAGCCATCTGGGGGCCAAGTAAGCAACTCTGCTAGGGAAACAGAGGAAATTGCACAGCAGTGTTGAGTGTGCGTTTGGGATTTGTCAGGCGCCACATAGGGTGGGGAGAAGTTAGGTTTGGTCTTATGCCTCACTGGGACATGGCCAGCTTGAGACATCGGTTCTGAAGAGCTGAGGAAGCTGGCCAGGGAGGGAACGGATTTGCTTGGCACGCAACAAGGCAGAAGGGTGGGTGGATTCAGGATTAAACTCTTGAAGATTGTGAGCTGGTTAACTGTGGAGTTGGTCCTCAGCTCCCAGAGCCTACAGCCCACAGCCAGCAGGGTGACTGAAACCTCACCAGAGATCACTTCAGGACATAGAACATGCAGAGTTGAGATTCACCATGCTAGAGCACTCCTTGTCAGATGGAAGACCTGAAACACAGTGCGCGGAGGAGTGGGAACAGTTTTATTGGTCATAATTAGTTGACGCATTATTGGGCTTTTTAGAATTCTAACCTAGTTGTGGGGTAGATTATAAAAAGAAAAAGAGAATCTCTTAAATCTAAATTTTACTACTCTGGATGATAAACTCATTACGCCTTCTTGACTGTTAATATGGTTACTTTAACAAGTTTATTTGGATATCATCTTTTAAAAAAAAGATTGATTGGTTTGAAAGTCAGAGTTATTGGAGAGGAAGCGGCAGAGAGATATTCCATGTGCTGGTTCACACCCCAGATGGCCACAGCGGCCAGAGCTGGGCATGTCCAGAACTGGGATGGGAAGGCTTCAGGATCTCAGAGGCCGACGCGCTGGGACCAGCTTCTGCTGCTTTCCCAGGCATGTTAGTAGGGAGCTGGATAGGAAGTGGAACAGCCAGAATTGGAATTATGCTCATTTGAGATGCTAGCATAAGCTGCCAACTTTACGTGCTATACTGCAATGCCTGTTCCTAGTCAGTTATCTTAAATCCACAATCTATAGGTGTTTCTTGGAGCTTCACTAGGAAATGTCTTACATAGATTCCATGGTCCAGAGTGGTTCCCCTGCCTGGCAGAAATTACCTGATGATGGTGGTGGGTGTTCTGAGGAGTGGAAGGAGTGCAAGACAGTTCATCTCAAACGCACCAGCAGTGCTTGAGGCACAGCACCTTGCTGTGTTCTTGTAGTTTGTATCTCTGTTTTTTACCAGCTACTTTATCTGATAACCTTTCTGACCAGCTCATATGTATTTAGCTGAAGCTTTAGTCTTCTATTATACAGTGTAGCCCATTTCTTTCAATGGTAGTTTGCATATTCATGACATGCACCTGTGTGGTCTCCCCATGTCTCTGTCTCACTGTCACTCTCCCTAAAGAGGAAATCAATCTCTGTCTTTGTTGTGGCATTTCATCATTGAGTGCTTGCTTCCGTTATGTTAAGGATAATTTTCCTGAACAAAATCATTGCACTCATTTGGGCAGAAAATCAACATGTTTTGCTAAAGGCTTTGTAGAACTCAGTCTTAGAGAGGGGACTGCTGAGATCCCAGGTATTCAAAGACAGCTGGAGACTAAAGACTGGCAACAGGTGTATGTCCCAAACACCGAGGTGAACGTGCCAGTGGGCATCTGGGAGGGACGGCAGCAAGCCTCCTGCACCTGACAGATTTGTCTATCTCTGAGGACCCTTCAGAAGGTCCAGCAAAGATGGAATGAAAGGGAAAATGGTTTTTGAAATCCTTTGTAGTTTTTTTAATAATGTACATTTTCCCTTAGGTTTTTGAAGGCCTCATGGACGTGAGGATGTCAAGGGTTTTTGCATAAACAAACATTTTTTATTCCATTTTCTGTGGAATGTTGGAAGTATCCTTGTACAGTTACTTTTCATCGCTATCAGTTGTCTACATCTGTTTTCATTTTTTATTTACTTGAAGACTATGGATTATTGAATAAAAAAATTTTCAGAACTTTTAAAAAGCTACTTCTAGTATAATTCTTCCTAAAACAGTTTTACAGAATTTGTGATACTTCTTCGAACCAAGGCCGAAGCATTTAAGGTTGCTCAATACATGAATTATTTGACAGTGGTTCAAAATCACAGATTGATTTCCTGAAGTATATACTCAGATGGTGACTGGGTATCTTTGATTAATGGGTTCTAGATATTTTTAATCAGTGGCGGTGACCTTGAGGTCAGTGTTAATGGCATCATGTCCAGAGATATTAAAGGAGTACAATAGGCCTGGGGCAAGGCCATTGACTGTACAGAATCCTGCTGCCAAGCTGACAAGTGTGGAGTGAGGGCGGGAGGCTGGCTGCCTGGGGTGCCCCGCTGCAGCCCGGCCTCCCCAGGGATGCTGCTCTTCTCAGGCCTCGTGCATCTTGAAAACAGTGGCTGAGGCTGACGCTCCACACTCCCCTCGCTGCCCTCTGGACCACTCCTGGTCCTGGCTCTACTGAGAAGGCCTTTTGAATTTCAGGAAAGAAACATCACAGTGAATTTCAGCTTCTGGTGGACCAGGCCAAAAAGGGATACAAGAAGGCTGTGGGGATGGCCAACATCAAAGGACCAAGGGAAGAAGACGAGCCCCCTGGAAAGTCGCCGTCCCCGTGCGTGGGTAAGAGACCGAAGACAAGCAGGAAAAATGGTGACTCGATATTTTTATTATGGAAAGAAAAAGCCAAAGTCATTTGCTTTGGCATTATGAGGTATTTGATACCGGAAAGAGTTCTTTTATATGAACTTCATGTTGTGGCTGTTGCATGTGAATTGGCTTGCATTGCTCTGGGAGAAGGTTGGAAGAACAGCCTGAAGAAGTTGTCTCTGCAGCCGCCCTTTCAGCCAATGGTAAATCACAGGAGCTTCGTGGTTCCGGCTTAAGGATATTTTCTGGGTCTAGGAGTTATTGCTGCGATTCCTGAGATATCCTTCAGAAAGAATGAATAATTTTTGTTTCTTTTTGAAAGAAATATCCTGCAGCCATCAGAAGCTGCTCTCCTACCGGCAGCCCGTGGCGCATTGCTTCAGTGTTGATTGTTGCTATGTGGAGATTAATGTTATTCTCTCTGCCTTCTCCCCCTTCCATATACTGTGTATTCAAAAATATTCTACAAGAATTTTATTAAATTCAAAAGATTTATTATTTTTTAAAAATTTATTTGTTATTACTTGAAAGGCGGATTTGCAGAGGAGGAGAGACAGGGAAAGGCCTTCCATCTGCTGGTTCATTCCCCGTGTGGGTGCAGTGGCCAGAGCTGAGCTGATCCAGAGCCAGGAGCCAGGAGTTTCTTCCGAGTCTCCCACGTGGATGAAGGGGCCCAAGGACTTAGACCATCCTCCACTGCTTTTCCAGGCCACAAGCAGGGAGTTGGATCAAAAGTGGAGCATCTGGGACAAGAATTGGCACCCATGTGGGATGCTAGTGCTTAAAGATGGATGATTAGCCTGTTGAGCCATCAGCCCGGCCTCTGCAAGAAATTTTTGTTTTTATTTTTTACTTATCTGAGAAGCAGAGAGACAGAAAGAGACCTTCCATCTGGTCTGCTGTCATACGCCTTCAGCCTCCTGGGCTGGGCCAGGGCAAAGTCTGCATGCAGGGTCTTCTGGGCCTCCCATGTGGGTTACAGGGACCCAAGTACTTGGCCGTGACCTCCTGGTTTGCTGGAGTCTACCTTGTAGGAGGAAGGTGCGATTAGAATCAGCATTCTGATGGGAGAGGCACAAATCCCAAGAAATGTCCCACCCACCATGTCATAAGCCTGTCCTATAGGGATTTTTATTTATTTTATTTTATTTTTCGTGACAATTTTAGAAATTTTATAGTTTTCAGTATGTAAGTTTTTCTTGTATAGATTTATTGCTAAGTATTTGTTCTTTTAGATGCTATTGTGGTCTTTTTTTCTTTTTAAGATTTATTTATTTTTATTGGAAAGGGAGATTTAACACCACAATGAGAGTCAACTGTTGATTCACTGCCCAGATGGCCACAATGGCCAGAGCTGGTCTGGAGCCAGGAACTTCTTTCTTTCTTTATTTTTATTTATTTTTCTTTATTTATTTTTTAAAGATGCGAGTGCAGGATCCCAGAGCTTTGGGCCGTCCCCACTGCTTTCCCAGGACATAAACGGGACTGGATGGGAAGCAGGGCTGCTGGGACATGGTGCCCATCTGGCATGTCAGTGCCTGCAGGTGAGAAGTGAACCTGCTGAGCCATTGCACTGGCCTCATTGGTGCCTTTTAGTAGCTGGATCCTTGGTGTATACCCCTTGGTCTTTGAACAAGTGGTATGTTTTCATACAATTATTGAACAAAATTTCTGGAAACCTGCCTAGCTCTTGAGAAAATTTGTCTTCACGTTTCCCACCAGAAAAAAAAAAAATGTTTTCCGTTAGTTGGATCTCAGTGACTGAGGGCTCCTGGGTGGTTTTCTGTATGTTGGCACCTCAGTGGCACCCTCTGTGGGCTTTAAAGAGGATTGCGCCTGTGAGGTTGCTGTGCAAGAGGGCCCTGTGGCGGGGTGGTGCAGAAGACAGGCACGCAGATGCAGGCGGGTGCAAAGGTGGGTTTTCTGATGCACCATGAACCTGCATGACTGCTGTTTTTTAGAGTCAACATTGGAGAGGTGTTTAGGTGGCTGAGATGTGTGTTCTCTCGAGTGAAAGCTTAGCCTGCTTTGTTGCTTGTCCAAGCCCCACTCTCGGGGCTGTCGTTGAGGCCGACCTACAGCTGGGACAGGTAACCAACTTACAGTGCCTGTGGAGTCTAGGAATGGGGTTGTCCCAGAGAGGAGAACTATCTTGTGGAAGCTTACAGAAAGAAGAGTGCTGATTTGCAGAAATGAAAGCTTGTATTTGCTGAACCCTGGACCCTACCTGGCCAGCTTTATTGCTTTCTTCAAGCCCGGAGCCCTGAGATTCCAGGGTGACTGGCACTTAATCCTGAGGCTGGTGTCTGCACAGGAGACCCACGGGTTCTGGTGGTCGCCTTTGTCGCTGCTCCTCCTCCTTGCCAGATGCACGCCCCGCAGGGCTTTTCTGTTGACAACCATAGCTTATTGCCCATCAGACAGAATTAGACATTTATTTGGGAAATTACACCCACTCGATGGATGTTCTGCTCATGTTGTAACCAAAGTTTAGAACTCTTTCGGGACTGTCTGATCTTGGAAAGGCTTTCTTTTGTTATTTATTTATTTTATTATTATTTTTAAAATTTTTATTGAAAAGTCAGATATACAGAAAGGAGGAGAGACAGAGAGGAAGATTTTCCATCCTCTGTTTCATTCCCCAAGTGACCACCCAAGTGTCTGCCATGGCCGGTGCTGCGCAGGAGTCAGGAACTTCCTCCAGGTCTCCCACAGGTGCAGGGTCCCAAGGCTTTGGGCCGTCCTTGACTGCTTTCCCAGGCCACAAGCAGGGAGCTGGATGGGAAATGGGGCCATGAGATTGGAACCGATGCACCTATGGGATCCCGGTGTGTGCAAGGCAAGGACTTAAGCCACTAGACTACCATGCTGGGCTTCTGGAAAGGCTTTTTGAAGAAGCTGTCAGTTATTTTCATGAGTTTTCTCTGTGTAACAAGACCTTACCAGTCCTTTTTTGTGTCCTGTGAGAAAGATGGCGTGGCTGGACAGGCACGCTTGTCTGTTTCTCTCCAGCAATGCAGCGGGTACAGCGTCTGCTCAGCTCCTGGTTCTAGGCCAGAGCCCTGGTGCCCTGTGAGAGGGGTTCCCTCGGGTGGAGTTCTTCACACTGATGCTCGCAGGGCCCTGACTGCGTCACATTGCTTTGTGCACGCTGACCACGCCCTGTGGCTAGGCACTTGGTCCTCATTTGGTCATGTCTGATAGCTGTCCTGCTCTGTGGTGAATAGCTAGGTAATACTCAGCAGGTTTAGATAAAGGATGTTGGGGGGCTGACCTTGGGACCCCACAGGTTAAGCTGCTGCTTGTGGTGCTGGCATCCGCAGTGGCGTGCCGGCTAGAGTCACAGCTGCTCCGCTTCGATCTGGCTTCCCTGATGTGTCTGGGAAGGCGGTAGGTGGTCACCCGTGCATTCGGGCGTCTGCCTTGCAGCTGGGAGACCACGGTTGTGTTCCTGGCTCTGATTTTGGCCTGACTCAGGTACTGCTGATGTGACCGCTCGGGGAGAGACGCAGTGGATGGGAGATTCTCTGATGCTTCTACTTCTTTTTGTCACTTTGCCTTTTAAATAAATAAATCTTTCAAAAAAAAAATGTTCAGGTAAGTTTACTGACACATAATGATGGCTAATATTGGGATTCTGTTAGTTGTACCCGACCTAGTCTTGACATCCTAATTGATGTTTGTTTGTTGGTTTTTTCTGATATGTGAAATAGGCAAAGATTCTTTAGTAATCTGTAAGTGAAAACCAGTAGAATTATAGGGTTTTCCCATTTCTGCTTTGAAAGTAAGTTTTGTTTTTAAGATCATGAATCTTGGAGGAAAAGCAGCGGGTAGGCAGTACAATAACCTGTGCCTGGCGTGCCGAGGCTGTTCTCTGTGCTGGCGTTTTGGAATTGGTGTTCTAGAGAATCCGTCGCATAGAATTCAGCTAGCAGCAGTAAATGCTTGCAGGGACGCTGGGCGAATGGAGGGCATAGATTGTAAGGCACTCAGACTTGCCCCTTTTATTTCCTTTTTAGGAGAAGAAGTTGATGAAATGGAATTCTCGGGGATAACGCCGGTGGCAGCCCGTTTCTCTCCATCAAAGCTGAGCTCCCCAGGGAAGCAGGGCCCAGGTGATTCTTCCCATTACGCCGATGCCCCAGAAGCAACTCTGCTTTCGTCAGAGTCTGGTTCCTGCAATAGGTAAGAAACAGCAGTGGGCAGCTCCTGGATGGACCGTGTGCAGTCCCAGATGGCTGGGGGCTGTGTGGACCAGCCCGCTCACTGAGTCAGTCATGAAGGGCTGTCATTTTTTATAGTATACACAGAAATGCCAGAGGGCAGTATCTACGAGCAAGTTTGAAGACACTGGTTATGTTTAAGTTCAACATTCTCAGTGAAGAGGAAGGCAGTGTATTGCAGCTCAGTTTTCAACTTTTTCTCTCAGTAGCACAAAATAATGTTTCATCTTGCTGTCCGTGTTGTCTTAGATTTTTTTTAAATGATTCCTTACATTTTCAGAATATAGCTCACATGGTAAGCATGATGTTTATAATCTAGTTAGAAACTTGTTAGTAGCTTTTTACTAGTTAGTAGTAGCTTGACAAAGGCTGTTATAACACTGGTGGGTGGCCAGTGTGGTGGCTTCTCAGGTTAATAGCCTGTGCTGCTGGCATCCCATGTGGGCACTGGACCAACTCCTGGCTGCTCCATTTCTGGTCCAGCTCACTGCCGATGCACCTGGGAAAGCAGCAGCCCAAGTGCGTGGACCCCTGCAGCCGTGTGGGAGACCTGGGAGAAGCTTCTGGCTCCTGACCCCCAGCTTTGGATGAGCCCAGCTGGTATTGCAGCTATTTGAGGGTTGAACCGTGGATGGAAGATCTCTCGTTCTCCTTCTCTTCTTCCTTTTGTGTAAATCTGTCTCTCCAATAAAAATCAGTAAATCTTGAAAAAGAAGGAAAAAAAAGCCCTCAGGGCTGACATAGTGGCTAAATGGGCTTATCTTCTGTCCACTGGTGCTGACATTTTGGGTCCTGGCTGTTCCACTTCCAGTCTAGCTCTCTACTTGTGGCCTGGGGAAGCCAGGGTGAATGACTGTTGGCCCTGGGACCTTTGCACCTACATTGGAGACCTGGAGGAATCTTCTGCTCTCAGCTAAGCTCTGGGAATGAATTAGCAAATGGAAGACCTTCTTTTCCTGTCTTTCCTCTCTGTAAAATCTACCTTTCAAATAAAAATAATAAGTCCTAGAAACAAAGCAAAAAAAACTGGCGAGTGGCACAGTGGTGGGAACCTCGGTCTATGGTGCCGGCAGCCCACATGGGCCCTGGGTCAAGTCCAGGCTGCCCAACTTCTGCACTAACTGCCTGCTAATGCACCTGAAAAAGCAGTAACAGACAGTCCAAGTTCTTGGCCCTTGGACCCACGTGTAGCACCCGGCGAGAGTTCCAGGTTCCTGGCTTGGGCCTGGCCCGGTGGCAGCATTGCAGCCTTGTGGGAGGTTAGCCAGTCAGTGGATGAAGTCTCTCTGACTTTCAAATAAATAAATACATCTCAGAGTAGAAAAGAGCTGCCCATCTGACTATTACCAGAGCTTTCAGGGAAAGAAGTCAGGAAGGTACCAGCCCAAGCCAAGTGCCTCTAAATCCTCAGGGACTTTGATCTCTATCTGCTTTCTGTGACACCGACAGGGGCAGGAGACGAGTGGGACACGACGCCGAGCGTTTGCTGAGCTTTTGTTCAGCAAGCAGTTTCTCAAATCCTGTTTTATAATGATTGTTCCTTTACCACTTGTCTGTTACAAGTTGTAAATCAACCTTGTGGAATTTTCTTCCTTATATGGGCAAATGTGGTTGTCTTTTTTTCCTTTCATTTTTATCATCAGTTTTTTTTTGGGTTTTGTGTGATAATTTTCTTGTTTTTATTGTAAAGCTTTTGATTTTTCTAAAGAACTTTAAAATAAAAAGATTTATTTTTATTTGAAAAGCAGAGAGAGGAGAGACAAAGATCTTCCATCCACTGGCTCACTCCCCATGTGGCCACAGTGGCTGGAGCTGTGCTGATCCAAAGCCAGGAGTCTGGGGCTTCCTGTGCGTCTCCCACGTGGCTGCAGGTCCACTGCTTTCCCAGGCCACAGGCAAGGAGTGGAATGGGAAGTGGGCAGCCAGGACATGGACTAGTTCGCAGATGGAATGCTGGCACATGCAAGCAGAGGATTAGCCTGTTAAGCCACCATGCTGACCCCTAAAGAACCTTAAAACAGACAAACAAAAAGGACTTATTTATGTATTTAAAAGATGGAGTTATTGGGCCCGGTGCGATGGCGCAGTGGTTAAGGTCCTCACCTAGCACGCCCGGGATCCCATATGGGCGCCGGTTCTAATCCCGGCAGCCCCGCTTCCCTTCCAGCTCCCTGCCTGTGGCCCGGGAAAGCAGTCGAGGACGGCCCAAGGCTTTGGGACCCTGCAACCCGCGTGGGAGACCCGGAAGAGGCTCCTGGCTTCGGATCGGCATAGTATCGGCCGTTGCGCTCACTTGGGGAGTGAATCATCGGATGGAAGATCTTCCTCTCTGTCTCTCCTCTCTGTATATCTGCCTTTCCAATAAACAAATAATAAAAATAAATCTAAAAAAAAAAAAAGATGGAGTTATGCAGGAAGAGACAGAGGAAAACAGACATCTTCCATCTGCTGCTTAACTCCATGTATGGCTGCACCAGCTAGACTGGGCCAGGCTGGAGTTTAGAGCCTAGAACTCCAGCTAGGTCTCCCCTGTGAGTGCCATGACCCAGAGATTGAAACTGTCTGCTGCTTTCCCAGGAGCATCAGCAGGAAGCTGGATCAGAAGTAGAGCTGCCAGGCCTTGAACTGGTACTCTTAGAGGATGCTGGCACCACAGGCAGAGCCTTAGTTCACTGTGCCACAGCCAGCTACTAAGATACCTTTATAGTTAGTTGCTCTTCTTGTGAAAAATGGAAAATTTGAATAAAAAGAATAAAATGTCATGGTTTTATCAGCCAGAAATATCTTCCTGCTAGCACTTTAATGCATTTATCCTTCCAAAGATAGAAATGTAGATGGTCAGATAGAGGAACATAATTGCATAATTTTAAACATGCTTTTATTTGGGTGTTTGAATGATTCATTTATGTGAAATTCATTTAAGAGAGAGAGGGAGAGATAAAGAGAAAAATCTTCCAGCTGGTAGTTCCCTTCCCACATTGCCAGGGCTAGGCCAGGCTGAATCTAGGTGCCACGAGCTTGTCCAGGTCTTTTGTGTGGGTGGCAGGGACCCGAGGACATCGGCTGTCATCTACTCGTCTGCTTTTCCCAGGCCCTTAGCAGAGTGTCACATGGGAAATGCAGCAGCTGGGATGGAGTATCACAGGTGGTTGCTTTACCGGCTCTGCCACAACAAGCTCCCAGATCCTCTTCTTTGTAAGAGAACAGCCATGCTGCTTAGATCTATCACATGTTCACATGTGTAGCAGTTTGTATTGACACCCATAGTTATGCCATAATGCAGAATACGGAACTTGCTCTTATGCTATTGGATAAGGGCTTTGGCCTCAGTCTAATGTTCAAACATAAGACTTGGCAGATGGAAAACTAATAATCCTCTTGTTTTAAGAATCAGTAGATCTGTGCAGTTCTGGTATATTGGTGGACCATTTTTGTTGCTGACTTAATTCTATTAGCTAAGTCCGTTCTGTAGCATTTTAAGTGTTAGGATTGTGGTTTTTTTTCTAAGCTAACCTGAAGACCAGTGACAAACACATTGATGAAAATTTGAAATTTTTGTGTGACTTCTTTGCTAGATGGTTCCCGATAGTTCAAGAGCCTTGTCCAAGTTTCTGTAAATTAGCTTATTGTTTTTCTCAGTCCAGAAGAGAGAGCTTTTGTTTCCCATGCCTTGGCAAGCTGAAGACCCTGCATTTTTGCTGAGGGTGTCCAGGAAGAAGGAGTGCTGCTGGTTATGAGCTTGGCGGGCAAGCATGGCAGCCATGCTCGCCCTGGGCACAACCTGTAGGTCTATACAAAGAAGTTATAAAGAGTCGGTCTCTTGGCTTGACTGGGATAGGACACTGCTCTCTGGGTTAGATGATGTTGCAGCATATTCAGTTTCCTATTTTGGGGAATTTTATGTGAGTGAGTATGGTTGTTCCCAAGAAGGGCCCACTGGCAGGTGGGCAAGATGCTGGCTGCCCTCTCCTGTGGGCCGTCAAGAAGTGATGTGTTTTATGTCCAGCCTGTGAGAAATTACCAAGAGAGTGAGAGAAAGCAAATACGAAAATGTTGGCCATGGGAAAATCTGGATGACAGGGCCATTTTCTAATAGTTTTGAAGTTGAAAGTTTAAAAATTTCTGAAGAAGTATTCATCATGGAAGCTCCTGGCTTATCTTATAAGCTAGAGGAATGGCTAGCTGACTTCCTGCATCTTCAGAGTTTCTGAAAGGAAAGATTTACGCTCGCCATTTGTTATTGAGTATGACAGTGGCAAAAAGCAGCAGCCCGAGCTGCCCTTGGCCTGCTGAGTGGAGCTCTCACTCGTCCCAGCCAACCCAACGTGGATGCTTCAGGTCTGAAGAGGTAGAGAGATGAGCTGGTGACGTGGCTGGCCCAGCACACACCGAGAGCGGCTCGGCCAGGGCTTTGTGACCAGGTTTGTTAGTGCTAACCTGGCTGGGCTTCTGGCTGGGCTGGTTACACACGAACCTGAGTCTGCTCAGGTATAACTAGTATATTTGAACTTCTAGTTCCCAGAAAAAGTGGTCATCTCTTCTCAGATACTGAGCTGATGGCCGCCTCTTGTGAGAAGTTCCCCACAAACAGGAAGCGCTCAAGCTGAGCAGCTATTGGCAATGGGGCTGATAGGTTTACTGCGACTTCCTTCACCTTTCCGACATTTCTAAGAGATCTGTCCAGAATTATTAAGGAATAGAGAGGAAAAGCAAGAACAAAACATGTGCAGAAGTCCATTTTTGATATCTCAGCTTTGAGAGGCAGAATGTGTGGTCCCATCCTCTGGTTTTCTACCCATTTGGCCACAGTGACCAGAGCTGGGCTGGGGTCAAGGCTAGGGGCAGTCCAGAGCTATCCCATGGGCACCAGGGACACAGTGACTTAGCCATTGCCACTGACCGCAGGGGTTTCACGGGGAAGCAGCTGGAACCAGGTGTTGGAGCCAGGCCTTGGTCGGGTAC